AACGAACGATAAAATTAGCATAAGATCGATCGGTGATAAAAATGAGATTCTGTTCGATACGCGAGAATTGTTACTTACCGATTCCTCTATCCCTGCAAAACGGTTAATCTCTCTTAATTGATTACGTCGGTTCGTCGTTTCACTGTTTACCTTCGAAAAAGGGGAATTCGTAATAAAGTGCGTCGAAGAGTCATCATTTATTTGGTTGGTTGTTTTGCCGGGAAAACATTGGGTGCCACGACCATAAACGCGTTTTCTCAAAGGAGAGATAATAATCCGAGGTCAAACGAGCCTGTACCGAGCCATCTTTTCGTCTGTGCCGAGAGAACGGTGAACCTGTTTCTCCGGTGAAAATATGTCCAGAGAATGCGATGCGTGACTTAACCGCGCGGTAATAAGCACGAGTCACGAAATTACGTGGGCCCCGAGTCCCGAGACGATATCGACGGGCCAAAAGCTACGAAACACTTTTTTTTATAACGCCACGAAATCCCGACGACGAGTTTTTTGCAGTGAAAGTGTCCCGTCGTAAATTATCTGGAGCTTTAATCGTCTTGATCCGAGTCGAGAACTGAAATCGAGCTGAACAGGTTACCGCCACCGGTAGATGATCTCCTCGAACAAATTGTGCCGTACTCCGATCGACGCGAAGCGTTGGTGCATCGACCAAAAAATTGCTTAAACATTCGTTCTTTTTCGACAACTTTCTATCGTCCCTTTAAATCGGATTTCGTTCGGATGGCAATCGACTATCGAGATGTCAAAACGGTTTGCCAACTCGTATACGTAATGATTCGACAGCCAAATGTTTATAAAGAGAAAAAAAGAACGGTCGCCACCGAGCCGGAGGGAATATTGCTGTCCGATGAAAGTTTGGTGACAGCGATTCGACAAATTGTATCTAGCTCGAGGAAACTAGTTTACTCTCTTACTGTTATGGAACGAACTGGTGATTGACACATCGATCTATTCTCGATAATAATTAGCGCAGCTTCGACGATAATTTCTAATGGAGCAAAATCTAAACCCATTCCGTGATCATTGGTATATTTTAACGCGAGACTTCGAGTAGCTCGCATCGACTTATTGGATAAGTATCTCGTTTAATTTCTTCGCTGAACGGCTGTTGATTTTCTCCGGAACGACGGGCGTGTGCCGAGGTTACAACGTATCGGTTCAGCTAATGTCAAAGCCCGTTAATCACGGGTTGTGCAATCCGGTAACGGCGCTTCTCGGATCGTTCTCGTTTTCACTTTTTTCGCCTTTCAACGAGAATCACCTAATATAATTTAGATTTAGATGAACGTAAAGATAGTCCAGCAATTTGTACACGGGTTAACGTACTATACGCGCGATTATTTAACGCGAAGACGCGACAAATTTCTAAACACCGGACTTTCGACATAATAAACAATATTGGTCGCGACAAATCAAGCGGGGAAATCTGACATGTGCATACGCTCGAGTCATACTGTTCTTACCTCCATTTATCGGACCGCGATGGGAGCAAGAGGAACGAGCTCGTTCGAGCATGTACAAATAGCGGTTCTAGCGAACAAAGTGTTACAAATCATGTAATAACGGGCCGACGAGCAGGCACACGCTACTTCGTACGGTGGACACGCAATATTCGATTCGAGCTTTTTCCGTTCACGTTTCGAGACAGATATATAGGCTTACCGACAATCCAGAAGGAGCAGGTTCCCTTCGATAACCTCGACGAACTGGTTTTAACATAATATTTCGTCCGGCTTCGTCCATGGGAGATATTTATTACGTTTCGCCGATAATACTATCGGCGACAAAACTTCGCCACCGCCAAGGTTACCATCCGCGATTCTTTGCGCCGTTCAATCCATTCCCTGCCTCCGATCCTCTCCAGAAATTACAACGTCGGCATATATACATTGTCCGGACGAAGAATGTGTTATCGCTAAAGAAGACATCGTGCTGTTTTTAATTACGACACGCCATTAGAGAATTACCTGGTTGACTTGGCGTAACGTGCACTCGATACGGTCTCTGGACATACTAAATTCGATACAAGGTAACAAATTAATATAAGATGTTCTATCTCGTTTCTTGTCGCTCGATCCGCACGGACGAGGTCTCGAATGACATAAACGCGTAACGGTAGACGCACGCAAACGGAGTAGTTTTCACACGCACGGTAAATGATAATTGATTTTCTAGCCATTAGATCATATATCGATACGCGCTATAATTTAATTCGCGTCGTCGTTGGATCGTGCAGATCCGAAGCGGCGACTATAAATTAATCTCGTAATTCGGATGAAATTGTTTAATTAAATTTCTGAATTAAAATTACGAAAGAGCAAGGGAACGTATTACGAAGAACGATAACGAAACTGCGAGATCATGACTGGCAGCTTTCTCGATACAAAATTTGCGTATCTGATTCGAACCTGTTCGTATGACAAGTAGCGAACCTCGAAATCAGGACGACAGATTTTACTCCACGACTGCATGAACTTGATCCATTAGCATTGTGCAATGCATCGTGGGTGTGTAGGCTACTCGTTTTGCTGTCGTCCAATATAAAAGTCGAATGACGTAAACGAAATCGTTCTTGACACCCATTATCTTCTGACGAACGACACGAACGAAAGGAGTTTCAGGTTCCTTTTATCTCCCTATTTTGCATTTTACTTTTATGTCTAATAAGCATACTCGGTTGTTTCGAAAGAAAAGGGTACGGTACTTTCTAACGACAGGTTCAACGATTCAAAGGCGACACGATTTTCGACTGATCGGAACTGATAGGTTGTGCCAAATTTAACGTCCCACGGCTTATCCCCGATTCAGACAATCGGATAATCGGGCCGGTTTTTCTCTTCGTCTAGTCGAGGAGGTCAATGAGCGATTTTTATAGGCAAAATGACTGATTACACCGGACATTGGAATGGTACAGCAAGATCGTGATGCATCGTTCCGTGCTTGGATAGAACGTGTGCCATTTGACGATCGAATCACGAACGCGCAACAACGCCGACCTTAAAAGCTAGAGTGCCGGTAGTGAGTCACGTGATCCGTTCATCCGTCTCGAAATAGTAATTAATTTTATGACAAATTACCTCCGTTACTTCCTCGCGAAGTGAGAGGATAATTTATTCGCGAGTCAATGAAATGACCGTTCTTATTTTTTAGTAATTACGATCACGATTATCCGATTACTCGCAACTGGCTGGTACGAGAGTAAATTCCGTGAGTACCGAAAATCTTTGGTACGTTCGGTTCGATGGAAACGAGCTATTTTTCTAGCAGGGGGTAATTAAGAATAAGTAATCGTGGCGAAATTGAATTTCGCAGCGACTATTCGTCTCTCGATTTTAAGCAAGGCAGGAACATTAATCGACGTCCGCTAATTATTTCATCTGTATCTACGGGTATTCCGTTGGGAATCGTTCATTTATATCATTGCAATTAAACGGAAAAATATTGGTCGATGAAGTACATTCGAAATGATTTCTCCACGGGTGATCGGGTATGAAATAAAACCGATCGTCGGTGAATAATAACGGCGATGACGAACCATTAATTTCTCAAACATTCAAATGGAATAGAACGAATCCGGTGAAAGCCAGACAAATTGACAATACTTACATGTATATTCGTGGAACTTTGTAAATTCTTCTACCCGTATGGTGGACCATACGTGTACCTATTTTTTCTCTGTCCGACCAGAAAAATCTACGGTCGCTCTTATCCCGTGGCAAACCTATACGCTGAACAAATATTAGCTCGCTATTGCGGGAACGCTTATCAAACATTTACATTAGACGTTTGATGTGGAGTACATTTCGAGTTTAGACGCAGCTTGGAATGTCAGGTAGTCGAATCGGATGACTTTACGGTATTCGAAGTGCACGAAATCCTGCTGTGATTTTACGTAGAGGTCTTCGGACAAATACCAAAATTTCACGGATAAATATTTAGAAAATTCCAGGATATCTCGACGTTATTTCGTAATAGAAATGAATTGTTCGAGTCGATTGGCGAAGCTTAATTCGTTCTCGTGGAAATACTTGTTCGAATCCCGTAAAAGGACACGATCCACGAAGCGGCAACGGGACGGTCCAGACATTCTAAGGTAGCTTGAAGCGGTCTACAAATCAGAAATAAATAGCTCCTCGTTGTACTCGAACGTTTAACGGAGCTTTCAACAAACATAGGAGCGTACGGTCTTCGAGTGTACACTTGCGTGCCATTATTCGAGGCTTCTGGTGACTCCGAGAGAGGAACAGCTATCTCTTCGTGGCGATACGATCTCTTTCGCGTTAGAAGAGGTCCTTCGAGTTGCTTCGTGTCAGGAGGAAGTAACATGCCCGACGTACGTATATTTTCAACGTACCACGTGAAAGCAGAACCGTCTCTTGGAAGCACTTGCTCACCGATCAACGGCTTATTCTAATTAACCTCGATTAACGGACGAATTCGCTTCGATTTTTCTACGGTACGAATCGTGCAGGATTATCCTCGTAGTCGTGTTCTTAACGCCCCTTATCGGACGAAAGTCTATCGATACGTGTATCGATTAGTATGGGGGTCACCGGTGAACGGAACCGTGAATTAAACGCAATCGAACAATCGAAAAAATAACATTGAAAAGAGTTGGAATATTTATCGGTAATATGTCGGCAACGCGAAGCGACGAATGAATAGGTCCGATCGAGAGATGGAACGAATCGTATTCTCGACGCTTTTCACGGCTGCACCGAGAATGAAGGTATTATGCCGATCTTGCTTTATCTCGATCTCCGAGAATAAAAAATTTCACGAGATATTGATGCTCATCGATTTCGTGATAAATAGAAAGAAATGGAATATAAGCGCGAAAGAGAAAGCAAAGACGGCCACGTTTTAATTATCTACGCTTTTAAAGAAGCCGGGTAGAATCTGACTGTCGAAGCGCGTTCAAAAGATCAGAGGATTTTGACGAAGTTTGTCGACGATGGGTATTGAATAGAAAAGTTACAAGATCATGGAAATTCTTGGCCATTTATTGACACGATTCGCTCGTTTACACAAATTGTACGGAATATGATACAAGTAGAAAGAGGATGCCAGTTTTTACAACTAGAAATATAAAATCGTCGGATCAAATACTCGGAGCGTATAACGATTATAAATATATACATCGCGTTCGCAAATCGCTCGTCTTGCATCGTAGTATCGAAGGAGAAAAAGCAAAATAGATATTGTTTCACGGTAAATGTATACTGATGGACTTAATTCGCTACGCGTATAAATAATCGGCGCAAAGCTGAAGGTGGCAAATACAAAACGTAGGAAGAAACGCAAAGTGATGTCTCGAATTCGAAAGAAAGTAAATGAATTCGGAGCAGAGGAAATGTAAAGAAAAATGAACGGTTGACGTAACAATTTGCGGACAGAATCGATACATACGTGCTACAGCGAAAGAACAATTTCCAGGAAAAGGCAATCGTTTCTACTGTTATGGTAGCTCTCGGATTACCAACTGACAGAGCTACTTTCAAACGTATCTAATACTTTCTATCGGTCGATTACACCGGCGTCGACCGAATGCTCGATCGATTTTATCCATGCCGATCATCGTGCATTATCGAACTTGATTCCGAGAAAAAAAATAGAGACGGCCATTCTCATCGGACGCAAAAAGTGGTCGCACAATCTCCGATCGGCAATTACACGAAATGTGCAAATTTCACCGTTATTAAACTTGATTCATAGCGGTTACGTGGTTGATTACATCACAGACGTCGAGTCTGCCATTTGTCGCGAAGATTGATCTCACCGTGACAGAAACGGATCGTGCTATCCGTCGAAATCGTACAGCTATTTTAGGATAAAGACACAACGGTTCTAACCCTTTTCGATAGAGCACGATGCGTAGCGATACTTCTGTCAACGGGAAATAAATACATAGTACTTGTATACGTGTACCTGGCCAATCTGGCAACTGTAACCCTCTGCTACGTCCCGGTTACTTCGATTCCGGTGATCTTGGAAATAGGCGTTAAAATACTTAATTCTTGATCCGAATTCGGCGGTGTCAAAGTATCCGTAGGTGTCCTCGATATTATCCTTACCTGCGCATCCTTGGACGATTCCACGATATTGCTCTCGATCCGTGTACTTATCGTTTCGGCTGAATTGTTAACGGTACACTTTTTGAAATGGGTTCTCATGTTGCTGCTCTGTGAAAATCGTAGAGCACAATTTGGACAGGAGTATGGCTTGGTACCGGTGTGGTAGTTGAGATGAGTCTTGAGATGATGCTTCTTCGTAAACGCTTTCGAACACAAAGTACATTGATACGGTTTCAATCCGGAATGAAGTCTCGTGTGCAACGTCATGTTCGAGCGATCAGCGAAAGCCTTCTGGCAGACTTGACACTGATACGGTCTTTCACCCGAGTGGGTCCTCAAATGCTGTTTCAACAGCATCTTTCTGGAGAAAGCTTTGCCGCACTGCTCGCACTGATGCGGTTTCACGCCGGTATGTATCCTCACGTGCATATTGTAAGCGACCCGTTGATTGAAGCTTTTCCCGCATTCGGTGCATCCGTATTCTTTCCGATTACGATGGATCTTCATGTGAGAGCTCAGGTAGCCACGATCGTTGAAGTATTTACCGCACTCTGGACAGGTGGCCGCGAATTCTCTGGTACCCTCGTGAACGCTTCTATGATACTTGTAGTTTCGCAGCTGAGAAAATTGCTTGCCACAATCGGCGCAACGAAACGGCTTCTCTCCCGAGTGCGTTCTGATGTGTACCTGAACGACATTTGAAAAATGCTACGATAAATACCGTATCGATCTGTATTCGGTGATTTTTAACGGGTTTGAATCCCATATGGAATGGGTGGACCGTTTATCGTGTAAAAAAATCGAAATCAATATACCTTCAAGGATGCTCTGGTGACGAAAGTCTTGCCACACTGGTCGCATCGATGATTTTCCTGAATCGTAACGGGTCTACCGTGCTGAGAAATATCGTTACCAATGATCGCGTCGTTGTTATTGTTGTCGCTATTTCGGATCACACGCTCGGCAACCTTATCGTCGTCGGTGCGCGCCTCTTTTTCCGTTTCCGCTATCGCGAAACGATCGTTCGTATCGTTCGAGTCGATCGTATCGCACAATCTACTAACGGGATGAGAAATTTCCGGCTTCTGAACCGGATGCTGTAGCACTGGTCCGAAATAATTTCGATTGACGTTCGGTTCACGGTTCTCGTTAACGCTCGATATGCACCTCGTCGCGGTTGGAATCGCGTTGTTTTCGGGCTGTAAAAGAGATTCGTTGTTTCTGACTTCGTTATTGATCGACGGAGCGATTCGAGCGGTAGTCGACATCGGGATTTCGCCCGAATAAAACTCCTGCTGTTTTGTTCCCGAACAATTATCTTCCAATGTTCGGCTATTATTACTGTACACGGTTTCGTGGACGATAGGAACTTCGAGGTCGTAGTAGAGATCGTTAGATGCTGCATTTTTCGGTAGCTGTAGATTCAAACTGCCAGAGGTTACTCGCGTCGTTTCCGTTGGACCAACTTTTTCTCCGACTTCCTGCAACAATAAGATCAATGTAAAGTTACAGTATTAGCGTAGCAAGATTTTCCTATCGAGGAATCGAAGGAGCACCGAATCGTTACGCGACAGTGTGTAATACTCCTTCGCTCTATTTTACGCTGCATCGCCATGCTCGAGCACGCTTTTAATCGTGTGCAATTACCGGAGAAAAATAGTAGAAAGAAAGCGGTGCAAGCGAAGATGTATTATCAGAACGTTTAATTATTGATCCATATAGTCGTTAGACGTCATTATGCTCGTCGCGTATATTATCGATAACTAGTTTGCAATCAGTGTATACATCAGTCTGTTTTATGCGTAATTAGTTATCGTTTCCGTGATCATAAATAGACGCACGATACATGAATAATACGAAGTAGAATTTCGATAAGGTACAATCGAACCCGTCACTCCGGTGACGATAAAGTAACAAAGTTATTGCAAGATATTTGAACTTATCGTTTAATTGGGTAACGAGAAGAGAATCATAGAAGCAAACGGTGCGGATTCTGTTTGGATGCAGCGGCTATTAAAATGAACCGGTCGTTCGGAACGGCAACAAATCCTCGATTTTTCGTGCAATTCGTTACACGTCGAATATCGCGTGATGGCAAGTATCGCTTCTTGCCGGCAAAATCACGTTAACCTATCGGCGAATCCGATCCGTTAATTGCTCGATCGAGCTTCTCCCACTTGGTCATGGAAAGGTGCAGTTCGATGCAGTCTGCCGAGATAAACGACGAAACGAAAAAAGCGTATAAAAAAAGGGAGAGGAGTCTCGGCATTAAAAGAACATGCGCCACGTTGCGCAAGGTCGTAAAGCAATCTGGAAAAAATCTGGAGCATATCAGTGCACGTGTCGAAAGAGAAAACGTTCCTCTCCGGATTGCGTGTAATAACATGTAAAACCAAAGTTCGCAGCTGGCGTGCACCAGCTGGTGATGCCGTTTGTCCACCGTGTGCCGAAATAATCCAGAAAAAGAAAGCTGCCTCGAAAAGTATGAAGAACGAAAAGAGAGGAAAAAATTCGAGCAACGAAAAAAGAAAGAGACGACGAAAAAGAAGGGGAAAACAAGACAACTGCCATGTAACTGATAGTTTCATTAATCAGAATGACATTGGGCTAACCAAGAGGAGGCAGCTGGTCGTGGATGTACATCTTATCACCTGGCACCATCGTATTACGCCGATCCAACTAAAATGAGTGGTTGCAAAAGTGCAACACGAACGACTCGGGCACTGATTCTTCTGCATATTTTAACGGAAGAAAGCAAAATGAACGGCTGGCGGCGCGGCGTATCAAGAAACGGTCGCGCGAGGTTCGGCGAGGTTCGGTTCGGCGCGGCGTGCTTTCATTTGTTGGTGAAAGGTCGATGAAGAATAAGTGGGTCCTGGTTACCCTGTTCTTCTTCTTGTTTCCTTAAGAAACACCAGAGTTCGCCTATAATTCATATGGATAAACGGTTCTGTGTTCCTGCCAACGATAACGATCTATGCGAGAAATTAAACGCAGAATCTAACGAACAGGATACGCGCGTATCGGGAAGCTGGTGAAAAAAATGACAATACCTTTACTCGATCGAACAGTTCGGAACGTTAGGTAGCTGCAAAATCGCGACGCGACGTTTAGCTCGAGTTTATTCTTTTTACGATTTCGATCGAAAAGCCTCGTAAGAGTACTAACCGTGGAAGATTCAGGCCACGAAAGCCTGAAGAATCTTAATTTGTGCTCTACTTACATCCGGCATAAACATTCTTTTCTGCCGAGAACGCTGATAAGAATCCCAAGGCAAATTAACCTTTCAACGGTGCATTCGAAATATTTCATAGTCGCTCGGCGCGAGGTTGGTCGGACCTCTTTGAACGGTTCCCTCTCGTTCAACGGTTCGCGATATCGCCGATACGAGTTAACGAATAGTAAATTCGAAATAGTGACTCGATCGTTGAACAGAGTTTGGTAACGCGTTCGCGAGTAGCCGGATCGAATTAGACGAAGAAAGTAAAGAAAAAGGATTAGCAGGACCGTCTCGCGAGCGATCCACTGGTTTTGATATCGATCGAAATAAAAACCGTTCGTGATGTTGGCAACGTCTAAGACGCATAAATGGCTCGATCGGTTACGGACTTTCCATAAGTGTTTTATGTTTGAAACGAGGACGATCTCGTGTACTTATAGACGGGTGAACGTTATGCAACGAGCCAAGAGAGATCATCAAAAGCGAGGAGATGGTGAAAAGAAGGGAAGAAAGACAGTCACTCGAGTCCTACGTGCAGTTTCAACGCGTCGAAAGATCACGAACGAAAGAAAAAATTACTTAAAATAGGTTTCAGCTTTGGTTTAGACCGGAACGGTCGAGCATGCGTTTAGAAAAACCTAGTAATCTCGCTTTCGATCTTCGAAAATTAGCGGATGGATCTACACTGGCTGTTCCAAGAGAGGAATGTATGAAATTTGAACGTATAACGCGGAATAAAGGAAAAAGATTAGAAGATGTTCGATGATCGTACGACCAGAGAACAACGTGCTCGTTTTAATATTATTAACTCGAAGCTGTTTCTTCGATAATGTTGCCCTCGTACGGTCTTATAGCCTTCCATATGGTGAGAAACCTCGAAGGATGAACACGAAAGATTTCATTCGCGATCAACAGGCATGGTAAACAAGTCACTTTCCGTATGAAAGGATAGCGATTGCTACTGGTAAGATTAGTAACCCGATCCCATGAGATCCGTGTATGAGAGGTGATGTAACAATATGAAGGTACAGAACGAGAATCGGTAATTGTATCTAACCGATAATCGTTCAGACAAATTCATCGAGCCTTGTGCAACTGCAAATTAACCGCAAAGAGTCGTCGAATCGCGTACGATCGATCGAAATTTAATAAAAGAATAAAATAATTTGAACGAAATCCATAGCGCGAAAAGAAGACGGAGAATCTGATCGGTTAGACAACACTTACATTCGCATCGTCGGCACACCGAAGAGGAAGTCCAGGTTGAAGAACGATAGGCTGTAACTTGGGCAAGTGATAAGGTCTGATGGTCTGTTTCCATGGCGAAGCAGTGACACGGTTGGCCACGTGTCTCCTGGGTGATTTCCAAAGCAAACAACCTTCCTGACACGACAAATCTTCGCCGTGATCCGACTTTTCGAAGAATCTGATCCGATCTGGTGAAACGGTGTTCCCGTCCTGACAACGCTCGACTCGGGAACGAATGACAGGAGCCCTCTCTTGCTCCAAACAACGATCGTACATCGCGAAATCTTTTCCAGGATTCTGATCAGTCTTCATTCTCGATTCGAACGGTTCTAATTGTCTATCGTGCAAGGTTCTCGAGAAACAGAATTCCCGTTGACGATGTTCGACGGACGAATCACAGACTCGAAGGTTTTCCGTACGTACAGCTTGCGTCGAGTTGATCCCATCGACGACAGGTATCACGGTTCGATTCGTTTCGCGTTTCTCTAAACGTTCGACGTTCTTCTCGTGTTCGAGATTCGAAAATGGCGGCGGTGGAACGGACCAGAACGTGCTAGAGCAATATTTTCCAGCTTCGTATCTCGATTCAACGAAGTTCATCGATTCAGGAAGCGGTCTGATTTCTCTTGCGGTTTCCAAGGACTCGATCGGTGGATACGGTTCCTCTTTGCTCGTAGAATCTCCATCTTGATTTCTCCCAGGACGGTACCAACCGTCGCAGCATGGATATTGATCGCAGCGCAGGTACTTCGGGTTGATCTTCACGTCTTTGATGTCTTCTTGTTTACAATCCGCTCGCGAGCAAGTCATCACGACCGGTACAGGAGGCAGTCTTATGCGGAGAGCCTCGGCAGCGCGCAGAAAAGCGTTCAACCGAAGACGAGGTACCGTCGCGCTTCCGGTGTACACGAAACCAAGAATGGCCGCCAGTTCTGGCGCTTCCACCTCGGCTAATATCACCGTGATCGGCTCGCAATGCGACGACGTTCTGCTGTGAGCCAACAACACTTCCTGAAAACAGAAACGAGTGAGCCAGATTATTTACCGGTACCTGAACAGAAATTTATGGCAGACGCGAATCCACGCGAATGCATAATTCCTATTGACCAACTTTTTTAAGGTCGACCGAGACGAGCGAAGCGTGTCGTTTCTTCCCGGACGATTTAAATTCCGCGACAATCCGTGCCTTTTTTACGTTTCTCTGGAAAAGGTCACAGTACCTGACGTCAGTCGGATTCTTTTGATTTTTTTTTCCTTTTATTTCGTTAGTTTCCGTCGTTACCGTAACCATCTGTTTAACGTGTTCCAAAACGAACCATTTTTTCTCTATTAAATTATTCGCTATCGACTCGATATTTAAATTCTGTTCAACGAGCTTGAAAGCAAAAAAATTCGAGAAGAATTCACTTAACGCCATAGCATTCCAGTTAACCATAATTTCCAGTACCAACTGGACGTGACATGCAAACGTGTTTTCTTTTAACGTGACAAGATTGTAGGAATCGAGTTCGGAAATGGTTGAACGGGATTGCAACTCCGTCAACGTCTACGTCCGATGTATAAGACTCGGTAACACGGACTATCTGTTATCCGTGATCATAAATCTTCAGGATAGAATCACGCATTTCGAATGATCGCAGAAATACGCGCGCAAAAAAAGTAATATTACGAACGCGAAACTGAAGGCTGCGTGTGTCCGTTATCGAGTTCACGTATCTATATTAGACGGTTTTAGGCAGAAATAATATGCGATAACGGCTCGGAACAACAAAGTGCAAATGATCAAGAAAACGTTCAAGGCAGTCAACATTAACGGTTTGTCTCGTATAATGAAACTACCTACGAATTGGAGATACATCGACGGTAGTCTAACGCAATTTCCTATTGTTGTTGCGTTACCGACCTATGTTGGAAGAAAACTTGTTAAGGCTCGAAAATGTAAAAATGTTAGAGGGAATTTAGATTATATTAGAGATAAGTTGAAATTTATTTCGACGTTCAACATTTTGATGTTAAACGAAGAAGATGGTAAGTCAGAAATCTGGTAAGGAAGTCGAGCGAGGAACTAGTTTGACAGAATTTTCTAAGAAAGTGACGCTACGTGGTAGTAAAGAAGAAAATAAACTGGAATTATCCGGGACGCGACGGCTAAAACGCGTCTGTATCTCGCGAAAAAACAAGCTCCGAAGATAAATCACCCCGTATCAACGACTCTCGTTACGCGTTCCAGGAGGCGTGTTATTATTACACTAATTTTCTATCGAGATACAACCACGAGCGCGCGCTAAACTAAACTAATGACCCTCATTACCGATCCGTTTGCAAGATTTTCTTCTAGGTAACGCGTTGACACGATGAAGGGACAAGCCGACAAAGAGAAAGGCTGCGAATCAATTTCTTTTCCCATCGTATCTTACCATTTTTAAATAACTTTATTCGATTATTTAATTCCTGCTTTGAACTTTTATTTCGACGATGTTCGAAAGTATATCGCGTTTTGCACGATTATATTTCGTTCGCGTCCCTTCTCAATTATAACCCGTTAACCTAATTTGTGATTTCACGGTCAGATTTCTTCGTTTTCCGGCTCCTTTTTTCGAGATGCAAGGCTTCTCGTACGATTTCTGATTATTTACACGCGACGCTATTACATCGTTAGGCAGTCACCGTTATCAGACACGATAACGAATAAAAAAGACCAATCGACAATCGTGCTTGTACACCTTATGCACGACACTGTTCTACTTATTAGATTATACTCGATCCTTCCGATTTATTCGTTCTATTTGAAAGGATAGCTTGTAAAGTTAGCCTTTTTTCTCTTTGTCCATTCGATTGCTTTATTTTGCGCATGATCGCGCGATGCAGCTCGATACGCAGTTTAATTAGATGCAGAGGTTCGCGTGATTAATTTAATCGCAACGTTATCTAAATGACAAGAATTTTTCAGTTACCTTAGACGGTATTAGGGATAATTCGTAATTTCAGATACGGTATCCTATCACCGTAAGCTTAAACGTTAGTTTGTTGCCCGTGTTAAGGTTACGACCGAAAGATATCGAATCGATGCAACGATACCGTTCGGTACAGCGACTGCAAAATGACCAAACCGATCGATGCCAAGTGTTATTTCGCTGTACTTTCGCGTCATCGAATCATCGCGTTATGCGCAGCGATCTAATCGAATATGAAAAACGATCAAGAACGAGAAGAAAAATGTTTCTTCCAGTTTCTTTTAGCCACGAGCGACGAGAACATCTTGAAATCAACTCGTTCTCTATTTTGAACGTATTTGAAGTAGCTCGAAGCGGTGATGCGCAGAATGATACTTGTCAAAGTATACGATTACCACTTAAGATGTCCTGTTTGAATAAAGATTTCGTCTAGTGGACATATAAACGGACAACTAAAAAAAGCTAGTAGGCGGAGTTGTCGATTGCTTGCAAATATAGAGATCGGTCGTCACTCGAAATCAAGAACGCGTTAACAAAGTGATTCCGAGGATAAGAGTACACACCTTGTCGGCAACGTTTGATGTTTAACCACCTGTATAGCGTCTACTTTTTTCGACACGATAGAATTACGTAAATCATTGCTTGCATATAACTTAACTGTATCTAATTTTTATTTTCGGATTGTATCGGAAACGTACAAGACTGTACGAAGACGATTCTTCTTCGCCGTAAGGTTTTTTTTTTATTTTCGTTCCTTTTTTCGTGATTAAGAAGAGTTAGCCTAGCAGAAAACGATAAAGCGAAAAGAATCAGGATTTATGAGAATTCTTATCCGAAATTTCCATTTTATTGCCGAATATTAGCGAAAGGATTTCATCGATCGTGTAAGATCGTAGTGCCGCGTTTCAAGGGAATTAAACTACATTTACAAATAAAATATTACATTTTATATGGAAGCAATTGACCTAAAAATCTGTGCTTAATGTTTCTCGTATGTAGGACAACATCCTGTGACATTAACATATTCTTGAATCGATTAGAATTTCGTATAAAGTACTAAAACACTACAATAAACTGTCCGGAATTCAAATTTAATTCGTAATGAAACATCGGATCATTTTTTCATGTTATTCTCGAGCAAACGAACAGTTAGAAATTTTCTTCGTACCGTGGACATATAATCACTGAAAATAGATCACTGCATTTGTACCTTTTAGCTTTAATGTGTGCTGACTTGAGATCTACAATTATATCATTAATATTCATATAACCACGTCGTTACAAGTATTTTATTTTTCTTTTTCTTTTTTATGCAATACTTATAATCGATCCACGACATATCTTACGGTTTAAGCAGTTAAACCTAAGGCCGTAAAAAGCATCGTATCAATTTCCGTTAATTGCACGAGACGTTAACGGGCCATTCGGTCCAACCGCTTAACTTTCATTTCAAATTCAATAGTAAAAGCGAAGCTAATCTTGAACATTTTACAACGTTATCTTTTTCGATGATCAAGAGATTCATTACCATCTCGTCTCTCGCGAATGTTTTATTTGTTGAATCACTCATTCAGAACACATATTTTGCCGGACGAGTTTTATCAATTTAACACGTGTTCGACAAATTGTTATCTTTTTCTAACGGTAAACAAAACGAACACGAGTCGATTCATAATACTCGAAACATTTTTCGAAAAAAATATTTGATTAAGATATATTAATGGTTCGCCGTTTACAGGTACTTACGTATATCGACCGGATATACATACGTATGTCCGTGACGCCTCGTCCTTGTTCGACAATCAAAACGAAAGAAAAAAGAAAGAACAGCAGAAATTGATTTATGTATGCAAAATCAATTTGTACGATTTTGATCGTTCGTAAAAGAGTCGGTGAAAAAATGCGTTATTCATTTTACCTTCGAATCGATTATGAGCATATAATTAGAAGCTCATTTTTAGCAAGTTCGAACAAGGTTCATTTTTTATCGATATTTCAACGAAGCGAACGTTTCAACAAAGATTATTATTGCACGAAAAGTTGAATAAAATCCAATTAATTTATTCGTGAAAAGAAAGAAGGATAATAAGGTCTATTAAAAACAACAGAACCCTGTAGTACGAGCTAAACGGTGATTTCGATGCTCGTACAAGAAACGAACTATGGAGGCAGGAGCACAGTGTGTGCGTGTTCGCGTATAATAGAGATTAACAGACAAACTATAATAAGCGGACGATACACGTAGAAGTTGTAATATCTCGCACGTGCAAAAAAAAGAAATATACATACTGCGTATAACACGCACCATTATTATTTCCGAAGCAAAAAAAGAACGCGCGTGTTTGCGTGTAGCTAAGCAGCTTATGACAATGGGTTCGTTAAAGAAGCTTTGCGAGAGACGACACGGTGTACTATCCCTGGGAATATAGCGAATCAACTGCCATATAAAATAGCTGCGTGCAAGTATTTTAATGGTTTGTAAGCCGCTATCAGGAAGATCAAAACGCGACGTTTAGCATGCATCAACTCGCATAACGCATATAGTGCGTCCTACGTGCTAGATGTTAGCGTGGTAACCCTTTACGAGAGACCGAAACGATAAATGAAATCATTAAGGTGCACTGACCTCCTGTATCAGAGACGAATTATCAAAGAAACGCATACATTCCTGTATACCCACAACATTTTCTCCTATCTACCGAATCTTTCCTTAACGGGATGTCTCCTTTTCAGATATCGTTTCGATGGCATAGCAAAATGATTACCATCCTCCTCGTCGATCATTTCGAAGGGAAAACTACCGCGAAAAGTTTCGAATCAGGAAGTTTGACATTGAACAGTGCCGTATACAGATACGCAAAAAACAGAAAAGCATCTGTTAGATGTAAAATTATCTAAGGTTTGTCATGCATGTAACGAACAACGTAACAGGACAACATCGAACGAACGGCAAAAATGGTAATAGAGAAAAAGCTAGGCCGTAAATAGTACTCATTATCGACTGGTTAAACGCGAAATACAAAATCGGGACATTTGTTGTCGGTATTCGAGCGCCGCGAACAACGAACAGAAGAGAAGAAAAAGAATAGATAAAGAAGTTGTACGCGCGTACATGAAACCTTTCACAGAGAGATTTGCAAGGTGTAATTTTTAAGGCTCGTTCTCCGCGTGTAGCGGCGAGCAATCGAACCGAAAACGATTACCAGAAAATTGCACCTCGTCGGGAAAGAAAACGCGATACGCGGACGTGGAGGTTGAAATTATGCAACGAGTATAAAGAGATTAGAGGTCGACGAAACGCGACTCGTGGAAAAGGAACAGAAAGAAAGAAATTAAACGATTCCCTTAATGCTATAGAGCGATGATCGTTCTCGTTGACTCGCAAACATAGTAATTTAATAATGTAAAACAGCTTGATTACCGTTTATCCTTGAAATATATATCTTGTACTTTTCGTTAATGAAAATAATATTAAATCGTATATTATCGCGTTATACGAATGCTCGAGTATTATCGCCGTTCATTAATCACGCAGAAACATATTATTTATGCGCGTTAACAAACAAGTCATTTTCGTGATACTGATAGCAGCTGTCAAACGTTTCATTAATAAGCATCGAAACGATTCGATGAAATACGATGTTTAAACATCGATTAATTAATTAGGTTTATCTCCCTGATAAACGTATACAGAAGTCTTACGACGTTCGTTGTAAGTTGGAATTAACGCGTGCCTAGATTTCCTTCGATCTTCTCGAGTAACACGTTTGTTGGGTATGTTATCGGATCGACCCTACCTTATCGTTCGAACGATGATTAACCGCATCCTAAGAAGCGAAATATTCGAAAATGGAATCGCTAAAGTAAAAGTATGCAAAGCTTACTTGCAAATAAGGGCTGGCAGCTGAAAGAACCAAACGATGAGCCAAGAATCTTTGCCCACCCGGACAACAGAGAGCAACGTCGGCGAATCTTTGGGACAGCATCGCCTCCTTTAGGAACTCCCCAACGTCCGGTGTCCTTCCAGCTACGCGAATCACCTCTCCCATCATGCTCCAATTCGTATACGATTAAGGCACTACTCACAATCGCTCGTCATAAAGAAGAGAAAAAAAAAAAATAGAAAATTCCTTTCGAACGGTTCAACACGCAAGTTTACTTTTATCCATGTCCCTGGAGGTTCGCTTATATCGTTTAAAGAAATTTTCAACTCTGATTAGTTGGCACTCGTTGCACTTGGTCACACTGGTTTTCATAACGTGTCGATGTCTCTCCGTACAATATCTTACGAACAGAATATCGATGTCCTATACACCCAGCGCTATAAGAGGAACAAAAAGAAATTGTCAAATAAGAATTTTAACGACATCGAGCCTTTGAAGAAGGAAAATAATATTTTGCAATTTCAGAGACATTTAACAATTAGGTATTTCGTTCGAGTGAAATGTAGACGTATCGATGTACCTTGACGTATTTCTATGCGATTTTATTACGATTTACTGAACCAGCGGTTTACAGCGGTTTGCAGCGGCTATTGCCATTGTACTGTGAAATTACTTTGTGGCCAAGTAATTGATACCGTATAAGATAACACTTCGATCAAAACAAGCATCACGTAAAACGTGCTATCATACGCATGGTTGAACAAAGTTATTCCTCTTTGGTTTACCATTTTAATAAACGTCGATCCTACGACTGGATAAATAAGAAGATTCCTCGTAAAATACCCGATAAACTCGTATAAAGTGGCGGTTAACGGGTGCAAGTTCTTAACGTCTGTATATGCATATAAATTATGACTTACAATTTCGAATAACTAACTTTGTTTGTAACGCGATTATTTCAAACTCTCGAACATTTTCCACAGTTTTTTCAACGTTACGTAATGTTTTGTTACGCGTTCACCCGCCACGAGATCAGCCCCGACAGAATACAGAAACAAACACGATTATCGACCGAAACGAGAAAGCTCATCTTGTGACGGACACAAGGTGTATCTGTAGGTTTATCGTCTTATGCACTTCATTCCGATGTATAGAAACACTTTACACGTTATCTCATGCTGTATTTTATGAGCCACTTTACCAAATCATTTGATATCTTTGCACAAATATTTGAGTTCGATAGACATTTAAAAGTACATTTTTCATTGTTCGCGAGCATCTTTCGTATAATTCAATGTACAATAATCTAGAAGCAATTTATGCACGGTTTCATATTGTCACGTACCTATGTATCGACGAGATTATCAAATATTTTCTACCATTCTCGATCTCGCGATAAATCACTCTTCCGTGGAACATTCACTTTCTTTCGCCCCGATATAAATGTCATATTTTCCGACTCATCTAACCTCTTTACACGAAACTCTTGTTCTTGTTCGATAACCACAAATTGTGTGATCGCAACGTCATCCGTCATAGCTCGATTTATCATGTTCATTATCTTCTTATCATCCATTGTAGAAGTCATATTAATCCGATCGCATGAAACCTCGGACGAAATACCTAATGGTGTCCATCAATGATATCGGTAGTCGGATCAAAATCTGTTTCTAAAGATTTCGAAAGAAATAACGTGAACGATGGAAAAAGTCTAATCATGCATCGAAAGATAGCCGAAAATACAGAAACATATATGTATGTATATACGTATATATACATATATATATATTTAGAAAAAAATGTCGATACGATGATCGAACTAACCGTGAAAAACGCGCGTGTCTCGATCGATTCGACAGTGTCCGTGCTGAAGTGAATAGAATTATCCGACATCGTAAGCAACGTGAAATAGTGTAACGAGAACTCGACCGAGAACTCGCGGAATTTCGTGGATCCCGATGCTTACGAGGTGCCCGTCGCTGAACAACTCAGCAGGGCGACTGCCACCTGAAATGCTCAGGTGAGCAGAGACCACCTCTGCTCCTTGCAGTCTCTCAACGGAGAGAGAACTTGAAAGAACTCCTCCCATATCGGTGCTTTACTCCCTCCTTGAACACTTACATTTCCCATCCTGACACACGATTCACCCGACCATCGCTCGAACAATCGAACCTAAGATAATTAAACGAAAAAGTGCCGATACCGTTTATGTCGAAACGTTTCCGTAGACGATGCGCTACCCGATGCAAACATCGTGATCATAATAGATTTTGACAATTATGTTTAAGACAATTACGATAACGATCGAACTGGTCGAATACCTACAGCAAGAACATCCCAGATTTGTTCGAGGGCCCCCTATACTCTAGATACGGTACTGCGATCATCAAATTGTTGCGAATTCTGCGTCAGTGTTTATCGGTAAAGCCTTTATTTTTTCATATTAAAGGCTAACATATGTATTTAGCTTTCGACGTTAATTGTGCATCGATAAACTTAATGGACAAATTAAGTTCGTGATTCTCAGCTCGTAACGAGAAATACATAGAAAGACTGATCCGAAGTGAAAGCGACACTGTCATGCTTCGCTACTCGCGTTTGTTTTAAAGAGTACCTTATCAGGGTCGTGATAATCGAGCGGACTAAACATCCAGCTTGACAAAAAAATTGTCGAATTCGTAGTAAACTTCTCGCTTGTTAATTTAATGGAATCTTTTCTTTAGAGAAATAGTTGTTTTTACGCGGCAAACGTTTTTAATTGTTATAACGCTCCACTTTGTAAAACGCGATAATCCGAACGTAAATCGTACGGAAGGTTTGTGGGCCACATTTGACTGGTTCTGGCACGTGGTCGATGCTAAATCCATTAACACCGAACGAGTACGTTTTCTAGATTGATTATCAAGTAAACACAAGATGGTGTCGGTTCCCGTTTTATCAACACGTTAGTTTTACAGATTGGTGTTCGCATCGATCTGTCAAAATTTTCTTGTACCTACATAAATTTCCTTATACTGTTATTTCGCTTATAATTTACGACAATTCTAACTATTGATACTACAAAAAAAATGTTTACGCTGTAAATTACCAATCTCATTCTATGATGCATCGATTCGAAGAATGACACTGATCTTAAATATATTTTGCTACCTTCTTCGCCGATTGGTCAGTTCGTCACCCTAATAGATTATCCCCCCTGACGTTCAATTGTTTAATGTAATAGTTTTTTTAATGGTTCTGCGCGTTTCGTTTCCGCGAATATAGATTGCTTTAGTCGTTGCTAATTTACTAAAAATTCGAGAAAAACGTTTAGAAAATTTGAACCTGACCGTAAAATAGGGTAACCCGCAATTATGACAACGCTTACGGATGTAAAGATCAAATCATGGACAGCCGCGGTTCCTTGCAAAGTTTCGGACAACATCGTTTCTTCTCAATTTTCGTCGCAGAAAGTATTCGTACCCTCTTACGAAAAGTACGTTATAAATTTTCATACGATTCGACTCCTTTCAATTCCTTTCGTTAAAATTTAGTGAATTTTATAGAGAGAAACGTCCTTGTATAGAGCAGTTATTGACTAATGAATATCAACGAATATGGTGGCAAGAAAAAGAAGCGTGGGACAAACGACACGCGAGTAAAAAGACATCTTCCAAAAAATTACTGCAACATAAAGTAAGAGATGCGATTATCGATCTTTTCGTTGTTCGCTCGTCTAATTATTTCTTATCGAAAAGATAATTAAAAAGAAACCGACAACGGTACCTATAGAGAAACCAAAATTGATCAAAAATACAAGGAAACGGAAAGAAGCGACAGCTGTGAAAACAAGCGAGAAAGCTACGGAAGAAAAGCAAGGTAATGATAAAAATTCTTCTTAAACTTCGATATATCAAATTAATAAATAATTTGTACGTGTTCCATATCTCCGTGTTAATTTAATTAGAGGAAACAGAAGTTCTTGAACAAAAAGCCGAGAAAACTGAGGGCGTAGAACTTGTTCTCAACAAGGCAAAGTAACGATGGACAAGCGATAAGAAAATGAATAGATAGTTTCGTACTATCGATTAAAGTATAAACTCAAAGAGAATCCATAGCAACGATACAAGATCAAACTATCCAGAAATTGCTGATTACACAAACTTTTCTGTCTATTGCATATAGCGAAATTCAAAAAATAAACAAAAACAACTGTTACTAATGATTTTCAATGAAGTTGTGAAAAAAACTTGTTAATTAGATTATAAATACGCGGTGATTCGAATAGAAGAAGAATAGATGGCGCTTTTTACCGGAAACGCTTGCAAGAAGCATTGCACAAGTAGAAGAGGAATTTTGCCTTTCCCTCTCTGTACTCCCCTTTGCAGGAATTAATGTGTTTCGATAGGATATTTTATCGCGTAGCTGATGCTTTTTAAATATTAATACATAGATATAAACGTAGCCGCAGTTAAAAGCCGACGTTATGAACAATGCTTATATGTACTTGTAACAGAAACACACAATGGCCGAAAGTTATTACCTTGCTTAATGTTTCTGTTATTTTCAGGGCATTTTCGACAATTCTAAAGGTTTTGTTTTTAACAATATTACTTACCAGTCTGTTGTAGTGTGATAAAATTACGTGTGGCGAACACTACGTGTGTATACGATTGCAGTTTGTCGAAAGACGAAAGTGGAAAATGCTGATGCAACGTGCAGCGATAGTTGAGTTTGATTTCCCACATGTGGAATGAATTTTTAAAAGGGAAAAGAATGTCGTCACGTGTTTTGCACGCTGATTCAATGTTCCACAATAATCCATAATTATTTATTAATTGTCATAACCAACAATTGAATCGACCTTGATATAGCTTTATTCCTAACTGGCTCATTTTTATTTTTTTTTTCCTTTTCTTATTGTGTATTACAGAATGAACACTTTTTCCTTTTCAAAATAAATCGATGTAGATTCGATTATGTTGTCAATTTGTACCTTTTCTCCTTCTTTGTTTAGAAAATTAAAGGAAACCTACCGATGAAATATCCAATATTTTGCCTGTAAAACAAAACGAAATAATCAATATTATTGCATCATAACCGATTCGCTCGTAAAGATGTTTAAAGATCTCGGAAAATATTGCTTAATAGCAGCGGTAAAAGATATTCACAAATATACCATAGAAAAATAAATAAAACGCATCATTTATTTTCGCTACAACGCTACATTTATTTCATAGAATCGAACGCAGCGAAGCAATTAATTGTAGGTTAAGAGATTATATTCAATCGCAGTTTACAACTCTATTTAAATGTTGCGAATCTATCTTTAGTCGTGTTCCGGTATGAAAAAGTCTACAACTACGTATAACTTCATTCGATATCCTTCGAATATAATATTACATTCGTGCTAGCCCATATTTCATTTCTACTATTTCGTTGCAAAACTACCTAGGTGTTTCGTTACGTTACCCTATCGCATTAAATAACATCTATCGACAATTGTTTCCTATAAATTCTTTGAAATAGTGAATGAAGAGAAAACGAATTCGTCTATATATTCCTTTATAAATTAATTCGTTTTTTAGTAAAATACATAGTACTTACATATGCATAGGTATTTTTCATCTTTCCCAGACTATATTATATCTGAATGAAATTTACTGAAACACAAAATATTTCGAATATTTTATAAGTTTCATTAAAATTATCAACATACGCTTTATTTTTATCTGCTGTACTTGAATATTTCTCGCGTTTATTGTGAAAACTATAATTACAAGTACATTATAAATATAAAATTGTTGCATCGAAGTAATGAATATGATTATATGATTACCTCATGAAAATGTACTTCGTTGTACTTTATATAGAAAAAAATGTATTAATTTCCTGTCAAATTTAAAACATCTTTGATTACGGTAGTACCGACGATGACACAGAATCTTCGTTACAGTGCTGCCGCCCAACTGCAGAAAGTTGTATAACTCATCGACTCCATTTTAACTCGTCGAATCTGGTTTAGTCGTAACGTCTGACGCGTTAAAATAGTTGAATCGAATAGCTATTAGCTCGAAATACCTTTCAAAAAAACACTTTCGCTTGAACTAATTCGTGGTAATGCAAAAGTGTTTACGGCAGTGAAACATAAAAGTGTTAAATTGTTTAAGCAATTCTGATTTTTTCCTCGGTATGTCAGAAGGCGAGGCTACAGCGTCGCAGAAGAAACAGCAGCCATTTCAGCAACAGCCGCAACTTGGAGTAGGCTCAATGGCGAACATGGCATGGCAATATCCCTCGCCAAACAATATTCACAGCATGTTTCCTTCATATTCAGGGTAATTTATTTGATATTTCAGCTTTAAATTAATGTGCGACAAAAGTGATCAATTGTTACATTGCGAACAAAAGAATCGTGCATCGGTACGAACAAGAGCATAATTACCTATGATTTTTGAGATTTGAGACCTAATTTAAACATTGTAACGTTTGATTTTGCATAAACACAGACGTCGAATACGATCAAAATAAAAGAGTAGAAAATATATGCGTAATTTAATGTATATCGATGTGTCGATAAAGTATGTTGGCCTAATTTTAGATTAATGCACCTAGTATAAATATCTTTGAACAAATATATACGTTAAATATTCCAACATTTTTGTTTTCTTATAGGCAGTTATATGGAGCAGGATATCAGGGTGTGCCTCATCAAGGACAAACATTTAGTTATTACCATGTAATGATGCCTGGATATGGACAACCTTTTAATCAACAGCAGATGCAACAGCAGCAGCATCAACAGCAACAACAGCAGCAGCAGCAGCAACAACAACAACAACAGCAACAGCAGCAGCAACAGGGCAATAATCAAGGGAAACAGCTACATCAACAGCCACCTGTACCTGGAACACCTATGTCTTTGGATGACGATTCGGATCTTCCTCCTTTACCTCCTGGTCCTCCGCCGTCTGTACAAACGTCTCAACAGCATAACGCTCAAGTTCAGTCATCCATACAAACTCATCCAGGATATATGTACAATTCATTTCCGTATGGTTCTTGGAACGGAATGCATGGTGATATGTCTCGTAAGTTTGGCCCTTGTATTGATCATTTAATATCTTTTTTGTAATATATGCATTGATATATACCATTATTTTTTTCAGAGTACACTAATCAGATTCGTTTCAATATACAAAACAAAAAAAATGGCTTAACATTTTCTCCGTCCGGTAATAGTGGAGCTGCAAAGAAAAAGCGTAAGAGGAATAAAAATTTAGCAGCCCAGTTCAACAATAGCTTTCAGGCAAATAGTCCAACGACAAATTTTGTACCTGCTTCCAATTTGAAGACAGAATTACCACCCTTACCCCTCGCGCAGCGTGAAGTAGCAGCTCCTCCTCCACCAACCGAAGAATCCCCCACCCCTACTACACCTGTTATTTCGAGCGCTAACACAGCTCCTAGTGCTGGTTCTCCAGCGGTAGGTACTACTTCTGTCGTGACAATTCCTAGCCCGGTTGTAGAATGGCCCGACAGTTTGAAGAATTACGTGAACAGATGTTACGAAAAATGTAAAACAGCTGTTGACAAGGATCAAGTTGAAATTATATTAAAAGGAAAAATTACTCGCGCTGCGAACGATGGCTCGCTTTGGGTGAAGGATTGGGACCAAGAACCTTTGCCTAGTATTCACAGCGAACGTATGACCATGACGATAAAGCCTCAAAAGCCGACGTTAAAATTGAATAATTTAGCGAATCCGCTGTTGAATACGCAGGGAGGCTTGCGCAAGCCAGGTCTCTCTACTTCTCTCGGGGCTCGGCATGGTGCGCGTCTCTCTGTGAATCACAAACGGTCGAGGTCGAGGTCTAGGACTAGATCAAGATCGAAGTCGAGGTCGAGGTCGAGAACAAGGTCGAGGTCGAGGTCGAGGTCGAAATCGAGGTCACGTTCAAATACACGTAGCCCACCGTCACGAAAATACAGGCGTAGTACATCGTCGTCGTCCAACGTTAGTGATCGGGAACACGATTATAAATCGATAAAAACGAAAAAATCCGCTAAAAATAAACAGAGTCACAGCAGCAAGAAATCAAAGAAGACTAAACAGATGAAATCACATTTCTATTCAGAGTTTGGTTTAGCTACAGGCAACGCCGAGGAATTAGGATCCAAGGAGAAATTACAACAACGTGCTGCAAGATTTAACGATAGTATTTCTAGGACTGTCAGCAACGGTGTTAAAGATGATTCTACCACAGATTTTGATTTTACCGGACTTCATATCGTAGGAATCTGTAAGGACATTGAAAAACCATATTTGCGATTAACATCGGTAAGATTTTATTTCCTTATTTTATTGAAAAATAATTAAGTTCATTTGTGTTTAATATTAAAGTATATATTTACTCGCTGCAGGCTCCAGCTCCCTCCGCTGTTCGACCGGTAAGTGTACTCCAAAATTCTTTGGCACATGTCAAGAAGCGCTGGGTGGCTGATCAAGACTATAGATATGCTTGTGATCAACTTAAATCCATTCGTCAAGATCTTACCGTCCAAGGTATACGAGATGCATTTACAGTCCATGTGTATGAAACGCACGCCCGTGTAGCTCTAGAAAAAGGCGATCATGAAGAATTCAACCAGTGTCAAACACAATTAAGGATGCTGTACCAAGATGTCGGGGGAGAAAACCGATGCGAATTCGTCGCGTATCGAATATTGTATTATATTTTTACCAAAAATAGTCAAGGTATTCAACTAGTTTATTGCATTTACTAATTTCATGCAAAAAATTCAATCGAAACAGAATTATATAAAAAATTTAATATTTGTATTACAGATTTAACAACTATTTTAGCGGCTTTGTCGGAAGAAGATAAACACGACGAGTGCATAAAACATGCATTAAAAGTGCGTTCGGCTTGGTGGCAGGGTAATTTCCATGCTTTTTTCAAGTTATACACTTCTGCTCCAAGGATGGCAGCCTTCCTAATGGATTGGTTTGTTGCGAGGGAACGCAAGAACGCCTTGAAATGCATGATCAAGTCGTACGTACTAGATTCTTTAATAATCATTATTTATTTACATTTTAAAAAATATTTTCCAATTGTATTTAAGATAAAAAATATCGATATCATCAATGATAAACGGTATTTTCTTTCGCAGATTAAGCATAATTTCTTTCTAGCCTGACCTGTATAAAAACATAAATACGAAGAATTAAGCGATGTATTACGATTACAAAATTCTAATGAATCTTTAAGTATATTTCCATAAAATATATATGGAAATATATTTAAGTATCACCAGTGTATCTCCTTAGACTAAAATGTATTTAATAACGAATTTCCTTAGTAAAGGAATATTATTTTCCAGGGAAGAGTACATTGTACCGAGAAGAAGGTGGACGATTGTAAATAATTTTTTTTTAACAATTCTAATCATGTGTAGATTTTTGTTATAGGATTCTGTAGCTGAAAATAACTAGTTTTAAAGATACTAATTATTTTTTAAAAAATATGTATTTGTTACATAATTGTCTAACGATATATTTCTTCTACTGTTTAGCTACCGGCAAAATTTGGCGGTTGATTTCGTCGTAGCAGAATTGGCCTTTGAATCTTTGGACAAGTTTTATGAATTTGTCAATGAATTTGGGTTGGTTTATGCTGATCCAGAACAACATCTTATCGACTGCAAGACAAGCAGTGGTTCTGTAGGTGCTTGGTAAAGCAACAGCACTCTTCTTTCGTGGAAGATGTTAAAACAAACCAAATGCATTTGTGCATATTTGTAAGCACACACTCTTGTGCTGAATTTGTATATGCATGTGTTTCTGATATATGCGTATGTCTCTGTACAAACATACGCATATGCATGTGCATATATCATAGTACACGTTGACCTGTTACGATATAATTCTTCTTACTGTCCCCTAATATTGCCCGTTCTTCGTTGCTCGACGATAACCAGTCGGACAACAATTTGTAAATGAAAATTTTCCCTGCGATAATTTGTATGTATGTATATGTATATATTTATATATATATATATGTATATATATATTTATTTATTGTATCTCGATCTTAGCCCACAGTACATAATCACGATGCGAAAACTCTTCTATGAGGCTGATAAATACTATACAAACAATAGGATGATTATTTTAATCGTCCACTACTACCTCAATAAAACACTCGGTATGAAGCCGAGAAATCTCGTGGTAAATCATGGGAAAAGAAAAGGAGGAAAAGAGAATGATAAATTATCTTCAGGAAAATTTCGTTTGGGCGGATTTCGAATTCTTCGACCACAATCAGTTTCCCTTCTTCATTGACCTCGTTACATATTTTTGCTGCCACATTTGATGACTATAAACATCTTTTCAAACCATATTCTCAAAGGATCCGAAGTTTCTTAACTATTCGCCAGTGCTTTCGCCCAACAAGGATACCATTTTTATTGTTATTTCGAGGGAAGAAGCTCCAAAATTTCGTACAGTGGACTCAAAATCTTACTTCACCGTGTATCGCAGAATTCGGTGATTCTCTTTCAACCAGACGCGGAAAATTGGAATTGATTCGAGAATATATGTACAGAAGAGCCTAATATTGAACATAAAAATCAACATCAAGGATCAAGGGTTTTCTCAAAAGATTAAAGAATTTTGCGGGCGTAAAGGAAAGAAGTTGACACACAGGACATCGTGTCGATACAGGAAGAAACGAAGCAAGAAGTATTATTTCTTTTTTGAATACACAACTAGAAGTCTCCTACACTGGTCAAGTATTCGAACGTAGCATCAACGAGCATGAACTTTTTAAACAGAACATATATATTGGTATTAAATGCCATTCGCGTGTGATGAGTGATTCTTTTTATCTTTTTAAGTGTTTACCGCGGGACAATACTTTTTTTCTTCGTATATAGTTTATTCGCCAATTCTCGAGTGTTGAGAATTTTGTCTTTACTTACGATGTTCAGACAAAATAATAGTGGAAAGAAGAAAGGACGTACGTTTCATTGTATAATTATATTCGGACACGGTGTTGTGCATAATAAATTATTTAATTTTTGGATATTATATTACTCTTTTTGTATAGTAAAAAACCTAATGAATTTGCAAAGCATCTAGGTCATAATTTTGTTACTGATGAACGCACGGAATTTTATCATATGTTCTGCGTTTAATCTAAACAATTATTTAATGTCGTTAATCGTAAAAATTAATGTAACTATTTAAATTCAATAATTTCTGTATCATTTTCGTTATAGGTTAACAGTCAAACATGAATTTACGAGTGCTTACAGTGCATGTTTTTTTCTTTCAATATTATCGTTAAGAAGAATACTACTTCCAAATTTTAATTACAAAGCTAACCTATTTAACTTTTTTTTAAAAAAGTTTTAATTTAACTTTCTTCTCTAGAAAGAAAACATATTAGTGTTACGCTTTGGTACGTAATTTACTTATTGTAATGAAAATTAATTGAATTGTGTGAGTTTTATGTAACGGAGGAGTAAAACATACAAGTACCTAACGGAGCTCGCGCAAATATTTAAATAATTGTTTCGTTAAAAAAATAATTTAATACTTCCAGAATTATTATCATTATCATCATTATTATTAATATTATTATTATTATTATTATTAATAGTCCAGTAACATTTTTTCTTGAAATATATATATATATATAATTCAAAGATCAGATTGTGATTTTTTGAAAGATCCTTTTTAAGTTACTTAATTCGTCTCTCACGTATAAGTTGCAAATAATACTGTGCGATACTACATTACAAATACTTTTTCTTTCTTTTATATTATTCCAAGATTATACACATATGCGTGTATAAACTAACAATTCGTATGTCATGAAATGCACATGGTCATTTCACAGGTTGTTACAAAACTATAAAATTTCATTTAAGAGAAATTCAATATAATAAATAACAATAAAATTAAATATTATCGTTAACAATAATCGATATTCGATGAGGTAATTAACACAATAGAATTTTTTATTTATTACTTCGAACATTAAATGTTGCGAGGTAAAACATACATTTGCTAAAATTTTTCAAACTTTCGCGTGTATCAATAATTGTCGGGGAACGATCGTGTAAAAGATTTCAGCGATTAATTCTTACAGCTCCATGTTACGAGATTTATAGTGCGTAATGATTTTAAGTTTTACGACATTTCTAATTATTCAAATTGTGTTCATAAGAACTATATATGTCACTAGCATCTTTTAAAAATACATATGTATCTATAAGATAATTGCTGTTCTTTTAGAATTTAAAGAATAGAATAAACTATTGAGACATTAAACGACAAAATGCAATGATATAACCCAATTTCGAAAATGTAAAAATAAAATGTATGAAGTTCAAAAGATGATTAACATATATAATTCTTAACACGTATATCGTTAACCGGCTTGAGATAGTTATTACTTACATATTACTCAAATAAAAAATGTTAATAATGAAAAGTAGTTTCATAAAAAGAATTCAAGTGACTGATAACGTTGTTTGTACGGCAATTTATACGGACAAGGACACGAAACTGTTATATTGGGTGATGTTGCGTTTCAGAATATCTGCGCAAGGACCTAAAACTCGTTCAAATCTTGCTCTATCGAGTTTCACACATTTTAATGGTCCTCGTGCCACTACAGTCGCTGCTCTCGGCCTGTCCAACAACAGTGCAATTTCACCTGTAGTCAAAGGAATGTTTCACGATTAATTTCCCTCGCGATATCCCATTTTGAAAAGAATCTGTAACACGAAAAGCTTACCAAAATAATCAGACGGCCCTAAACGACCAACCTCCGCAGGTTCCTCGCCCTCTGAACGCTGCTGAAGAACGACAGCCGTACCCTCAACTATTATGTAAAAATCTTCGCCCGGTTCACCTTGTCGAACTATCGTTTCGCCGTCATCAAATGCTACCGGTTCTAAAGCATCGGCTACCGTCAGACGTTCCCATTTATCCAAAGACTCTAAAAATAAAACAAGATATTTTGTGTGCAAGATATTCGATTCAAAATAGTATACTTTTGGCTGGTATTCGCGAAACATGAATCATGGTTACCTAAAATCGAAACTCTGGACAGGAATTCCTCGTACATCTTTCGTTTTCTTATAGTTGAACCCATAAGAATTCTGCGGTAAGAGTCTCTGTCGATACCCCATAATTTTACGTCAGTTTTTGCTCGAACAGTGGCAGCACGTGGAGTACCATAGATCAACGCCAATTCACCAAAACTTCCTCCCTCGCCGATCGTTGTAACTAACTCTCCGTTTACAAAGATTTCAACTTCTCCTTGATCAATAACATAAAAGTTGTCACCTTCGTCGCCTGTTGATATATGTAAAAAATTTATAATTATATTAAATGTAACCAAATATATGACCTTGCTGTACATATAAAATATATAATACAGAATAATTAATCATTAAAGGATTATTCCAGTTCATACTTGAAAAAGCCGTCACAGTAAGATACCTTGACGAATAATCGCCTCTCCGGGTAGAAACGTGACGGGAAACATTGCATCGAATATATCGGAACGTTCATTTTCATCGAGATGAGCGAAAAGGACATTTTTAGCAATTGCCTTGCTCAAAGCAGCCATCGTTTTGTAGTCTTTAGGTACGACTTTTTTAACGTAACTGGTCGCATCTTCTTCGGAGACCGGTTCCGCGGAAATACCACCTCTGCGTCGAGGGACCTGAGGTCCTTGTTGACCTGCAGGTATATCCTCCGTGTCCTCTGGACTTGTTGCAATTTGTTGCTTTGCATCGTGAGCCTGCTCCTGCAATAGAAAAAAAGAATTAATCTATTTTGGCTAGCCGGTAACATTACGTAACGGAAATTAGTTTCTTCTGGGAAAAGTAAATTATTCGAAAACCATTGTTTCGAAAGCTGTTTAAAATTCTTTAAACACCATCCGGCTATCTTTTACTTTACTTGCCTGCTGCACCATGTCGGACGTTGATATTCTCCAAGTTGAATTTTTCAAACGTTAACTCCGATCCTACAGGCAAGACGGATGTTTTGTTTTCGCGAAGAATAGATCTCGAAAGCGTAAGGTTTTTTCGTTTTGTCAGTTTGATTTAAGTAAAAACGCACGACACTTAAAATTAAGCCGCATAAGCAAAACAAGGTGCTATAAAGTCAATTTTGCTGAGACATGCGCAACACAACTACGTTTTTTCCTTAACAAACATATAACGGTTCTTCTAATGCTTTTTAAATATACGTAAAAAGTAAAGTCATGTATAGAGCGAGTTTCAAAATATATTTTTGTAGAACATAAAAGGTGGGAAGATGACGAAAAGTATACGCGCGTTCAACGTCGTCCCCTGCTTATTGTAAAATTATATAAGCCCTTAGATAAAATATTATACGGCCTAACAACGATGAGCATCAATGCGAGATAGGCAAATAATGCCATAGGTCACTTGGCGTATTCACGGTTAAATGCACCACCGTAAGTGTATTGTACGACATAGTAGATAAACATCAAACCGATCATTAATGCAAAATGATTTTACACACTTATTTTTCCCTTAATAATGCGATTAACTTGTCACGCGATTTTATAAACAGTAAGTTTTTTTTTAATTTAACCATTTCGTTATTAAATTTGGCTAAACGTGACATATATATAATATATATATACTTAAAAATAAAGATACGTAATAGAATCAATGTCACGGACTATACTATACTATATTTTTGCTAGAATATAAAAGGAAAAATAAAGTATGTAAAAGTTATTTGTAAAAACAGTTACTATTAACGCTAATGATAAGAATGAATTAAGAGAACAAAAACGGAGTAATGTCAAGATTAATTGGTCAGTGATCTTAGCACGTGGTGTAATAACATTGTACAATTCGTAAATGATTGTTTCATATATTATAATGCAATGAAAATTTCACAAACACAAACATCGAAAAATTAATCTACAACGATTGGTTTTAAAAAATTATAATAAAATTTCATTGCGTAATTGTTTTAACACCACAAGATATTAGTCGCTTATTTTATTTATACGCAACGATATGTTTTGATGGTCATCGAAGCAAAGCAATACGACTATGTACTAAATATCAAAGCATAAACCTTAGTTTTTGCTTATTATAGACAAGCTATGCTAGTTCATTAAACTGTACGTATCATCTAATAATAAGATTGCACGTGTAAATTCTGCATAAAATCCGAATCCACGATCGTACCTCGCTCATTATTTGTCGATATTACTCGATATTCGATATACTTGATATTACTTAATACGTATTCTTCCCGTAACACGCTTTTCACGCACACAAATCGGTATTTGAAAAAATATTTCTTGAACAACGCACAAAGAACAACGATCGTTCTTGATTGCAACGTTCACCGCGCCACTTTGGAATTTTCTAAGGTCTCACCAAATTCGATTAATGCGACACGATCTTTGCGTGGCGGTTACTCGCGAGCTCGGTGCTAATGTACTAGAAAATAATCGTACTATTGATACTGTCGCAAAATTTTTCGGTGATGTGTAGTCAGATTAACACATAACTCATTGACTGACGAGAAATGAACGTACAACACAACATACTTCCGGCATTATCTGTTTAAAACGCATCGTCGTAGAGCGCTTCGTATATTTTCAACGACTACACAAACATGTTACACGTTACATGACTTTCGTTAGCCGTTGGTAAAGGTTGCTCCTCGTTATATTTTGAGCATATTCTATTATTAGAACAGCCCCTGTATCGCGCATACTATTCTTTCCTATATAGATATACGTGCAGAAAAATAAGAACGATATTGTACTGATTTTTAACGACTCTACATTTTGTGTTCACTCACTCAGTGCAATTCATCGAGAAACGAAAAATATTATCGATCATTCTGCGTGATATACTTTCGCGTGATATAGACAGCTAAAAAAGGGCAGTTAAATGCTTTGTGAAGATACGAATCTGGTCAGGGGCAATGCTGCATAAATTCAAGGAAAAATAAGTAATTCGATACTCTCCTATCGTGAATGCAGACATTAAATAAAGATTTTTCTTTATTTTGAATAACCAAATACGATACTGTAATATTTGCGGTACAGATAACAAACTTTATACATTTGACCCATATATGTACATACAAGTAAAAATTTATATAATTAGTAACATTTACCGAACATCAAGTTTTCCAAATGTAAAACGTAAATGTTAGTCAATTGATAGTATAAGGCTTTATATAATATTTATACCGGGATTGCATTTTATTCGTGTTAAAAATACTACGTGTTCTCAAATATAATACAATTTCTAATTTGTCACAATGTTAAAAAATACATGCAATTTGAGTGTAAATTAATCAAAGTTTAAGAAACAATTTTAAATTTAACAAACCAAACCAGAATATTTCTAAATAGAATTTCATAAATAGAATGAATTTATGAATTTAATATTTATCAATTGTAATATTAAAATAAGCAAAAGCGACTGTTTGCCAAAATATTTTTTTAAAGCTTTGACACTTTCAATCAATGGTTTACATATTGGTTATTATAATAAGTTGACACAATTTCTTAGTGATAACCATTTCGCAACATTATTATTATTATTATTATAGACTAAAATGAAACTTGTGCGATAGCTAAAACGTATATAAATGTAAATTAACTACTACTTTTTTAACATAAATTATAACACATTAATTAAGTAATAGTATATACCTATTATGCATATATAAAGAAATATATTGGACGTAAAAATACTATTTAACTTATTCAATGTTGAACTACTGAAATTAGGTAATTGATAAGAAGTGATTATTAACAAATATTAACAAATAATATTTGACGCATCCTTGATACGTACATTTATATACATATTTAAAGTTAATTGATACTTCATCATGTACTGGCTACTGTACAATAAATATCTATTAGTATAATAAAAGAGTTTGCAATAAAGTTAAACTACTAGCGTGATTCACAGCCAATCGTTAAATGAAAGGGGAAAAGTAAATCTGAGGTTATTTTTGTGAAATGTGATTCGGTACGTACCCGTTCCAGTTTTTGAAAGTATTCTCTCAAAAAAGATATAGGATTTTCAGGACGCCCCACGCACAACTGCACTATACAGTCTTTTAAAACTTGTTGAATATTGTGTCTTTGTACGTATTCCTCGCACTCTCTTAAACTTTGCTCTTCCTCAAGATTCGCCGCCATATTGATATACAAATTGACACTTTATAGCAAATACCTTTTCAGCAATTCTGATTTCGATTTGAATATCAGAAATGTCTTTTTCTATTGGAAAATTATTATTCTTGACATTAGCAATATCGCTATATCTATCTCGGTATCTAATGTTCATTGTTTACTACGCTATACGTATATTGCCGTTAGCCATACTTTTTTTAACTATATATTACATATACAAATAATTCAATAAAGTATGACATTGTTAATGCACGTGCAATATTTAAATATTAAAATTAAATATCTTTTTTTTCTTTATTATCTTCTATTTCATAATTTATAATTAATTAAAAACAGAATAACAAAATGTTAATGTTGACTATTTGTGAAAAAGTCTCTACAATAGAAATTTCTTGATTCTATGACTCTAATTAAACATGAGAGTATAAAAAATAATAATTGAAATATTAAAATATGAAACTGAGAACAATCTTTCATATTTAAGGATATAATTTATAAAATAAGAATGACAAATTCATCTTTGGAGTAATATATATGGGGGTAGGAATTTGAAAGTTACTTTAAATTTGTTTAACTTCTAACAATAATATATTTTAAAACATATTGTCAATGGGAGGATAGACATTATAATGCATAAACTATATTTTAAAATATATGACAAGAATGTTTTTGCATTTCTTATTTTTACCAGTCATTAATTCTGTAATCCCACATCAATTTAACGTTATTATTAAATAAATTTTTGCTGACATTCAATAAAAATTGAGGAGAAATGGGATTTCAGAATAACAGTTTTTTTTAAACATAAATTTTCATATTTAGAAAATACATAGCCATGCTATTCTATGTACATTAAAATTTGCATATTACATGGAACAAATAAATATATGTATGCAAATTTTGATACGTTACAGAATTAGTTAAAATGTTATACAATTTTATAAAATTTTAACAAAATGCTTAATAATAATGAATTGTTTAATAAGTTACGACGGTATGAATTTTGCTTATGATTTGAATCTTGTTTGTTATGCACAGTTAATAATGTATGCATTTATTTTAAAGTACATATCTAATTCTAATGTTTGTAAATTATGAATTCTCTAGCAGGTTCTTCAATGACTGAATTTTTAAAAGATCTTTAAAGTATTAACTAATGTGAAATAAATTGATTTAATGTTATATTTAACTGTTGCAGTTTGATATCCTGTTGTCTTACTTATCTATATAATGTAGTTGTGCAGATTTTAATATAATCTAAATTTAACTATAGAATACATGCGATGTATACATACAATAAAAAAACAGCAATATCATTATAGAAGATTGTAACATATTTAGCATTTAATAACTGTAATATGTAGTTACAATTGCTTCTTGGATGCATTGACTTGTATTGGAATTACTTTAGTATTTGTAGTCTAACAAATGGTTGCCTAAGAACAATACTTTCTTGTATTTGCATTTTTGACTATTTTGACTCTTGCTAACAACATTAAACTTCATAAAGACTCACCGCAATGCTTCTGTAATTAAATTCAGTAGTAAGTTTTACTTAATTGCTAATTGTATTATCGATCAATATTATATGTAAGTGGTCATTTTCTAAATGAAACACATAAATACATTGGATACAGTGAAATACTGAAATATATCATGATTCTGTCTGTAAAGTGCCTTTTAGTAATAAACTATCATGTTATTCAAAATTCTGACCATGGTAACATTGCGATACCTCAAATTTCAAGAATTTCAGGACAGTAGCAAAATTAATTACACCATATATAAATTAAGCAAATTTTACAATCTCTATTGTATTGTATATATATATATGTATGTATAGGCACTTTCTACAAGTAACTGCAAACTTTTAAAGTATATAATTAAAATTAAATTTTTGTATTAATAAAAACCATTTTATTTTATTTCATTTTATTTTAAATAAATTTTCAATAAAAATTGTGAATATCTATAATTTATGAACAGAATATGTTGAAATAAAATTATTGCAGTATTATCTGTAATGATTGTGATAAAATTTTCGCAATATCCTAATAACAGGAATTGTGTGACATGATTAATACAAAGTGCAATTTGTAATCTAAACAACATTTTTTCTGTTCTTACATTTATTGCTCTAGATAAAACTGCGAATTGATAGATTAATTGCACAGGGTGATATTTGCTACAAAATTTTTAATGATAAAAATATAAAATTAAATCATAATGTGAACAAAAATTTATTAAAAATGCACTGCTGAATTTTATTACAATAAATTAATCGTTTAATCTTTCATTAAACTCTTCCAATAATAAGCTTAGATAATTCATATTTGCCCCTGTAATCTATTCTCCTATATTAGTGAACAAATTTTGTATTGGACAGCCACCATGGTCTACTGTAACTATTTATTGCTATTACATTATTACACCATGATTTTGTTTTATTAAATTAATATTGTTTTAATATTAATATCATGCTAATAATCTCATAGTTACATATTTTTATTTTTAACAGAAGATGAAATTTTCTAATAAAATGTATATTTATTAATATTAAATGCGTAGAATTTGCTGGTCTAAAGAACTATACAATTTCGATGCTTCTTTTTTTAACTTATTAGTTACACCTTGTTCATGGTTTTTAAGGCACCAGATATATATGAAAGGTAACATAATACATAAATATGTGACACACTGTTTAAAGAAGATCATTTTATCATTGGAACTTAAAAATCATGAACGAGCGCATTGAAACGTTTTTAAATTTCTCACTAAATATTCTTTACACTAAATAAATATATGGTTCCTTTTATAAAAGAATATTATAAAGCAATATGCTTTAAAAACTAAAATAATGTTTATATTATATGCTTAATGCAAAATATTGCAATAAAATATAAATTTTGTTAAAAATTTGAGTTCATAGAGTATAAAAAGAATAAATAGCAGAGCTTAATTAATAACAAGGTACATAATAGTACATATAAATAAAACAGACTTTAGCAATTAATATTGCCAACTATAATAATCCATCAATCTTCCTTAGAAATAAAGCTGAAAGTATTGATATAAATAATTGATATAATTTTTTAAAAATAATAAAAACATTCCTTCTCAGAAATTGACTAGTATTTGACATGTCTTTGTTCTAATTAATTATCGTTACCTGTACGTTTATATAAGTACATGTACATTGAACAATGATTCATATCCTGATTTATTTGGCAATAATACTTACTTCGAGTTATGGTGTTGTTGATGTTAAAAATGTTGGATCAACGGCAGCAACTTTTGCAGTTAAAAATGCGTGCATACAGAATAATAAATTTTGCAACTGAGAACATTCCAATTCCTATGGAAAATCAAATATTGAACAGAACAATCAAATTATTCATATACCCTTTTTTTTTTTATTATTTTTTATAAATAATTTATACCTTAGTTTCGATAGCGATGCTATCGGATTCTTGAAAATGCAATTTTAATCTGCTTTTTCCATCATCGCTAGAACCTCTCAATTGAGAAAATTTATAACGCCATATAATTTCTCCAATATCTTCATAAGAAAGTGTAAAACCTTGAGTCCATTCTAACGTCAATCCTGCAGTTCTACCGTTAAAAGTAACCGGAAAGGTTTTACTCTGCAATAAAAGTATATATGGTAAGAACATTCTAACTTGATGCTTATTATATGGAAGAAAACTATGTTACTAACTTTTAAGTGCGTAACAGCTGAACACACCGCAGTATGCCATGCTGCTTCAACTCTTAAGAGTTCTTGTCTAGTTTCAACACTGAGATATCGTGGAGGCTTACCAGGACTTTGTGCTAAAAAGCAATGTTGCCTTTCATCTACATTTTCAGATTCTCGCATTACACGAAACATTGTTTGATATACTTTAAAAGTTAATGCACATCGTGACCAATCTCCTATATTACACTAAAAATAAACCATAAATAACATTTCGAATGTATTAATTAAATGTATATGTATATATTATCAGAAATATATACTTACAGGAGGTGTTTCAAATAATAATAAATCCGGTCCTTTTAAAGCTAAAAATCTTGGTCTATAACTTTGCCATGGTTGGTTACTATTGCTTACTGCCTCATTCACCCACCCCATGTATTCAATTCGTTCTCCAACTCCAAAATTACGATTATATAATTTCATCTGAAAATAATTTCAAACATGTCTCTAATTTATTACACATTAAAGTTTTACTTTTAATATTTCATTTTTAACATATAAAATTAACAAATTTAAGAAACTAAGTATCATACCTGTAAATGCGTTAAACCAGTAATATTATCAGTTATGTACTTGAGCCACTGACTTAAAATGGCACTATCATCACAGTGTATTACACCAGTGCGTGCACCATTTAATCCTCTTACTTCAAATGCATTCCTTCTTAATTTATCTGTTCCAAAGATGTATCTTGTTACATAAGCCATCATTAATGGAACTGAAATTGTAGACCATTAATTTCCAGGTTTTTTTAAAAGTAACATAAAATTATTTTAAGGTCAGTGCAATACCTGTTATAACATCCACCCATTTTTTACACTGCATCGAAGAGACAGATGCATTTGAGTTTTGTCGACTATGACCACATCTAGGAGTACCAACTTGTCTGTTAGGTGATAACCATTCATCTTCTGAACCACCATTCGCAACATTATCTAATTTTTCTTCTTTTTCTGATAACAATATCAAACAAATATTATATAGAATTATTGTATACAAATAAATAAATAGCTGGAATTACAATTACCATTTTTCTGTAGAAATGGTTTTGCTGCTCTATAATGTTTTACTGTTAAAACAACTATGTCACCAGCATTTCTCAAAATATTCACTGCATCATCATGATTGCATGCAGTTATGTATTCTCCATTTACTAAAAAAAATTTTAACTGTATAAAAAATGATATAAAATACATTTATCTATAAAAATTTAAACAAACATGTCTTATACCTTTAATAATTGCATCTCCTACAAACAACTGACCACATTGGTCAGCTGCTTGACCTTTATATATTCTAGATATAAGAACAGGAAGCTTATGTTCTGCTCCCCCTTTTATGCTGAGTCCTAATCCTCCAACTTTTTGTCTAATAATTTGCACCATTCTTTCCTTAGCATCCAAAGGTGGTTTATTGTGATTCGCTGACTGCTGAAAATCAGTATCATTTTTATGGACATACTAAGTGTTTTTATTCAATAGAAACTTCATTAAATAACTTATACAATTATTTTGAAAATATTATTGAAATCACACTTAAAAAATGTAATTTAACGAAAACATAATAATGGTATTAAATTTTACCTCTAAATCTTCTCTTTGAAGCTTCAATACCTCCATAGATAGATGTAAACGCATTGGCACAGGTTTACTCTTTCCATCGCTAACACTTACCATTCCAGTCCTCACCTTTTTAAAAATTATAAATTAAAAACTATCTAAACAGAATACATAAAACTTGTCTATTAAATATTAAATTTTTAATATATTCTGATATTTAATCAAATCAACATGTATATTAATAAAAAATATAAAATATTCAATGTAAGTAAAATACATGACTAAAACAATTTATCTTTCTTCATTTATTTTATTAATTTTATATTCTCTTGAAATATTAAATACACAGATAAAAAGATGTATAAAAATACAATTATATAATAAGTATACCACAACATGTGTATCATTCTACTCATAATTTTTTTGTTTTTCAAACAATACAATTAATTGTTAAAAATATTATAAACAATAAAACGTGATAGCTTACCTTCAACTTCTGATCAATCTTCTCCTCGATCGGAGTACTCATTTTTGTAGCGTTAATTCTCATTATTCAATATGATTATGCAGCCTGTGTGTATAATTTCCCGTATTGCCGAACGCAAATTATCGGGGATAATGAAACCTTGTTAATTATTGACATTACAAATGGCATGTTAATCCCTTTACGAATTGTTTGATATCAGATGAGCCAATACTTAAATGGTGAAAAACCAAAATCATATCCCCTTGATTTATTAAAACAAATTCACCAGCTTATTCAAGAATATAATTTATAAAACGCGATATTTTCAGATAAAACACCTTCATTGAACATTTCAATTTTTCAAGCCGTACATTGTTAAGTCTCCAAGAGTTCAGCAGAAGCAAAAAGCCCGTAAATCGGGACGCAGAAAAATTGGAGTGGGCTAAAAGTAGCTAAAAGCCCGCGGCCGAGGCGCATCGATTTACACAACACGGCGCGCATCGATGCTACTTCGTTTTCGTCCAGTTGCGGGAAATATGAAAATTGACTATCATCTCATTATAAAATATATTTATTTTTGCTATGTACTACTTTTCGGAATTTCAAGAGACGTCAACCATTGTTCAAACATTATATTATTATCAACAACATTTATTTATTCATCGCAAAGATTCTTTGAATAATATGTGATAAATTGTTTTCACTAAATTCTATAGCATAATTTTATTGGCACTATGATGCATAATTAAACTAAATACTTATTATATACAGTATATATAGTATATATAATATAATATAATACATGAATTAATAAAACTAATATTTTATTTTGAAATGTATATTTCAATATAAAAGTATTTTATTTTTTTTATGAATAGCAAATAAAAAAGTAATTTTTCATATTTTTGTAGAATATTGTTAATTAAGTTTATTGATCGCCGTTTATTTATTCAAATTAATAAACCAATATTTTATAATATGTTTAAAACATCTTCAATCCTCTCATCTTGAAAAACGATTTAATTACATGAAATTTTTGTTTTCATATTATATACAATTAAGAAAACTAATTATATCTTTTTATACTATTATGAATTACTTATAAAATAAAAATTTATTTATTTCTGTGCAGTCCTTACTATTACAAGTAAAATGTGCGAATAATTGCTGCAGTTATAAAGTACACTTCATTAAATTACACATTTTACAATAATTGGATTTAATATAAATAAATATAAATAAATATTTCTAAAATAAAACATTATAAGAACATGATCTTTTTTAGAAAATCATAAGATGCATTTATGACTCCCCAACTAATAAATGATCTCATACAGTTTAAATGAACACCTTTATAAAATGACATTATACTTCTATTTCTAGCAATATATATTTCACGGGTAACAGTCATAAATTTTTCAAAGTTACCTCCTATTTTTGACTGCATATGTATTTTTATTACATTCATTGGATAAAATACAGTACTTGTAAAACCACCTATTAAAGCACCATTAATAAAACTTGTTAACAATGATTCTTGTTCACCTACCAATACTTTTGAGTGTTCTTTCAAAATAAAGAACATAAGATTAGAACAACTATTCCTATATATAATTGGAACTAAACCACGATAACATTCTGATATACCATAATTTTGTAATAAATATTTAAATGCGTGGGAAGTATTTTTAAATTTAGCATGATACCGCCAATCTTGTAGCAATGTTTGTACTCTTTCAAGTGGCATAAGTATAGCCTCAGCAGTACCAGCAAAATGGGCTGCTAATATTCTGGTTAATATATCATTATTTGTTAATGTGCATAACCGTTCTTTACAGCCTTCATACATACTAAACATTACACTAACCGAAAGAGTTTTCTGACAAAGGGGTGGTAAAATTCCACGATACAACAACCGTATTCCTTCTCTAGATATTTGTTGAAACGCAGTATTAGCTGGTACATCTTCCAAAATCTATGTAATAATAATCATAATAATAATTTATATTCTTAAACTAAATATCTGTTATTTAATATTGTATATAATAATGTTTATTACATACCTGTCTAAATATAATTTTATTAATAGGGAAAGTAATAGATACATTGATAAGCGCAGCTCCCCAACCACAAAAAAATTCTTTAAAATCATTATTTTTGAGTGTTAATAATGATCTTAATGAGACGTGTTGCGAATTAACGTTACTCATATTAATATTTTATGTAATAATTTGTTCAGACTATAATTTAGGGAAACCAATCATATTTATCTTTTTAATTACTTTTTTCATGTAATATTAAATAAATTGTTTTACCTGTAATAATTGAAATAAGCATAAAAATTATTTTTTATAACTACACATATATTATAGTAGATATTAACTGTATACAGATAAAAATTAAAAGAAAAAATTTGTATAACTATATAAAAAAACTGAATTTGGCCCAAGCAAATTAATTAAACTCGGTATATTGATGATAATGTATTTATTGAAATATATAATAAAATATATTTATTTGTAAATAATGTAAAATAAATTACAAATTATTATAAATGCCTAACGATTAAGAAATAAGTAGAATGCAGTATATAAAATATCAAAGATAACATTATGTAATTTTTACGTTTTACAGACACTACAAACAGGATAAGATTTTATAAGCATATGACTTACATTTAGTGCAATTCATGGTTCAACCCATATTCTTAAATTATATTGTACCACACATCTGTCACGAATTAACAAATCAAACATTCATTTCACATTTCTTTATCGAATACTACAAGTGATACTGATTCTTTAGATTCCGTTGTATCATCAAAATTTTAAAGTGCATTTTTCGAAACGACCAATTAGAAACTCGAGTATCAACCAATAAAAATTTGCGAAACATCAAAATGTAGGATGTAACGAACCATATTAAATAAGAATACACTCATATGTTTCTATTATATAACATAAACATTTGAATTATGAAAAACTTTATACACGACTAATGTAATTGACAAAGTTTATAATACGAAACAATCTACTTATTATTAGTTAAATACTTATTATATACTTCTATTTATGTATAAACGTATATTCGCACAGCCTATATATATATATATATATACACACATATGTACATATGCATTATACGTATAGATATATATAAACATCTGATTCATGCGTATAAAAGACAGAGCTTCTTACGAACCATTTATAAATTAGTTGAATTTATCGCAGGTTAGTAACAGTAAGCGGAGAAGTAGTATTGTGTCAGAACCTTGTCCTACTTTTCACATACAAAACTAGTCTTATGTTGTGTTCTTTTAACTGTACTACATTAATTTGATATAGTATTTTAAGACGGAATTGTTATAAGCATTATAAAGAATCCATAAATCAACAACTGCTTAAAAATGTTACGAATTACAAATGTTGCAATGCTCAAACCTACAAATTTAGTGAAAGTCTTTGACTCAAATATTAGGTGAGTTTCTTTTACTTATACTTTCCTTGAATAATACATATTCAACATACATACAACCTGTTGCTGAAGCTATATGACACATAACTGTTTGGAAAATCTGTCAAAAGAAAAAAGTAGGGAACATATGATTTGCTTAGATATCATATGTATGTATATTGCACGTATAGGTGTTTGAAATACTCCTGTCCAAAATTATTTTTGAAATCAGACAATTGAATCAATGTTAAATTGTTATTAATGAATTCATATTTTAGATATGTATATGATTTGTGCTAATTGGACTTTGGACAGATGACATGTATAAATAAAGAGATCATGTATCTTACTCTGCCTTTTTTTAGAAATTTTTTTTTATATTTACAAAAACCAAATAACAAATATATTCGTTTTAAGGATACATATATAAAATATATATGATTAAAAAACATTGTTATGTTTATAATTAGTATAAGTTTCATCGGTACTGGATTGAAAAATTTGTAAACAATTTCATAATTTAATAAATATAATAATAACATTTGAAAAAGATAATACAAAATAACAATATTTAATTTCAGGATAAGAAATAATTATTCAATAAATGTTTCAATAATTAATTTTTTACTGTATTTTAATTTATCATATTCATAATAAAAGAAAAGTATAATGTGTAAAAACAAAATTTTAAATTATATATATATTTTTCAGATATTTAGCAACACAAGCAGCTGTAAAAAATGCAACAGTGGAAAAAACAAAGAAAGGCACAGGCATAAAAGAAAGTCAATCTTTTGTCATGAATATTTTCCGTGGTCAGTTACAAACAAGTCAAGTATTTCCATTCCCAGAAAGTTTAACTGAGGAACAAATTGATACATTGAAAATGTTGGTTGATCCTATAGAAAAATTTTTTGAGGTAACAAAATTATGCAGAATATGTGAGAAATTTTTTACATGTATTGGTCACTATTATGATAAATGAAGATTACTTAAAGTTTTTTTTAAAAGGAAATAAATGATCCTATGAAAAATGATGAAACTGCCTCAATAGATGAAAAAACTTTAGCAGCAATGTGGGAACTTGGAGTATTTGGACTTCAGGTTCCACAAAAGTATGGTGGATTAGGATTGAATAATACTCAATACAGTAGATGTGTTGAAATCTGTGGATATCATGATTTAGGTGTTGCTATCACTTTGGGTGCACATCAAAGTATAGGATTTAAGGTATACTTTTTTAGGTATACTTTTATGTTTATAATATAACATTTTTTAAAGTAGAAATATAATAACATTACTTTTACAGGGTATACTTTTATTTGGTACACCAGAGCAAAAAGAAAAATATCTTCCAAGAGTTTGTAATGGAGAATATGCAGCATTTTGTCTTACAGAACCAAGTTGTGGTTCAGATGCAGGTTCAATTCGTTCTAGAGCAGTCAAATCATCAGATGGATCACATTATATTTTAAATGGTAGCAAAATTTGGATATCAAATGGTGGTTTAGCAGAAATAATGACTGTGTTTGCACAAGTTCCTACAAAAGATCCAGAAACAGGTGAAACTAAAGACAAGGTTACTGCATTTATCGTTGAAAGATCGTTTGGCGGTGTAACAAATGGACCACCAGAAAAGAAAATGGGTATTAAATGCAGTAATACTGCAGAGGTATATTTTGAAGATGTTAAGATACCAGTAGAGAATGTCTTAAATACAGAAGGACAAGGTTTTAAGGTATTGTTTATCTTAAATATTAAAAAATCCGTAGAATTTAAAATGAAGTCAACACATACACTATACTATTTTAGGTCGCAATGAGCATTTTGAATAATGGTCGATTTGGGATGGCAGCTGCTCTTTCTGGGACTATGCGTTATTGCATTAAAAAAGCAGTTGATCATGCGACACAACGTGTACAATTTGGACGTACAATAGATAGTTATGGAAGTATTCAAGAAAAGTTAGGTCGTATGGCACTGTTACATTATGTAACTGAAACACTTGCATATACAATTTCTGGTAACATGGATAATGGGAGTCAAGATTATCATTTAGAAGCTGCAATTTCTAAAGTAAGATTTCTTTAAAAAGTTATCGTGTGTCTTTACTAAACCAATGGTAGATTTTATATGTTATATAAAATATGTAATAATTATTCTAGTGTTTTGCAGCAGAATCCGCATGGTGGGTTTGTGATGAAGCTATTCAAGTATTGGGTGGAATGGGATACATGAAAGATGCCGGTCTCGAACGAGTTATGCGAGATCTTCGTATTTTTAGAATTTTTGAAGGAACTAATGATATTCTTCGTCTTTTTGTTGCTCTTACTGGGATACAGTATGCTGGAAGTCATTTGAAAGAATTACAAAAAGCATTTAAGAATCCTACTGCTAATTTAGGATTGATTTTTGAGGAAGCAACAAAAAGAGCAACACGAGCAATTGGATTAGCATCAGCACCTACTTTTACACATTTAGTTCATCCAAGTTTGCAAGAAAGTACTACGTTATGTGCCGAGGTTTATATCAGATTATAATATTAATATTAACATTTAAGATTAACCATTAATTAATAAAACGGTTTTTTAGAGCATTCAAGCTTTCGGCCAATGTATAGAATCTGCTCTTATTAAGTATGGACGAAGCATTGTAGATGAGCAATTTATTCTAAATAGAATAGCTCAAGCAGCATTTGATACATATACTATGGCTGCAGTATTAAGTCGAGCAACTACGTCTGCTAATAAAAATCTTTCAAGTACGGAACACGAGCTTCTTATGGCTAAAACTTGGTGTGCTGAAGTAAATATATATTTCTATTGATATCTTACATTATATTTATTTAAATTTTTAAGGTTGTCAAATGTAATGAATATCATCAATTATGTGTTACAGGCATCTAATCGTGTAAAGTATAATTTAAAGTCAATTTCATCTGACACACAGTTAGACATATTTAAAAATTTAAGTAAAATTTCGAGGAATATGTGTGATGTTGGAGGATATGTTCAACTGAATCCATTAGGTTTTTAATTATACATTAAATTATAATAACTTACGATAAAAATTAAACTGAGAGTTAAAAAATATTTGAGTAAATAACATAATGCTAGAGGTATTAAGTTTATAATTATATTGAGTATTTTTGATATTTTTACACAAAATAGATATTGTAAATAAATTGTTATAAAAAATATTATACACATAAAGATAGATGCTATTTATTTTTCGTTAATCCTCACAAAATAGTGAATTGAATTCTTAAGAAATAGATTAATATACATTACGTTTGTGTAATTTTTTTGTAGTAAACTAAATTAAGTAAAAGTGTATTTATTCTTTTGATTATATATTGGACATAATGTTATATAATAACATTACTTTTGCTTTATTTACCATTGAGGATGATTTCAGTATTAAAGATAAGAAAACAAAGTATCAGAGGTATTTTAAATTATAATTGATATTCATTCTTGATTATTTTCTTCTAATTGCAAGTGCACGATTTAACAGTATCACAACATTACACAAGGGTAAGAATGTACTTTCCGATCATTTTACATTTTTTATAACATGGAAGCACACATAATAATTGCGTAGCTATTTTATGATTAAAAGTTTACAGCATCCATATAAGACATTAATAACGTTAAGTATAGCATAAAATACATGCAGAAACATAGAATTATATATTTTTATACTATTGAAGGTATTACTTAAGTTTGAGATTCAAACTATTATTTCTTTTTTTGTAATTTATAACTTAAATTTACCACTATTATCCAAAGTTTTTAAATACGCAATAAATCTTCAACAAAACAATATACGATATTTATTACTTGAAATCAAAGTGTTACATTTTGTAACAATAATTAGTATAATTTTATAAATACGTTAGTTTTGTTAATCGTACATTGGCAGTGTTTTGATCCAATTTATTGTAATAAAACATATAATAATCTGATTCTCAAACTTCAAGTTATTTAAAGTATTTAACATGTTTAATAAATATTATTAGATATAAATAAGATAAAATGACGTGAAACTATTATAATGAGGTATGATTTTATCATTGAATATTTAAAACTTGAAATTGGAAAAATCTACCATTATTGATAGATATAACTATTATCTTTACTTTTTTCAGAAAAATAGAATTGGATTATTAGATTATTTTGTGGATTTGTTACTCCAGGTATGCAATTTTTTTGGAAACATGAGCTCTAATAGTATGACCTCACAATTCTTCTGAAATATTTATATATTTTTTCTATATAATATATCTTATGATCTAATAAGCCTTGATACGAATATATTGGTACATGTATTATTGGCAACAAAAATATGTGTATAATTAGAGATAAATTAAAAAATCAATGCATTAAAATATAAAGTAATTGGAGAATAGCTATATAAATGCAAAAAGTTTATATTTTGTTTAATTTGCATATATTACAACCCTGATGTTCCTTCATAAGCACATCTTTATTGACTCAACAATTAAACTGTTGATAATTTAATGAATCTGAATTCGGCGAAATGAAATGGATTTAAATACTGTCTTGTAAGTACACTAACAATTTATTTCCTGAGAACTTTTTACTAACATTTTATAACCAATATACTTACGGCGTTGATGGGGAAAATAGAATTTCCTGTACATAAAATTTGTTCTAACATACCAGATAATATAATATTTTAACAGTAGCATAAGTTGCACTATTCTGTAAATACCAATAGCAGCGGTGTTTTAATCAATCCTGTTTGCATGTGTAAATAATTAATAAAATTGAAAAAAGTTTTAAATAACATACTCAAATATTAATTTTCAAAACGTACATTGTTGTATTTTTTGTACTTAAATAAAATTCCATTTTCGTTGCATATTATTACTTTACATGATAATTATACTAATTTGAATTATAATCACATGGTAGGAAATATATGAATATACTTAGAACATATGTAAAAATGCAATTATTCAGTAAATATTATTAATGTCTTTCTAGTATAAAGTGATGTTATATACGAAAATAGTGGATTTAGAAATGCTTAACATTATTCAGCTAAAGGAAGAATAAAAATGTTTAAAATATAATATCTTATGGAATTGTTCGGAATTTAATAAATTAGTTTATCCTGTCAAATTTAATTTTATATTTATCAGTTCAAAGACATGAGAGAGTTTTAAACTTTCATTAATGTTTTGTATTACAAATATCATGAAATTTATAGCACACAAATATAATCATAATCATAACATAAGATAATACAATGAAAGTAAATATTTATGTACTAAATCATTGCTTTTATGAAATTTTACTTCTAATTTAAAACAAACATAATATATTCAAGTAAAGTTATATAAGTCATACGTTCAAAAAGTAAAGAAAAATACATATAAAACTGATATAATTTAGTAATTGTAGAAAGTTTATAAAATTAATTTTTTAGTTAAAATACAATATTCTATTTTTCAAGATGATATTAATTTTACCAAATATATAAGTGTTCTAAACAAACTTCTTAATTTAATTCATACCAAAATCCAAATTTAAAATTTATTCATTTAATTAATAAACAATGATTTTGTGTTATTAATTACCACATATGTACTTACAAGCTTATAGATTTTTAGTGGTACAGTATTACTACCTGGAGTAACTTACAGGTGTTAGGAAAGCTAACCCTGTGCTATAGACAAATTTTTAAATGTTTGTCCATTCCAAGCAACCGAGATGCAATAATGTTGCAGTAACTGAATCAAAAGTTCTCGTTCATCCAACATTTCTATGTGTTCAATTCGATTACGATCAGTTTGAGGCAGTGAATCATAGACCTCTACCATTGTCCATGCATTAGAACCTTCCCAATTGTTTATTGTAAAGCTAAAATATAATTAAGGATATAATTAGGGATTCATTTTATTGAAAAGTCTTTAGTAATTCTAAAATAATATACAATGTATGAGTGTACCGTCTTTGTTGAGTTTCCAAAGATTCACAATCTTCAACACCTGCCAATAAACATCCACGACTACGTAAATTAGATAACATAACTTGACCAAATTTGTCCTTCATGTTTACTTGTTCATAATTAACAAAAATACTATTTGGAAATTTTCCAGCAAGCCATTTTAACAACGCAGAAGCTGCACTAGTGTCTATATACACTAAGACGCATTCTGCAAGGAACATGGTTGGTAAATTAAAATTAACTTCTGCCTGTGTTAATTTATTAATAAGTTCAGATATGTGCCGCAGATCTATTCCCACCAAATGATAATTGGCAGCATGTAGATCTGTTGTTGAAAATCTAATTTCTCCATCTGTAAAAAATAATAGAACCTGACTGCATATGTTCATACATATAGTGTACAATTATACAATTATCAAATTTAATACTTCACCTTCCGTATTTAACATATCTATCAACTGTTTGTGCTTTTTGATGTGATAGCATTTTCTAGCAGTGATATTGGGGAAATCAAGTTCTATAAAATTTGCTGGACTCTTCCCTGCTTCCTTGAGTCTCCAATAAAGTGTATCAAATCCAGCACCCAGATTTATGATTTGACCTTTTTCACCTGACAGCTATATTTGTTATAAATTAATTGTTTACAAATAACTTCAATAAGTTTGTTTAAATGTACATGCATAATATATTTTTTATAACATATAATTCATATAATTAAATTTCATTAAATGTTATCATAATCTTATATACATATATAAGTTTTTTCTTTACATATATAATTGATAATTGGATGTACATATATTATATCTACTTATTTTAATTTACATTTTGTTAAATTATTATCTATATAAAAACACAAAACAATTCTTAATTTTCATTTTAAAAAATCTAACGACTAAAAATTTTTTCAAAATTGTTTGTTGATCTAAATTCAGAAATTTAAACGTTCGTACGAGATTAACCTATATATTACTGTTCCATGACAAAAGGAGAACTTCGGAAATTAGGACAGGGCCTCGGCCAGGTCAAGGTTTCCGACACTGTACGTCCTTTACTACTTAAATCAGCTGTATCCCGGATTGTTTCTATCCTGTTCTAGGTTATGACAATTTCTAAATTGGAATTATAAAATTTAAAAAAATTTACTAATACGTACCTTGAGAAACTTGTCAACAAACACTTCGATTCCCTTCACCCTCGCATAATAACCACGATTGATTTCAGGGGCTTTTCGTCCAGTTTGTTTTACGAAAAAGTTGATAAATGGATCAGACCAGTAACCAAGTTGTACCGCGTATCTTTTGCACTCACTTGCGTCATCGTTGGTGGCCTGTATGGCCTCATCATCAGCCATATCTTTAATCATTACACTAATTTTTGCTCACTTCAGTTATGATAAGTCATTATTTTGCGACTTTTTTAAATTTAAAAAGCCGATATTTGTCACTCACTGAAATCTGTACAAGCGACCATACTGCTTCAGACTGTGTAAGGACTGCTATACATAGACTCGTTTCTACTTGCTGCGCAAGGCGCAAGCTTGCACCTTTTGAACGGGTTGTCTGACAGTAGGGGTATCCTCTGATGGTTCACATTACGTCTACATGGAAAATAGTCATTTGTTTTATCGTAATTTTCCAGTAATACAGTTTATCATTGTAATTAACATTACTTATAATCTATAAGGTAAAATAATTAATAACACTTTTTGTAATAATATAAAAATTATTTTTACTTTTTAAATGTACATTTTGTGTAAACTGGAATCAATAATTCTAACTGATATTGAATAAGATATGTATAAATATTTTCTAAAACAGTTTCTATATTTACAGATATTAAAATAGTCAAGTATACATAGATAAAACATAGATTAAATGTGTATTAATACACTTTTAATGATGAACTGTCATTATAAATATCAATGAAATAAAATGGGAGAAAAAGGGTAATTCAATTGCATAAGAATGTACACATACAAATCAGCTTTATTGTTAAATTATTAAAAGATTTTACAAACTATAATAATTTTTCAGTTAATAATAAATAAAATTATATTTATTTTGATCTTAATGAATATGTCAAATAACATATATCTAGTTATTTTTTAAATTATATCATGATAGAGATATAAATTGATGCACATAAGATATATGTATTTTTCAACAAATTAAGAAGTTTATAATATTTGTTTACTTATAAATTATTGAATGAAATACATTGTTTTGTTTTTTACAAAAAAAAAAAAAAATGTATACTTTAATATTCATTGATCAAAGCTACTTATGAACAAATTATTAAATAAATTGAAGCTAATATGAGTTATTAAATAATTGAAGCTAACTGAAGCGAATAAAGAATATTAGTTGGACACATATTAAAACATTACAAATGATATAAGTTTTTTTTTCAAAGATATATGTATATATATATATATAAACAAATAGATTGGAATAAAATATAAAAGAGCTTTATTTAGCATTGACACATAGAAGACACATAAGAAAATATGTATAAATTATGAAGCAGAACATAACAATGGAATATGTTGTGTATGATTTTCAAAGTATTTAAAACTGTCAAAAGTATGGGTGATACAATTCAAAATGTATTAAAAGTATAAAAAAAATTAGAAGAGACTAGCAAGTATCACCTTTTATTGATTTGTATAACTCTTAGTATTCAAATCCTTATTTAAAATATTTTTGTAATCATTGTCAGTTCATGTAAAGTAATTATTATTCTATATCAGATTTTTTAGTAATGGGCTTTGCTTTTCTCTTAGGTGGAATTGGAGTAATAGAAGTACTGGGTGATGAAGTTTCAGGAGCAACTGTATCAGTACCAGAAGTTTGTGAAATTTTTGTACTTTTTTTAACAACTTTTACAGTTTTTTTTTGTTTACTAGAACTACTATTATCTGCACCATCATCCAGTACTTCTTCTGATTTTGGTTTTGTTTTTTTTGCAACCTTTTTCACTACTTTTTTTACAGCTTTCTTCTCACTGATATCACCTTCAGTTGTTTCTATAGGTTCCTTTTCAGATGCTGACTTTGCTACAGATTTTTTTATAACCTTCTTTGTTACTTTCTCTTGATCCTTTGAATCTTGCACTGTAAGTTTTGAAGCACTCGTTGAAGGTACATTTAATTCCTTTGTTCTTGAAGGCCTAACTGGAGTTTCTTGTGATTGTGATGTTTTAGTTGTTTCACATTCTGATGGAGATTCAATTGATTGTATCAATTCTTTTGGACAGCTTTCAATTTCTCTCACTTTATGTGTTGATTCTGTTACCTGATGTAAACTTTTATCAGGACTTTTCTCTGGTAATGCTACATTCTCTGCAATACTTGAAGTTAATGTAAGATCAGAAGTAGATTGTGTTTCTGTAAGAGTACATTCTATTTGTTCTGTTTCTGGTAAAATTTGTTGAGTTTCTTGTGACTTTGATTGTAATTCATTTAATTTAATGGCAGCATCAATATCTTTCATTGTTGTAGTATCACTTAAACTTAATATGTTCTTATTTTGTATAAGGTTGTTTAAAGAACCTGAACCATTTATATGTGTTCTATCTTTTGTTTCAGTTATGTGGATAGGTGTTGCTGTAGAGGAAAGAATTTCTTGTGTCATTATTTGAGAAATTGGCATGGAGTCCTTAGGTTCTAATTGAAGAACAGATTCTGCAACTTGTATTGGTACAGGACTGACTATCAGACCTTCAGGAGCAGTTGATGATTCTTTTGCATGTATTTCATCTTTAATATCAGATTGTTTTATTTTCTTAGTATTTACAGCAGCTTCGATTTGATAAATTTCAACTGTGTCAGCTGGTACTGTAGATATAGTTGTCAGCCGCGGATCTTGCTTTAATAGTGTATCAGGGTCTATGACTTCTTCACGAGATATTTGCATTGAATGTTGTGTAGGAGAATCCACTAATGTATCATATGCTTTGTTTTCTGATTTTATTTCAAACATTTTAAGACTATTGATTGTTGTTTCTTCTGATACTGATAATTCTTTCCCGTTTTTTGTGACCGAAGATATTGTATTAATAGCTTGTTCGTCCTTCTCTGCTGATTTAGGTATCATAGTTTTACTGTCTGTTATAGGAACATTGTTAACTAGAGATTGTTCTTCAGTACGAATGGTTGTCACCTGAGCTAAATAAAAAAAATAGAATTATGTTAAATATTGAAATATAATAATTTATAGAAATGTAATATGATATAGTCTTTATCATGTAACTTCAATCCTTAAACTTAAATCCTTTTAAACATATTTTCTTTAACAGAAATGTTAATTTTTGCTGATTTGTACGACAAAAATGTATGAATGAAAGCATATAATTAATCATATATTACACATACAAATTATTTACAAAATTACTTGCTAATGTACGCATATATATATATATATATATATATATGAAATTTTCTAATTTTAAAACAAAAAATATAATGATTGTGATAGTTCATTATTATAAAAGTGCTCTTATTGAATGTTATTTCATGCAAAATACAAATATTCATTGTTAATGTAAAGCATGTAGAACATGAATTTAACATATGTTTTGTCCGAAAAATGTTACAAGCATTAAAAATGTTATGTATAACAAGTAATGTAGAAACACATCTCATGCATAGCAATTAATTATTTAAATTCTTCCAAATTAAAACAGAAATAAGCAAGTTATTTAACATACATATAATATTTTTGAAATACAGCGTTTAAATTAATTGTTCAACGTAGGTATTATTATTTGTATATATGTTATATTGGAGAATTGAAAAATAATTCATCACTAAACTATTTTAGGGTTGAAAGTAGATTAATGAAATTTTTATATAACTAACAGTTATGATTTGTTTTCATAAATACAAATAAAATTTGATTTATTATACATAATGAAACTACACTTAAAAGTTGATATTGAATGTTAAAATGAAATAAATTAAATGAGTAAATATTATGTTATATTAAAATATCATAAATTAAATGATATATAAAAATGTGATTTATTATAAAATGATATAATTTTAATAATATAAATTTCAATATAAGTTGTGTGCTGTTTTAGTTGTGTTCAATTAATATTTCTAATTTATTGGAAAATACAATTATAAAAATCGCGATTGTGATGCGAGTTTTCAAAATATTTACCCCATTAAAGCAAAACGACATTACAAGACGTAGCAATGCTATGGCGCCAGGATCTGTTAGTTGCTGTCCTCCGTTCCTGTTTCAAACACTTAAACTTGATAAACTGTATAAAAAACATATTTTTTCACTTTTTTAAAACATAAGAAATTTCCGATATAATATTAGCTACCTTTTGTATCCAGTTTTAATTAAATAATATATTCTTACAGTAAAAATTTCATTTTGAAATATGAGTTTAAATACCACATGCTGTATTAAAAAAAAGGGGGAAAATAAAATCGCAAAGCGTGTTTAAAAAACAGTTAATGGCTTTGCACTATGAGCACTTTAATCTTCAAATTTATACATAGATCCAATCATTGCTTGAAATTATCATTGATCGTAATTGTATTTTAATAAATTTACATTAATATGTAGTCATAATTGTCACATACATAGTATAAAAGAAATGTTTTGTAACTCAAAAATTTTGTTCAATTGAAATACTTTTAATACTATAGTCATTGCCACCATAAAATATTTATAATGCATAATTTTGTAGAAATTTTTTCTATGAAAATAAAACATACCAGCTTTTGCATCCACTTCATCTGTAGATTCAATTTGTTCAATAGCCTCAGTCGATTTAATAGATTCAACAGTCTTATTAGTTGTAGTTTCCGCAACTTTCGCTGTTTCCTGCAAATAAAATTATACACAACTTAGGACTTAGGTTTAATTTTTATCGACTTAATCATACTAATCGATCATTTACTTTTGGAGGAGATGGTAATCGCGGAGGTGCAAGAGCAAGTGTTTCACAGATCTTCTTCCAAATATTATCAAAACTATCACGGCCCATATAGTCAATGTGTCCCTGTTCCCAACTTTGTTTCCGCATATGTTCTTCTAATGCAATTTGTTCAGCACTTCTGGGTTCACCTAATGTCATCTGAGCTAATGCACCAGCAAGACCAGCCTATGAAATCAAACACAAATAATTCTTATTATAATTTATTTATAGTGTAATAACTGTAAAAAATAAAGGAATCCAAATTAATTATAAACAGTAGTACATTTATGTAATACTTGAACAAGTTACCTTAAATAATTATACTATATAAATTGCATGTATTACAAACATATAAATAAATAATAGATAAATTTAGTATAAGTTAATAAACAATTAACATTAAATTGTATTGTTGATTCAAAACAAACTATTAAGTTCTAAGTACAAAATACCATTACTTTCTTTATTTATACAATTATAGGACACGGTTGGAATATGCAATATTTACCAGGATTGATAGAAATATTTTCTAATGCAATTTTATATTAATTATATTAAAACTGCAAGTAATGTTCCAAAAAGTCTTAGATATAATTTCTTAATTAATATTTGATAATTTTATACATATAAATTAGATTATGAGAAATTACAAAAACTATGCAATTAAATGTGAATTTTACTTTAAATCTTAGAAGGTATATGGGAACAATTACTTACATTTGAATTGTTTATATCTTCCATTATGTGTGAGTCAGATTGCGATGCTACATTATGGAAATCTGTACAAGGTTTGGAAACAGGATAAGGAATAGTAGATATCGGTGTAACAGTCTGTTTGTCTGTGATATATTTGTTTTCATTTTGTTCAACATTTTGCTCAATATTTTGTTCAATAGCTGGAAGATTATTTTGACAAATTATATTATTTTTTACAGCTTGATCATGATCAAGTTTAACATTTAAGGATTTCTGTTTTGTCAATTCTAAATTAATCTGTTCGTTGCAATAAAAATTTTGATTTTTTTGCTCATGATGTATACTTTGTTTAGTATTGATATTATCGTACATGTGATAATGATTACTTTGATGGTCAACATAAGATCTATTATGTTGATTATTTACTTCTTTTGATAATGATTTGTTACTATTTTCAAACAAACTTTGAGAAATATATTGAGAATCAGTATGTTGATGTTGAGATTCACTAGAATAATAATTTGGAGTACTATGTACAGGTATATATTTTTCAATACTACATTGACTTTGCCAATTATCTGATTGATCTTTAGAAATGTCTTTAGAATGGAAAAAAGAGTGCTGTTCATTTTCATTAATGAATTCGTTATATTGTTCTTGATTATGATAATGTTGAGTATGTGATGGAGTATTATTATATTCATTGTACTCTTGATTATGATACATTTCTCTATTATGTTCAGGGCGTGATTCGCAAATATGTTGAACAGAATTTAAATAGTTATATTCATCATTTAACACAGATATAGATGAAGAGTTGTCAATTGTTGAATAATACTGTTCAATCTTGTTATCCTCTACACAGTAGTTTTCCCACGGATCCTTAAACTCTGAAAAATCTGCTGATCCTAAATGGATATCACTCTGTGTTTTGTCTTGTACTTCTGCATAAATAGGACTTTTTGGAATAAAGGATTCAAACGGTATAGGAGAAAATTTGTGCCAAATTGGAGCCAATGTGCTGGTGGCCTATGCAAGCATCATGCCAAAACAAAAAAAAAAATGCACATTCATCAGTTGGTTAGTAGGAAACTAATATAACAGTGTCCATTTTTCTTGTACCAATAATACTATGTAGAATATGTGTATGGAATAATAATAATACTAAAAATATCATTATAAATTAATTAAATATATAGAATGGCATTTCTGAAATAAAAATGTTTTATTATTTTAATATTTTAAATACTTATAAACTAATATTAAGCAAAATAAAAATAAAGAATGAAAACAAATTGATGAAGTATAAAATATTAACTTAAATAATTGATTCATATTTATCAATTTATATAAAAGCAAGTTATAAGTTCATAGTTATTATAAGACAAAAGTGAAAAAAAAATGGACACTGATCTATGAAAAAAAGTATTATAGAAACATTAAATTAAAGTAGATTAATAATTAACATATTTTAGTAAGTTCATAAAAATGTAATTTTAATGCAACTTAAATAAAATTATTTCTTAAGTGCAAAATAATCATATCAGTAAATGCCACTCTGAATTAATAATAATAAGCACTAATATAATTTTAATGAATATAATACATATTATTTATATGCTTGCTATGTGCAATATATACAATTCTAATTATGTTTCTATTAAAGCATTTTTACATGTAATAATTGCATGGAAACAATTGTGAAATGTTACCTATACTACTTTAATACACACTTCAAAAATTTGCAAAATAAAATAGTATTTTAACAAAATAAAGCATGTTTCTTAAAATCTTACCTGATTTCCTAACATTTAATTTAGTAACTTATTACTTTCTTCTTTGATATTTAAATTCTTATCATTTAATGACATCACACAAAAAGAAACGTTTTCTACAGTATTATGTGCAGTGTTTTATGAAAACTCATAATTCAAGCAATACACTCATTACATTACATAAAGAAAATAATTAAACCTACCATAACAGGTGATAACTGGGGATGCACTTTTTCACAAAAGATGTTCCACCATAATTGTAACAATGGCTGCAAATGTACAGAATCCACTGGTGGTTGAACAATACCAGTTAACGTATCAAAATACTGTAACCATGGTTTTGTAATACCAATAAAATGTATTATTCTAACATCATCCCCAAATCTGATAAATAATAGTATTTATAGTTATTTCATTTTGTATTTTTATATTTGTATTAAACTTTGTTTATATACTTTGCATAAAGATGGATCAAATCTCAATGATTAAGGCATATAAAAATTATAATTAAATAAATAAATTTTCTTACTGTTTGAAAGCAGGAAGATATGAGTATACAGCGGTAGAGCACATATTATAAATAAATGGTAGATGTTTAGAAATGTCTTTATGTGCCCAATCACTAAAATACATATTTAGTAAACCTTGGTCACCACCATCAAATGAACCTTTAGCAGCAGCAAAGGCAGTAATAGAAGCAAAAGTTTGTTGCGATGGTCTGTATACAAATACACCAGAATTGAAACAGTCAGGCCAACCCACATCCGGGGCAGCAGATAGTTCTTCTCTTTCAAATAATTCATCACAATTTCTAACAACCTATCGTTCATAAATTAACAATTAAAAACATAAACTTCATGCACCAAAACTAGTTATATCTTGATTAATAGTAATTATTTTAAACACTCACAAGGGTATCTGCATCGAGAAAAACGCATTTCTCATATTGAGTTAATCTCCAACAATGCAATTTAGTAAATGTAATACCCAATTCTGGTCTAGCTAAAAGTGCCAAATTAGCTTCATCTTTTGAATCAAGTACATTTACTTCCATTACTACAGAAAAAACTGCTGACAATTTGTCCCTATATAAATAATAAAATAAGTTTACCAATAAACAAATTTATTCATATTTATTCAGATTAATACAAAATCAAATAATGCTTTATCTACATGTAACTTGTACAGTTTATGTATCTGCTACTAAAGAATCAATAAAACTGCAACTATATATATAAACATAAATCATGAACAAAAAGCTCACCTCATTGTTTCCGTTACTCCTGGAGTAACTAAAACAGCCAATTCATGTTTGGTACCAACTCGACGTAAAGAATGTGCTAAAACTAGAGCTCCTAAAGAATAAGCATCATTCGTGGCCAATGTAACCCAAGCGTATCCTGTAATTAATAATGATAAACATTATGATACAAACACTTCTGTAAAAAGACTGACTAAATTCAAATTAGAAATAAAAAGTTTAAAACTCGATCAGTAGTTATATAGAATTATGTTTGTACATTACATTGATATTTGCAATATTATTACAGTAACAAGTAGGTAAGTTATACCTTTCTAAAGTATTATATAAAAACAAAGACAACACTAACAACTATGTAGTAAGAAAGCTATTGATAAAATAATAGCAATAAAATTATTTTACAATAGCAAAAATTTGTGTATATTAATTTTAATTTTAAAAGCATATTTATAAAAGTATTTTTTTTATATTTTCTTGATCTAATTCTAGAACAAGATAAGTATGCACGTTAATTCAGAAAAACTTTCAAAACGAAAAACGACAAAATTAGCCTCGAAAGATGTATCTGCTAGATTAGTTAGATTTAGATTCGTGAACTTAACTACGTGCAACTTGTTTTTCGTCAATAAGAAATTCAGTTACGTTTTATTTATAACTCTTTCTATTTCCATTTCCCAAATGCCAGTGCACGACTGTGTGTTTAACGGAACACCGAATTTCTTGAAATTCGATTCTAATTTTACTGGATAATATTCTATTTTTAATCATTATCTGGGCATTAAGCTAACGGTATGTCGCAAGATAAAGAGAATGAAGGGGAAAAAGAAAAAATAACTTCTAAGTAATAAATAAAATAATTTACTATACTGCTATTTTTGATAATAAGTTATCAGTTCTTGGGATAGCTATTACTTAAATGTACAATTATTACAAGAATACTTTCAATATTGACTCTACTATGCAACATGTGTTTCATCTAATTACAATGTAGTTATATTAGATATGTAGAACAATTCTGTGTAGAATTATTGCATACAGTGTCGAGCCTTGAAAATGTACCGTTCACGTTTCTGAAATGGTCGCATTATACGTATTGACATTGAACAAGATATTAGATTTCCTATGTTAGATGCATCTCACGAAATTATTATTATTATAATTATAGAAACGATGTAACATCAAGTCCAAACTGCTACAGTTAATATTCTCTTTCATAATCAAATTTGACTAGAATCAATTAAATCGTATAATTATTACGAGAGTGCGGTTTGTATCTCGACTGTTCCATAATGAAGTTATTAATTTAATTATGAATTTAATTACAGGAATGTATAAATACGGCGGGATCGTCGTTTATTGCGAGCTGTTGATAAGCTAAGTTAATCGATACTTCAGGAAATATATTTGATTTCTAGTTGGAAAAACGGAAATGAGATGGGACTAATTCTTGAAGAAGTCGATACGTAGGGCATTGTTTGCATCTTCGAGAAATTGACAAATTTTTTGACAGTGATGGATACATCAAAGGTGTCGGTACAATTAAATGCAACCGAATGCAACGGAACGGTAACGAGTCACGGATGTAAGAAAGAAGGGAGGGCTCGTGAAAGAGAATAGATACAGGAGAAAAGCTCAGATTTCTGCTACCGGTATTCTCCGAAACAACGCGCCTTTATCTTTTTTAAATTTTTAAATCATTTAGCATACACAACGATATTTTCATTTTATTTGTTTGCAAAACAAGAAACGATCTTTGATATGTCATGAAATTTTGTTTAAGAACAAAGGTTGAACGCCATTTACTTTATCCTGAGACTGCTTCGAAATTTCGGTCGAAGCAAAATATGAAATGAAATATTCCTATGGCTTTGCCAGACTAGTATCGCGCACAAATTTCAAGAAATAATGTTGGCTTTAATAATAGTTTACGCGTAGATTCAATGCGAGAAAATTTGGATTTTGGCAAAGAAGTCATTTGCGTTGCGTCTCTGGCATTTTCCAGAGGTGAAAAAATGCGGTAGAATATTTATCTTGACTATGAGAAACGCGGTGCTCGGCTTCTCGCATATTATAATACGCAGACGAAACCCGAGAGGCAGAGTGCCGGCGTCGTTGTGCCACACAGGTTTATATTTATACAAGCCGACCAGCTTATAATAGCAACCCAGCCTCGCGTTTGTACAAAATGCATTCATATACCTTGCCTTAGGTCAAGCACTTGTCACCCAAGTCTGACTAGATTTCCTTATACGATCATATCACACGTGTGAGAATCGACACTTTCTGCATATAATAACAATATTAATTATTGCCATCTATTAATTTCTAATCGTAGTGTTTAAGATAGATTTAGAACAGGTTAATGTGTTTCTAGTAAACTCAACTAATTTTATTTAATATCTAATTATTGTTATTTGCAACTTAGTCTGATTGTATCTGGTTTCAATAGAGAAATAATATTTTCAATATTATCATATATGGACACGTTGTATTCTGCAAAGTATTCCTACAAATTTATTTGTTGATTAGTGTGTAATATGAACTATGTTTTTGAGAATAAAATTTACTAATAAAATAGAATATTGTAGTCATTCCAATCCGAAAATATAAGTTATTATTCATAACTTCGATATCGGGAATATGTATTTACGGATAGTTTCGATTCGACATCGAGTACATATCGATACTTTGCCTCGATATAAGTAGGAAGTGCAAATATCGATGATAAGTTAAAACAATTCAACAGAACTTTGAAAACAATGAAAATTTCTTTTATATTATAATCTTATAATCTTAAATAATAATATTACTATAATAATAACGCGTATGAAGCAAGATAATAATAATAAGATATAACTGCGACTTTGGATTTAATTACAAATCGATAGATATAATAATGTGTATTAATTTTCCTAATACATTTAAACAATCATTACAAATTAGAATACCGAGGCCAACGTAAACGAAGGTCAAGAATCAAGTTATATAAAAATAGTGCTCGCTTATCCTATGTCAATTGAGGTACAGTGAACTTAACGATCCGAGCTTCCGCTTTAATATTACTATGCTACGTATGTGATGGACAAATATTTAGATTCTCTAATAAATTACTCAAGATTAAACTAGCATGGGGAATTTAATTTTCACAGAATTTTAAACAAATTTTATTATCTCTTTGATCATCTTTTCAACTTTCTCCTACGGTAGAAGGACCATATTACAAAAAGAATTACCCGATAAAATAACTTTCTCAATATCGAAATTATTTTTCTTGTTTTTTGGTCTTCGTGAATGAAATTTCTAGTGGATGTATCTTTGCCGTTACATCATCATGGCATGTTGATCAATAAATGTATTAATAATATTATCGAAGCGGCATTAAATAATCTCTGGTTACCGAATATTAAATTAAGTAACACGAATGAAGAGTAACTAAAACTGAAGAGAAATATTTACGATAAATGATAGACGCATGTAATATATCAATCTTTATGTACATGTAATTTGATTCGCACGAAAAAGAAATTGTGGATATATGTAAGAGTATGTATTGTAAGTAGAATTTTTTTTTATACAGTTGAAGTAATTTTATCACCTGTAAGATAAATATAGAAAGATAGACGAGATTTGGCAAAGAGCCGCAATTTCTCCCCCAGACGGCTAAGAATAAACTGCAGGAATAGTGGTATGAGTTATTTTATTTTATGCAGAAGAATTCTGCGTCTAATATAACAAAACATAAAATATATTTACATTTCAATCGAAATGTTAGATATTTATATAAACTTGAAGTATAATAAAGCAATTTTACAATTTATAATGTTTGATTTATGTTATATAAATTTTGTTTACACGAATATTTCTCATTATAACAAGTATTAAAAGACGTAATTTAAGTAGCTTAAACGAAGATGTTCAGTTATGCTGAAGAAAATAGAATATTGGGCCGAGGAAGAGACATTGCATGAATGGAAAAGATAAATTAAAATGTCAAACAAACATAAATAAATACCTTTAAAAAGTACCTGATTAAATATGAAAAATATAAAATATTAAATTGGCGCCAACTGCCTATGAAAAGAGTAAAAAGTTCTTGCGCCTGCGCGCAATGGAAAATCGCAAAGACGAGCGCGAATTGGACCGATTTTCGTGCAATAAAATAAATAAAAGAAGCGGTTTACGATTAATAGAAAAAGATTAGGATGAAACATATTTTACGTGAATGAAAATAAAATTATGATGGCATGAGAAAACGAAAATGACATATTTTTACTTTTTAGAAGGTTAATATTCGTTGTCTATAAGTGATATAAATCATATGAAGGTCATTGGGTCAAGACCGGTTACCGGCGACGTTATCACACACCCTAAATGAACTCTCAATGAACGTAACCTTCAGGCAAAATGCACAAAATAGAAAGAAACGTAGAAATGGATGTTATAAACTTTCTGTACTTACCACCCATTTTTGGCAATTAACTTTGTTTCTTTTTCAACAGATCAATTTTACACACTTAACACTTGCCGATACCCACACAACTGACAAAAAGTCGTACGCACTTCATCAGCGCTACGATACGAGTGACGACTTGCGACTCTCCTTCCATGCCTCAGTGTTCTCCCCACCTTTCAACTTGAATACGCTACCATTCTATATTATCAACAGAAAGTGTTGCAGAAGTTATTACACAAAAAACTTTAAAAACAAAAATAATTTCGTATAATTTTATTTCAAATTCGGTTTTGTGTGTAAAATTATTTATTAGGTGTTATATTGATATTCGAATCCAGTACAAACTGTGTTCAATAACACTCTTTTTAGAGAGAAATTAACACATAAAAGGATTTAAATGAAAAAATATTCAACCTATCAATTATATTAGTATATTAATCAAATATTAATTTATTTTACAACAAAAACATACGATACAAATTATTACTTAACAAACCACGCGCGCCAATTTTACACCTATTCGCGACATCTACCGCAAAAATATTGCGGTATGCTATGCGTCGTTTCAGTTCCGGGCGTTCCTCGACGACTAACAAACATGTATCGAGTAGCGGGAGAAGGTACGACAGCGATTGAAATTATAGCGATTTGTTCGCTTGTGCGCTATAATCCTTCTAATCCTGGAATAGCCTGTTTAACACCGTAAAATGTAGCTAATCATTTAGATCGAGTCAGTTGTAGCAGCTGCAAAACACGTATCTATGAGATCAACTTTCATCTCCATCTTCAGCACGTTGACGTTCACTGAGGAGTGGCGCGCAAAAAGATGGCCAGCTCGCCGACCAGCATCGAAAATCAAATAGACAGTTTTTTAGAACAATTTAAACGTAGTGCCTCCCGCGCAATGGAGGAATCTCACAGATCCAGTTACAATGCTTGCAGTAGTAGTATCAGTCATAGTCAAAGCGGAAACCTGGATCTTGAAATCTTGGAAGTTGGTAAGTTTTTACTATAACTTTATTTGACATAATAATTGGTTGTATTACGATCGAATTTTGGTTACTTCTTAATATTTCAATTCTTTTTTTTCCTATGTACATAGTCTACTAATTTTTCGCTGTTGTCGATTGATTTTTCGGGCGTTTCTTATATATTTCAATATATCTGTTTTCCAACACTACCGATCATTTAAAAACATTTACGCTTGTTTTCCACTAATCTTTTCATAATATTATGTAGTAAAATCTATATAAAATTATGCAGATATCATTTTGTATATTCATATCATTTAAAATATCATATTTTATTGTATCACAATATTCAAAATTCAAAATGACATTATTAATCAATGATAACCGCATTCATTTTAAAATATAAAAACTACGTATTCTATATATTATGCGCGCGCGCGCGCGCGTGTGTATGTACAATATATACAATTCGGTTTTGTGTGTAAAATTATTTATTAGGTGTTATATTGATATTCGAATCCAGTACAAACTGTGTTCAATAACACTCTTTTTAGAGAGAAATTAACACATAAAAGGATTTAAATGAAAAAATATTCAACCTATCAATTATATTAGTATATTAATCAAATATTAATTTATTTTACAACAAAAACATACGATACAAATTATTACTTAACAAACCACGCGCGCCAATTTTACACCTATTCGCGACATCTACCGCAAAAATATTGCGGTATGCTATGCGTCGTTTCAGTTCCGGGCGTTCCTCGACGACTAACAAACATGTATCGAGTAGCGGGAGAAGGTACGACAGCGATTGAAATTATAGCGATTTGTTCGCTTGTGCGCTATAATCCTTCTAATCCTGGAATAGCCTGTTTAACACCGTAAAATGTAGCTAATCATTTAGATCGAGTCAGTTGTAGCAGCTGCAAAACACGTATCTATGAGATCAACTTTCATCTCCATCTTCAGCACGTTGACGTTCACTGAGGAGTGGCGCGCAAAAAGATGGCCAGCTCGCCGACCAGCATCGAAAATCAAATAGACAGTTTTTTAGAACAATTTAAACGTAGTGCCTCCCGCGCAATGGAGGAATCTCACAGATCCAGTTACAATGCTTGCAGTAGTAGTATCAGTCATAGTCAAAGCGGAAACCTGGATCTTGAAATCTTGGAAGTTGGTAAGTTTTTACTATAACTTTATTTGACATAATAATTGGTTGTATTACGATCGAATTTTGGTTACTTCTTAATATTTCAATTCTTTTTTTTCCTATGTACATAGTCTACTAATTTTTCGCTGTTGTCGATTGATTTTTCGGGCGTTTCTTATATATTTCAATATATCTGTTTTCCAACACTACCGATCATTTAAAAACATTTACGCTTGTTTTCCACTAATCTTTTCATAATATTATGTAGTAAAATCTATATAAAATTATGCAGATATCATTTTGTATATTCATATCATTTAAAATATCATATTTTATTGTATCACAATATTCAAAATTCAAAATGACATTATTAATCAATGATAACCGCATTCATTTTAAAATATAAAAACTACGTATTCTATATATTATGCGCGCGCGCGCGCGCGTGTGTATGTACAATATATACATATATATATATATAATATGTATATATTATATATATATATATATATATAATAATAAATTTTAAGCTGAAATACATTTAAGTAATAATGTTTTGGTATCAGCTAGTAAATGTTAAAATGGAAAAGATTAGAGTATTTATTTTTTATAATAAAAGTGTAGCAAAGAAAAAATGTTAAATAGCACTATCTAGATAAACAAGAACAAGTAAATTTTTTATTCAAATATAAAATAATGGGATATTAAAGTAGAATCCACTTTGATTTAATTGTACATTTTGACACTGACATGCTGCAAGTCACGTGCAGTTACCCCTCTATTGGGAATCAGGTCTTTTGTGATTGGTTGTTCAGTCTTCTCTTTACCTCCACCATGAAGCGTTATGGCGTCGTATCTCGTATGTGTTACGATAGAGGTCGTCGCCCGTTATAGCTGTTCATGGTTCGAGTTGAGAAACTGTGGGATTATAACATTCGTTTAATAGACCCGTGAATAAATACTGATTTAATATATTGTCGATTATAATATAGTCGCACATTTTGTGCTAATTTATATATAATACATATAATCGATCTTTCAATCTTCGGTCTTGTGTTTACGCGGAGTGATAGCGTTGCGGTTACCTTGAAATACTGGGGTGTATAAGAACTACTTCGGAAATACCGGCTACAATGTTTGAATAAAATAAAAGACCAACATCATCATGAAATTCTGTTAGATATGCGTACGCGATTAAATTGGATTTACCTATTATATATGTATATATATATACACACATATACATATGTATGTTGGTAATGGAATAAGCTTATAATAACGATAAATCGAGTTGTTATGCGAAATACTAATATTACAGATAATACTGTGTGATAAATTTTAATGTACTGAAATTGATCGTGAAAATTTATTTAAAGTAACAACATGATTCTTCGACGAAAATCACTGCATAGCTGCAATTGTCCCTGTCATCAGCATTGCTCCACGAAATGTGCAGGTTTGAGTTATGCGTTTTTGGACTACTTTTTCAATCAGTTTTATGTGTACAGCATTAAAATTAGAAATGCAAATAATATGAGCATTTTTTTATAGCCTTAGTATTGATTTATGAAAATATTGAATTTGTTTATATATTAGTTGATAGGTAGATGTATTTATATGAAAGATCGATATTTTTTATATTTGAGAGATATGTATATATATATTCGTAATATATTTTACATTTGTTTCTTCAGTGATTATATTATCAATACTTACATTAAATTAATTAAATAATTAATGGATTTAAATAAATGTGACGAATTGCTAGTGGGATACCATTTTCTTTAAACATTTATACATATTATGTATCCGTATTTAATCATATTATTTTTTTTATGCAATTAGAAATATTAAAGTAAATATTGAACTATTCGATACTTGTGCGTGTTTCGATAGATAATGTATTTATGCAGACGTAATGTGGGAATTGTCCTATTTATAGAGGATTGGACCTATTATCCCCTCTATATGTATAATATTACAACTATATTCGCCGTATCTTCAAGCGTTGTGCTAGAGTATCAATCGATGTACAAAGACGTATTTGTACACAAGGCATTTACGTCGACTGTTTATAGTTACAAACGTGATATTTTTTGAAAAATGTTATAAATGATTTTGTAAAAATAATAAAAAAAGGTAAGTAAATTTTAACTTATCTATATCTAATGAAAATAAAGAAATTGAAATGTTAAATTGTTAGTACTTAGTTAACAATGATATGACTATACAAACATGAAAAAAGGTAAGTGAATGTTTATATTTAATGCTATTGTTATACATATTAATGACAATAAGTAATATTTTCAAATGTTTCTGTGTATGTTTCATTCATACTGATTTGATATTTTCAAGAAGAGTATAGTATATTGATAATATTTTGCATAATATAAACATTTTTAATGTTACAGAAATCATATACTGATGCAACAAATACTACTTTTAAGCCAAAGAAAAATGTTATAAAAATTAAAGTGAAGAAACTTAAAACTGAAGGAAAATCAAATTATGATTCTACGAAGCTAGAAGGCAGTATTAATTAGTATAAGAAAAGCATGTAAATGAGAAAGAAGTAATCGTACTTGATTATCATTAATATCATATAAAATTACCACTATTTAAAAAATAAAGTATTTAAGATCCTGTTTTTATTTAGCATCTGCTATTCTGATATTTTTTTTTGTAAAGTTTTGATATTAGTATGTTATTACGTGTGTACATTATGTTAAAATGAGACTTTAATATGTAGTTTTTTTATATTAACATTTACAATTTATAAAATAAGAACATGTAATAAATAATAAAAAAATATCTAATTTGTATTCCTATAATTTTTTCATTTTTCTTTATTTTTACAAAATTAAATATGTAAAAGCAATACATAATAAATTTAAATAATGATAAGATATAGGAAAAATAAACAGTTTTTATCACAGTTACATCTCAAATATGTAAATTAAGAGATTAAAGATTCAACAATACAGTGTTTCTCAAGTAATATATAAAATGCATACTAGTTATCATTTTTAGTTCAGTTTTAAATAAAGTATGTTTAATTTCTTTTTTGTTGGTGGGGGTAATACTTATGTATGTAAACAGTAAACAATATTTTAAAGCACTTTGAGATGTAGTTTTATTAATTTGAAGTAAAATATATATTGTTATAGTTTCTGCAATTTATGACCTGTGAATATAAAAATAATGGTGCATTTGTTGTGATAATAAATTATCTTTTTGAAATCCTATTTTGAAAGTTAATTTTATTATTGGTATAATTCCGAAAATTGAGAGCCTCTTGTTTTACAGTTACAACTGAAACATTGTAGGTATTGCAGAACACTGCTTCAGTTAGTTGTAGTCAGTAAGGTCATAAGAGTACATTCTGAGCTCTCACAGTGACATATAGTAAATATTGTATGGGTGATCATTAATATAAGTTCAACATATCTTTGTCAAAATTCCTTCTTTCGACAATTTACAGTTATAAATACTGATAATCATTTATATCAAAAGAATACAAATTTTATCCATGAACTCACTTTATAATGACAGTTAATTGTAGGTCATAATAATTGTACTTATTTACTACTACATATATTATATTTATTGTCAATTATAAACTATACAAATTTATACTTTTCAGAAGATGTAGAGAGTATGACTGGTGAAATTGAAAATGGGGATTTGGCAATTAGAGATGTTGCAGACCTTCTCCAATCACAGTATGCTATAATAGCAGGTAAATAAAATAAAATTTCATCAATGTCATTTAAATATATTATATAATAACATATTTGTACATATAGGAGGGAAAACTCGAGAGGGTTGTCCTATAATTACGTTTCCTGATAATGGCAATTTTCATAATTTATCTGATTTGGATTATCAACGTCTCATGCTATATCTTACTTCTGTGCCAACGTAAGATTAAAACAATATTATTATGAAAATGTATAAAATGGAAAATAGTTACTGTAAACGTCATTAATGATTTTCAGGTTACAGGAAGCTGATCTTGGATTTCATTTAATAATTGATAGAAGAAATGATAAATGGAACTCTGTAAAAACTGTGTTATTAAAAATCTCTGTAAGTACATCTTTTAAAAAATGTAATGCTAGTGTAATGAGAGAAATAAAGATAACACTAAATATGTTAATTTAGTCTCTTTATATTATAGGGATTTTTTCCTGGTTTAGTTCATGTTGCATACGTTTTACGTCCAGCTGGATTTTTACAGAAAGCTATTTCAGAAGTATCAAATAAATTATTTAGAGAAGACTTTAAATTTAGAGTTATATTTTTAGCAAATGTTGCTGAGCTACATGAATTTATAGATAAAGATCAGTTAACTGAACAACTTAGTGGCAGTTTACCATACTGTCACCACACCTGGATACAAAATAGAATTGTAAGTACAGCCGTAAATGTAATAAAATGTAAATTTTGTTTTCACTTTTTTTTGCTGTTGTATAGAGTTTGGAAAAATTTTCATCAATGACACAAGACGTATCGCTCGCGTTGGATTCTTTTACACGGCGATTAGCCGAAATTGAATTTCCTAACAATACTATTGCAACTACATCTTTATTATCTCAACAACAAGTTGAATATAATGAATTAAAGGAAGAAATTCTTAGTGCTGCAAGACATGGTGAAGCACTTTTGGACAGTGTACGACAACTAACTGGTAAAGGAACAGCTGATAGATTAGGAAATGTGGCAGCAATAGAACGGTATAAAATGATTTAATTTGATATATTATAAATTAATGATCAGTTATGTTTAATTATAAAATGTTATTTATTTTTAGATTACTTGTTCAATTAGAAGAAACAGAACGAACTTTTGATTTGTTTTGGTCACATCATAGCTCTCGTTTGAGACATTGTCTAGCTTTAAGACAATTTGAAGCTGATTTTAGGGAGTTGCAAGCAACATTGGATCAACATTTAAAAACCATAGAAGAAATGACAGAAGTGGGAGAAACTCAAGCTAGGGTTGAACAGTTACTTTGTGACACATCAGCATTCCAAAGAATATGCAGAGTATGTACCTCTATTTTATACACATATTATTTAATACTATTAAACGAAAATTATTTTAAATTATAATATGGAGAAAAAATTAAAATATATCAAATTAGCGTCTTCATTTAAATAGATATTTTTATAAATATAAGAAATTAATATTTATATATAAATGTTCAAAAATTATCACGTATAAACTACTATCACAACCACAACAAAAAAGATAAGCGTGGTACAATATTAATATTTTTAAGTTTGAGAATGTTTATAATGCATTTAAATCAACAAGATATAATATTCAAACCAGTATTATACGAATTTTGCCTCAAGAAAGTCTAAAATTCAGCAATAAAATAGTTAAGTGGAGAAAGTATCTAAAATCTTTATGTAAATTCTGGTTTGGATACTCTTATAAGCAATCACATATACATATAATGCACATCATGCACAAATGTTACTTCGCACCGCTTTCCTCATTTTGTCGATAGTCCTATTTGTTGCATACCATGTGGATTTGGGTGTTGGTAAGCAATCCACTTAACAAAATACGTATATTTTGTAATAGATTTAAATTTTTGAACATACTGATACTAATTTAGTAATTCAATTTTTGAATTCTGTGTTAATATATTTTGAAATACAGTAAAAAGGAGATTTATTACTTTTAATAATTTCTTTATGGGTTAGTGAATTAAATCTCTATCAAAATGTATTGTTTTTATAAACTTAGTAAATATATTTATATAACATAAGATGAAAAATGGTTCGTTGGTAAATAAAATTATAGGGATTTAATTCATGCCTTGTATTGGCATGACAGATTTGGAGAATGAATATCATTGTTACTTCTCACTTTGCACTGCACGTAAGATAGTATCTTTGTTTAGAATAATTTTTTAGATGAACAACGAAAATTGATGAAAATATTCAATTACTGTTTGTAGTATTCTTGTTAATGTTTTAATATTTGCTAAACATCAATAAAATTATATAAATTTATAGGGAGATATAGAACGAGCAGAAGAAGTAATATCTGCTGGCCAACAATTGCTATCTGGAAGGCATCTATGTCCTACAGATGTTGTGGAACCTAAGTGTGTGGAGTTACAAAGAATTTGTACTATTTTAAGTCAAAGACTGGAGAGACGGTTACATATGTTAACCAAATGCAGAGAACTTATGGAACGTATAGACAAGGTAATTACTTGCCTTATAAGTTATTAAAAAATATATTTAGAAAATATAGTTGAATGTATTTTTAATCGTGTATTATAGGCAAATGCATGGTGTACGCGTGGAATAGAATTGCTTGCATCACAAAACAATACAACACCAGCTGATCAAGCACTTCAAGATTTACAAGAATTAATTGAAGCTGCAGAGGAATTTCATCATCCTAGATGTATTTTTCAAGATTCTATAATGCCTGAAACTAAAGCTCTTATTACTCAAGTAAGTATATTTTGTGAACGTGCTATTTTTATGAAATTATCATTTTTATTTTGTGAAATAAATACATTAGGTTTTACAAAGAATAGAAGATGTGTCTTTGATGTGTGATAAAAGAATCATGACATTAAAACAACAATTGATTAAACCTACAAGACCGGTTCAAACTGTAACTCCTGAACCAGTTAAGCCATTACAATCACTGCCCCAAATTGTAAAACCCGGTAGAATTCTTAAAAAAGCTAACACTATGCCGAAGGTAAATTGTTATTACGTTTGATCCAGTATAAACATATACAATTATGAATTATTGGAATTCGTAATACTTATTAGATGGAGATGAGTCCCATAGAAGGAGAATCTTCATCGCCAGAAAGTGAATCTAAAGATGTAGAAGCTTTACGGTTAAAACGCGGACATGTTTTAGCGGAACTTGTTGAAACAGAACGAATCTACGTTGCTGAGCTGGGTTCCATAATTAAAGGATACAAAATGGAATTAACTAATGAAGCAATGACTCATTTAGTACCAGCAGCATTAGTAGGCAAAGGAGATATTTTATTTGGTAACTTGGAAGATATTTACGTTTTTCACGGAGAAACGTTTTTAAGAGATTTAGAAAATTGTATTTCGAATACTGAACTTGTTGCATTGTGTTTTGTACAAAGGGTAAATATTATTTAGATAAGTATTTTTTATAAATCTTAAAATTAATTTAAGCAAACATTTTCAATAATGTAATATAAAATACACTTATTTTCAGCGTGATGTGTTCTTCAGATTATATAGTTATTACTGTCAAAATATTCCAAGATCTGAAAAGTTACGAGAACAAATACAGAACGAACCTCAATTTCTTGCAACTTGTCAACAAAGACTCGGTCACAAATTACCTCTGGCCGCGTACCTTTTAAAACCCGTACAGCGTATTACAAAATATCAGTTATTATTGAAAGATCTTTTAAAATATAGCGAGGAACCATCATGTTGCACCGAATTACAGGAAGCATTAGATTGCATGCTTGTTGTATTAAAATGCGTTAACGACAGCATGCATCAGACGGCTATTACTGGATTTGCTGTAAGTGAAATATTATTTACAATTTGTATCAATTTTTGTCATTTGTTATTATGTAATTATAATCAGTAATGTCTCATTAGAATTTAATATTATTTCCAGGAAGATTTAAACGCACAAGGAGAGCTTTTATTACAAGGCTCTTTTAGCGTTTGGAGTAGTAGTAAACGAGAACGACTTCTTAGGTTGAAACCATCTCAACGTCATATTTTTTTGTATGAAAAGGCTCTTATATTTTGTAAACATAGTAAACCGCAAGCTCATAACAAAGCTACATACCATTTCAAAAGATATTTGAAGGTGATCTTATACATATATCTGTTTTATGTATCGCCTCGATTTTTTTTCATGTTATATATAAAATTTTAATTTTATTTTTATCAGATGTCACAAATTGGACTCACAGAATCAGTTAAAGGTGATGCAAGACGTTTTGAAATTTGGCTTCAAGGTCGGGCCGAAGTGCATACAATACAAGCACCTACTATTGATATTAAACAATCTTGGGTGCGTCAAATTAAGGGGGTTTTAATGTCTCAATTAGCTGAACTTAAAGGAAAACAGAATTCTGCTCTCGGAAAGACTAATCATAAGTAAGTAAATTATTTATGTAATTACATTTGAACAGACAGTAATAATGATAATATTATACAAAATATTTATAGACCATTGCGCCAGACGATATCGTGGGAAGCCCAAGGCAGTGTTTCTGGATCTTTACGAACTCTTTCAGTTGATGGTAGTAGTGTTGTAGGGAACATCACTGATCTTTTACAATCGACAGAAGATGATGTTGCCTGGAGTTCAGAAAACAGCAACACAGATGATGAAGATGCTTTTAGTGAAAATCCTGGTCCAGCTCCTGTAAATTTATTATTTTTTTTTTTCAATAATCATATTATTAAATGAGAATAATAATATTCTGTAATTTTTATTTTCAATTAGGGTGGAAGATACATAGCATTGGCTGATTATTGTGCAGTTGGACAGTCAGAAGTTACTATGCGTGAAGGAGACAACTTAGAACTTCTTAAAGTTGGATGTGCTGGTTGGTGGTTTGTAAAACTAATAGGTACCGGAATAGAAGGATGGGCTCCAGCAGCTTATTTGGAACCAATAAATCGAAAAACTTCGCGCAGTTCACAATCAGTGAATAGTCAAGAAACCATATGAAACAGGCGTCTGACACACTAGAATTTCCTAGTGTGTTAGATTCATAAATGTTGGAAGGAACGCAAATAATTAAACTGTAATATTAAAAATTACATATGAAAGGTTTTATAATGCGAAGATATGGTTAAGACTTTGAAAATTTTGCATAACGTATGTATGACAATTCTTGTGAACTATGCAATGCAGCAATATGTGCTTGATTAATATGATTAATGATGAATAATCGTAGTTGCATATAACTTCCAAAATTGCAATTGAACGGAAAGAAATTTTAGATATTAATGATCATTTAATCCTTTATAAAAAGGTTTAAATAACAAAAAATCAGGGAGTAAAAAAATGCATGAATTTTTTTACTACACAAAGTTACGAAAAATTTGTTGGTGAAAGTGCTTTATGCAAGCAAATAGAATTTGCATTTACTAAATAAATGTACTATGGATTATATTTATTCTTACAAAGAAATTAATATTTATAGAATTGTATAAAAACTTATTTCCATAGGGAATTAAAAGGTATGTATACGTACATATACATTTACAGTTGCAGATTTAAAATTATTACAGGTACATAAAGATTTGAAATTAGTTGCATATAGAAATCTTGAAAAGAAAATTATTACAATGAAACGCAATTATTTAAATCGTTTAGTTATTGTGTCCATAACAAGTGTATGGAATTATAAGCTTATCTATATTTATAACCTGCATAATATCCGAATGTGTGCAAATATTCCAAAGTTCACACACTAAATGAGATCCTAAGAAACTTTCGTTTTGTATAATCTGTTAATGATATTTAATATATTTTTGAAAAAGTATATAATTGTTTATAATTACTAAAAGAAGTCAAATATGTCTGTATTATAATGATGAAGTATTTTTTAAAATTATGTATTTTAGTACAATTTTGTATATATATAAGTTTTTTAGTATATTTATATTTATTTATTTCTATACATAATATAGTACAATGTAAACTAAAATATTTTCCGTATATTGTAGAGAATTTAGAATATTTGCAAACTATCGAGAAGTGGTTCAAAAGCCTTTAAAATAAAACCAAGTGATTGAATATTTGCTTAATATTTCTGTAAATGAATTAATATAATTTAGCAGAAGTTCTCTGTTGGTATATTAATGTAGATATGATAGATAATATATTGTTATGTCTTTATGACCAAACAGCTTGATACTAGTACTATTTTAGTATATATATAAATGACCTATTTAAAATATTTAAATAAAAAAGAAACGAAAGATTACAAAGTATTAAATAACAATATACACAAGTTTTTTAGAGGATAAAAAATTGACACCAAGTTTTATGCAATATATGTATACACTGTAATAAACTTTAAAATGTAACATTTTAGTCAAAAGGAGCAATTCCACTTCTAGTGAATTTAATATCTTATCAATTTCTTAAGTATATAACAATAAGAAACTGTACATAATAATGTTATTTGTACTAAAAATTTATATTAACGCATAAAAGCTAAGTTAAGAAATTATTTTATAGGTATAAAGTGCAATAATTATGTTTCACTTATGATTAAAAATAACAAGTATTTCTTTAACAATTTATAATACTGGTACAAGTATTTTGAATATAAGTTATTTATTATTTATACATATATAACAAAATATTGTGTGAAATTATGATATACATATTGAGTACAAATAATTTATTTTAATACTATAGATATTAGTACAATAAATTCATGCTATGATAATTTAAGTTTAAAATTTGTAATAAAAATATACATACACATAATTTGAACATAAGGCTTTTAGTTATGTTCTAGTGTTTTATTGATAGAATATGCGAGCTTTTGACCAAAAAAACTGTTCTATTTTTCTTTGGTAAAGTAAAAAATACAGAATACTGACTATTTACAATTATGGATATAAGTAATTGATTTAATTATAAATTTTTTATTATTATAATTCTTATCCACTTTTACACCATCCTAATATTAATTAGTTGTAGGATTTTATTCGATTAATAATATTATTTTATGTTCTTTTCTAGATTTGTATGCCATGATAATTGTTTAAAAATTGTTGAAACGTTTTATGTACATTCATATAAAGCAATAGTGAATAGTAATTAACATGGTAATATAATTCTAAAAACAATTTTAACGTAAATTTTATTAACTGTTAAACTTATAAACACCTATTTCGTTACTGAATAAGATACAAGTTATATATTAATTATATGTCAAAATATTATGAAAATATAATTAAAAATTTCACATTTTTTTTTAACTTACTCTATTTTATGTTTATTTATTTCTTATATTGACACGCGTGTGATACTGTAAAGTAGTAAAATATATGTTCAGAAGACTCTTTTATAAACATCACTAAATTAGCACACAGACAATAAATGCATGTCCTCTTTGGAATAATTTCAATGCAAGTTATGAACATAATAATTTAAACAATGGACGTAATAACGTAATGTTCTTCCTTTTAGAATTTTGTAGGCTAAATATCTTGCAGAAGCAAAGATTTACTCTGTGCATTATTTATAAGATTATACTATAAGATAATTATATGTAAATATTAAGCTATATATTTATTTAAGACCCTAATATGACTTTTTAACAAAGAGTTCCTTTTGTTGTTCCTTAATGATAATTTAATGTTACTTACTTTTGTATATTCAATAATGTGAATAGTAAAACTTTCTCTATACACAAATTAAATATCGAGAAACAAACATTAAAAATTTTCTGAAAAAAATGCATTTGAGTATACAATAACTTTCTGTTAAGGATATAAGATTTTTGTTTTATTTTAAGCAACATAGGGTATAAAGAAATAATAATTGTGAATTGTATTATAATTACATTTATATACATTAATATTTAAAAAATTTCATTTTAATATGGAACGAAAGCTTTAAATTATGTTATAGATAACTATATTTACTATTGTATTTTCTTTAATAAATTTGTTATGTATTTATAGAAAAAAATGTAGTATAATAAACATACACATGAACTGTACATGTACGAAATTATTTATTTTTTCTGAGTTTGTTGTAACATATGAAAAAGAATCATTAAAAAAGGTATGATTCGATAATAATCTAAGTTTAAATTTAAAAATATAAATAGAATCGATTCACTTCGATATTAGTTTAATAGCAACACGGCAGATGAGGCAAGTGTTGCACACACATCAAGAACCATTTTATTGCATTATTTCACAGCGCATGGAGGGAATTAACGGTGTTCGATTATTATACTTTTCGTAACAGTGATATGTACTCTTGATAGTGAACTTCAACACAAGCATTTTCAAAAATCTTTTATTCTTACATTCTGTTAAAGGAAATTTAATAAAGCAAAATGGCACCACGATCAGATGCAGAATTAAAAGAAACTTCAGAACTACCAAAAGAAGTACCACGTAGAGGCGTTAATGCCGTTTTATTAGGACCACCTGGTAGTGGTAAGGGTACACAGGTAAAGTTCTTTCCTTTCTTTCCATAAAATTTGGAAAATACAGATTTTTCGATTATAAGATTAATTTTAACATTTTCACATGTACTTGCATACATATATATATATATATATATATATATATAATTTTTATAAAATATATTTTAGGCGCCATTATTGAAAGAACGATATTGTGTATGCCATCTATCTACAGGTGATATGCTCAGAGCAGAAATTAGTTCTGGATCTGCAATTGGGGCAGAAATTAAAAAAGTAGTGGATGAAGGTAAATTGGTTAGCGATGATCTTGTAGTCCAAATGATTGATCGTAATTTAGATAAGCCTGAATGTCAACGTGGTTTTCTTTTGGATGGTTTTCCAAGAAGTGTCCCACAAGCTGAGAAAGTAAGTTCAAAAGTTTTAAATAATATTTAAATAATTTAATGTTGCTAGAATTGATCATTATCGTTGTATCATCATTAATATTATGAGAACTGCTAGTAACCTTGAAATGACATTGAAATAAAATAAATTCAAAGTAGTTTTAAAATATTGTTGAAGAAAAATGATATATCTTTTTTAATGTTTTAATATAAATAGCTTGACAGTATGTTACAAAAAAGAAAAACCAAGTTGGATGCTGTGATAGAATTTGGAATTGATGATAATTTATTGATAAAAAGAATCACAGGTCGTTTAATACATCCTGCAAGTGGTAGATCATATCATGAAGAATTTGCTCCACCCATAAAACCTATGAAAGATGATGTAAGTAATAATTATTAGTTGTAATAAATTGCAATTTGTAAATTATAATATAAACATCTCACATGAGGCATATAATTTTATGAAAATAGGTTACTGGAGAGCCATTAATTAAGCGGTCCGATGACAATGTAGATGCATTGAAAAAACGTTTATCGACATATCATACACAAACTCAACCACTAGTTAATTACTATGCTTTACAAGGAATCCATTATTATGTTAATGCAGCTCAATCAAGTAAAAATGTTTTTGAAGATATTGACCGCATTTTTCAAAAAACAATTAACCAAGACAAGGGTGAAGAAAAAAAGAAAGGATTTTTCAGTTGGTTCTTTTAATTCAACATACATGAATATTATAGCTAATTCTTCTCTCCTAAATGAAGCAGGTAGTTGATGAAAAATATATTTTAGTATCATGGTGATTTATAGAAGAATTTAGCATTTTAAATATGTAATTTGCAATTTAAAAATAATTTACATACTTAAACAAGTTACATAGTTGATACAGTAAATATCTTCTGATTAAATAACATATTTCACATTTACTAAAAGAATGTAAACATTACATCGATTTAGTTGAAAATAATCCTGTGTAAGTATAAAAGAACTATAAATGAAACAATAGTGTATACATATATTTTATTGGTAGAGGATATTTGGTTATACCTAACCATAATGTAAACTAATTGATTAACTGCACATGAGGAGAAATATATTTGTATATAATGGGTACCATTTCATTTATTTCTTTAAATATTGCTCTAAAAATTATTTTGTATTCTTTGTTACGTGCATAATTTATTTTATTATATATGGTATTCTCATGCTTGCTTTTTTATCAAAACTCACATTCGACCACTTTTATGACAGATATTTACTTAATGCTTTAGACGTGTATATATAAATTAGTATAAATAAAAGCAGCACATTTAAGCATTCGTTTTTAATGTTATTTTGCACGAGAAACTAATAAAATTTTATAGTTTATTTTTTTAACTCAACTGACAATGCATTTTTTAAGATTTTATACTTAAAATATTAAACATATGGACTAAAATACCTCATTTATATTTGTTACACGCACATATATCAAGTGTTGTATCTTTTAATTAAACAAACTTCAATTAAATAAATATAAACCAATGAATACTTTTAAATATTTTATTATCAATGCACCAAATCTATTGCCATTACTTGTAGATTTTTAAAGGTAGTTTTACAAATGGCTTTAAAAGAAGTATGTGTAATATATATGAAAATATATTTTACATGAGCAAAAGTAAATCTAAATATATTCTGATACAATACTTTTGCCTATACGCGTTGTCTCATTATCTCGTTGTAAATATATATTTTACAAAGAGAAATGAATGTATATCTGGATGTAATAAAATTTTCAAACCAACAAAATGTTTTTTCTTTTAATAACATTATACTTTTTGTGTTAAAGTTTTATGCTCATACATGTAAATTAATTTTAGACAAATTGTACACATTTAATATTTTATTATTAGATACTCATATAACAAATTATATACGTATAATTTCCAAAATAACAAGTAAAATTGAGTAACTACAAATAACTAGTTTTAAAATTTTTACATTTTTATAAACAAACACCGAATTAACAAATTTTATTAGCACACATGAAAAAATGTAAGGAAAGGAATAAATTGTAAATTAAAGATGCGCGGTAATCGTGTGGAGAGCGTCGTATAAACGTATCGCGCATGTGCAGATTGCCAATTGTTCGCGATCTCGTCAAGAAGCAGATCTGAGATAAATAAGTTTTTCCGCTTCTCGAACAGAGGGATTAAGGTAGAACGGAGAGGGAGAATTCTTTCAATTTCTTAGTGAAAAACTGTTTTTCGTGAGCTGAGGGCCGGCGGCCGAGTGATGCACGCATATGTCTAGGCTCGGAGGGACTCAGGTTCTGGCCACAGCACAGGTGAAGAGGACGGCCGCTGATCATACAGCGGTGTTAAACTTTAGTGCTGCAAAACGCAGCAAACTATCCGCCGTTGCGGTCACGGAGATCAACGAAACTGAAAACATGACGGATACAGCTGCGGCCACAACTGATACTCAGAAGCGAGCCAATTTCTCAGCGTTAACCGTTGGGAATCCAAACGGCGTCAACAAGATTTCACCGAGTTTGGCAAGTGCAAAACCAGGCACAGCTAGAAAGCTCGTCATCAAAAATTTCAAAAGTAAGCAAGACCATGGGACTACCTAACCTCAAAGTCAGCTGGTATTCGTGCAGATTCTAGATGTAATTTATGATTGGCACTGTGCCTTCAAAGATTGCGACATTCCTTTTAATATGACCTTATGAGTTTTGTAGCACTCTTTTATTCTGCATTATGTAGCCAAGGACGAACTGCTTCTAATTGAAATTAATAATACTAAGCAGACATAACCTAACCTGACATTAAGAATAACTAAAATGGATAAACGTTTTTAAGGCGCATTATTTGCCCTTTTTTTTTATACAGTTTCCAGAAATTTCATATTATCATTAATAGCATAATTAATTAAAAGATTAACTTATGTTTTTACATCTCTAAATTTTTTAAATAACTAACGCAGAATAGTTATGAATTCATTATTTTAGTAATAATATAGCAGTGAAATTTTGTATTGTATTTACAATGTTATTATTTATTCTTTGCTGCTTTATTTGTACTTGTACAAAAGTAATTATTTGCATATTACATACTGTTCGTTATTTCATCTTTGTTATAGGAGTATTAAATAAATTACTAATATTAGATGTGTATAATTGAATTAAATATATCAATGTTTGTTTGTAAAAATGGAACTGATATGTATTATAAATTTTATACAGATAAACCAAAATTACCAGAAAATTATCAAGAACAAACATGGGAAAAGTTACAAGAAGCTGTAATTGCAATACAAACCAGTAAAAGTATTCGTTATTCATTAGAAGAACTTTACCAAGCAGTTGAAAATATGTGTAATCATAAAATGGCATCTACGTTATATACCAAATTGACAAGGTTAACAGAAGCTCATGTGCAGGCTAACATAGAGCAGTTCTTAGCAGAATCAATGGATAGGCATATATTCCTGAAAAAAATGAATGAGTGTTGGCAGTCACATTGCAGACAAATGATCATGATTAGAAGTATTTTTCTATATTTGGATAGAACATATGTATTACAAAACCCAAGTATTTTATCTATTTGGTATGATTTTTGGTATTTGTTTTTTAATAATTAAAAGTTTTGAACATTTGCTTCTTATCACATGTGTACATATTATTTCAGGGACATGGGATTACATTTGTTTAGGGTGTATATTGTTCTAAATAATTTAGTTCAAACACGTACAGTAGAAGGACTACTTATGCTCATAGAAAAAGAACGTCAGGGCGATACAGTAGACAGAACGCTTCTTAAATCATTATTAAGAATGTTATCCGACCTACAAATCTACCAAGATGCCTTTGAATCCAAGTATGAATTTTCTTGCATTTTGTATAATAATGTGTATGCGCGCGCACATACATGTATATCTGTAAATATAAATCATTAAACTTTTTGTTCTTGCAGATTTTTGGTTGCTACAGAAAGATTATATGCTGCAGAAGGTCAACGATTAATGAACGAACACGATGTTCCTGAGTACTTAGCACACGTAGATAAACGTTTGCAGGAAGAAAATGAACGTTTATTACACTATCTTGATGCATCTACAAAGTATGTTCTTTATATGGGCTACTATAATATATATGCACAGGACTCTAATATCAATTTAATGTTGCAGGTGCTCGCTAATACATACAGTAGAAAAGCAATTATTATCTGAACATATTACTAGCATTTTACAAAAAGGATTGAGTGGTTTATTGGATGAAAATAGAATTAGTGATTTATCTTTACTTTATAATTTATATAGTCGTATAAAGTGTGGTCTTATAGAACTTTGTCAAAATTTCAATTCTTACATAAAGGTATGCTTTGCACATACAGTATACAAATATGTTGATGTATGTAGAAATACAGAATGAAATTTATTTTCTTTTCTGTTTCCATAGAAAAAGGGTAAAACTATAGTCATAGATCCAGAAAAAGATAAAACTATGGTTCAAGAGCTTTTAGATTTCAAAGACAAAATGGACAATATAGTTAATACATGCTTTCATAAAAATGAGAAATTTGCTAATAGTTTAAAAGAAGCTTTTGAAGCTTTTATTAACCAACGAGCAAATAAACCAGCGGAATTAATAGGTATCATTCAATGTTTCTATGTTTTAAATTATTATTTGGATAAATAAGCATTATGTACCTTTTTATGATGATAGCAAAATTCGTTGATTGCAAATTGCGAGCTGGTAACAAGGAAGCAACAGAAGAAGAATTAGAAAGATTATTAGATAAAATCATGGTATTATTTCGATTTATACATGGAAAAGATGTATTCGAAGCATTTTATAAAAAAGATTTGGCTAAACGTTTATTAGTTGGTAAATCAGCTTCTGTTGATGCTGAAAAATCCATGTTATCGAAATTAAAACAAGAATGTGGTGGTGGTTTCACTAGTAAATTGGAAGGAATGTTCAAAGATATGGAACTTAGCAAAGATATTAATATTGCTTTTAAGCAGGTATATAAGCATTCCGATGAATGTTATTTTTAAATATATAGTAGTTTTTCTCATATATAATTTTATATATTACGTTATTACAAAAAGTTTGTTGTTTATGATTTAGTATGCTGGAAATTTGCAAAGTGAATTGTCTGCCAGCAATTTGGATTTAACAGTTTCAATACTTACAATGGGTTATTGGCCAACATATCCAGTAATGGAAGTAACATTACCTCCAGAAATGGTTCAATACCAGGATGTATTTAATAAATTCTATTTGGGAAAGCATAGTGGTAGAAAATTGCAGTGGCAACCTACTTTGGGACATTGTGTACTCAAAGCTTGGTTTAATCAGGTATAACTTATTTTTTGTAAGAAATATAATGTAACAATAAACATGATTCACTATTCATTTTATTTACATTCAAAAACAGGGTAATAAAGAGTTTTTAGTGTCATTATTTCAAGCATTGGTGTTACTTCTGTTCAATGACGCTGATAATTTATCGCTGGAAGATATAAAAGCAGCTACTAATATAGAAGATGGTGAACTCAGAAGAACTTTACAATCTTTAGCTTGCGGAAAAGCTAGAGTATTACAAAAGAACCCAAGAGGAAGAGATGTTGGGGATACCGATAGATTTGTATTTAATGCAGATTTCACAAATAAATTATTTAGAATAAAAATAAATCAAATTCAAATGAAAGAAACGGTAAAAAATACTTTAATGACTTTTTTAAGTCGTTACATTTTATATGTTATCAGATTTTTAAATATGAATGTATAAATTATATTTTACTTAGAATGAAGAACAGAAGGCTACAGAAGAAAGGGTCTATCAGGATAGACAATATCAAATAGATGCAGCTATTGTCAGAACTATGAAAATGAGAAAAACACTTACACACAATTTATTAATCAGTGAACTGTATAATCAGTTAAAATTTCCTGTAAAGGTATGTTGATTTAAAAGCTGTAATATATTTTAAATACTTTAACATAAATAAGTTAATTATAAAATAATATAACAATATCTTTTTTTAGCCGGCTGATCTGAAGAAACGTATTGAATCTCTTATAGATAGGGATTATATGGAACGAGATAAAGATAATGCAAATGAATATAACTATGTTGCGTAACCTGAATCAAATGCCAAAGTCATTTCAGACTGGGTGGTCATTATGTGTTTGCCTATTGTGAATGTGACATGTTACAGGAGAAAAATGAGAAACTTAAAACTGACTAATTGTCCGCAGAATGTTGCAGCGTATGGTCAGTTGATAAAAAAATTAGAGTGTACATCATTGTTTTGGTTTTTATAGTGCGCAATGAATACTGGACAATTGAGACCTTTTTTTAAACAGTGTTTTATCGTTAGTATTCTTGTGTTGTTTCTGGATTTTGCTAAAAAGGACCATCTGCAAAATGTTTTCAATGGTACAGCATTTAAAAATGTATCAATAGTTTTTCACGGCATATTAAAGATTTAAGAAAAATAACACAGTAATAATATCCTAAGACGAAAATACGAAATATCGGCATAAGTGATCAGGAACACGTCATTTGTAACAACATGAAATAGTGTACTGTGGACGTTGAACGCAGTGATTACTGACATTGTTTTAAACAAGTGAAAAACATACTAAAAAATAAAAATTCGTGTATTGAGAATAATATTCTGTTACATGCAAAATACTTAATTAATAAATATGAAAACACGTTTTTACAGATATTGCCGAAAAGGGAAGACATATATGTGCATATTAAAAAGATAAACGCCACGAGTTTGAAGAAATCTTATTAGGAATATAATATGTATTTCTGTAACAAATTTTTGTACATTACCTTATAATACAGAGTTTATAAATAAGAAAACAGAATATATCATTATATAAATGATATCCATCTTCATCAAAATAATAGTAAAGTAATTTACGTCTAATGTATGACGAATTTAAAAATAATATGGAACACCTTTTAAATAATCTACTTTTTATTTTTGAACGATATGCGATCAACATCTTCAGTCATAACTTTATTATACAAATAAATATTTATTACATTTAAAAATTATTAGTTGAGATAAAAATTGAAAGAGATACATATTAAAGAGCACAGTAAAAGTGTTTCATATTATTAAATAATAAGAATACTCTATCGTTAACTTTAACATTTTCACTATAAAATTATAGTATCTAATTAATGCCATACCTAGTTAACTACTTTCTTTATATATTTTGAATAAATTGTAGTGAAGAGTACAATTTTATATAAATATATGTATCTTATATATCTTTATATACAAATTAAAAGGGAACGCAATACAAAAATAATTTTGCCTAATTGTGATTTTGCTTTATACATATTATATGATGTTAAAATTAGTTGAAACTATACTATTTAAAAAGCTATTTATATTTATAGAATAAACTTTTCAATTTATACATTAATCTTGCCATTTTTATATATGCATATGTTGTGAAAGTAATTGAAATAATAATACTGATCTTTTCAAACTAAAATGTCAGTTTTGAATAATATAATACTTTATGAAATTTTAATCTATAAAACCTTATAATGCATATATCAGTATCATTTCTTTTCAGTAACTCTGTATTACAAGGTTATTTTACAAACGGTTGTTAAAGAAATAATTTATAATTCGTGTAAATGCTGTGCAAAATAAAATTTTTAGAAAAATGACACAATGGACTTGAAATCGCTGTAATTATACATTAGAATAGGTACACAATTTCTTACTATGACTTGTAGTGTAATCTGAAGGCTCGAACAAGAGACTTGTAAAAAAAAGGTCCAGTACTTTTTTGTGAATATAAATAATCTAATTGTATTTCATAAAATATGTAATAAATTTCAATATTTCAAAAAAAGAAAATAAAAAGTTGCGTGAAGTAGGAATCAATTGTTATAAAAGAACATATAATATATATGTATTATTAATACTATTAATAAGATTTGACTCATCCAGTGACTTGTTTAATCGTTTTATGTCGATGTAATTATGAAACGGTTTATTAACGAAATTTTGTATAAACACAAGGAAAAATGTTATTGATCAATCATTAGATAATTTTAATGGGAGTTCTAACGGAGAGTTTTAATATAAAAATAAAATCATTATAAACGCAGTACATGGTAAGCTTATAGTAAAACCATTTAAAACAAATACAAATGTGAAAATATAATGGTATTGCCATATTATACCTTTTCTACTTTATTTTTCTTTTTATAACAATAAAATGAAAAAGAACTAATTTCAATGCTTGAAATGGAATAAATAAAACTAAATTGTAGAAATTAATGCTTTCTTAAACTACCTTCTACTGCGTTTTGTTTTTATTATATTAAAAAACTTATTTTTATCGAATCATTCGTAAATTTATTAAGATTGTAAATAGAGTAAGGTTCTATAGTTGTAATAAAATAAAATGAAATATTCATATTACTTTTTGCTTATAATGTATGAATTAAAATTATTTAAATTTTATTTACAATATATATATTATATATATATATATATATATAATATATGTCTATCAATATTTTTAATATGTTCCTTGTGACAAAATTTTTGTACATAGTAGAAAAACTTTTTAAGCACCTTACATTTTAAATATTACTATATCAATCATTGTTTGAACACGATTAAGCTAGTCCCCTTACTTTTTGTACGTGTTCAGTTTTCATATCGATTTCATTAAGCAAGGATTTTGCGAAATTACTAGCGCTAGCTTCTTTGTTTAAAAAATCAGATACTAGAGTGGAAGGTGGTTTACCACCTCCATGTACTAAACACTCTTTTCGATATCGATCACCAGCTGTTCGATTAAAAGGATCTGCTTGAAAATAAGTTTGCCAAATCCAAGTAGCAATTGCACGAGAAATTAAATAAGAATAATACTTGGCACCATAGCCGACTAAATGAGAAAATCTTAATTGCCATGCCTGCAAACAATAAGGTTTAAATCTACAGCTTACTATTAAACAGTTTTTTGCTATAATCAAATATATAGTTTTCTTTAAGTATAGTCATAATTCTACAATTATTAAAATTAAAAAATTGTTACATACCGTATTTTCAATATAAGGAAGTTCATAGTATTTTCCTTGTATTTCTCTTAAAACATCAGTTGTTGACTTTTCCAATTTTTTACTGTGATAAACTTGATCCAACATACTATAGAATATTTGATTTTGTAACTCAGAAGCACAAAATATATTTTTTGAGGCATATAATTTTTCTACTAAAGCTGTTGGTATTGGTTCCAATGTTTCAAAGTGTTTTGCAAATGTAGATACAACCTTATAGTACATATTGAATTGTTAAACAAAGATTGTTTAATAACAGTTTAAATCATTATTACAATTATAATTGTAACTTACTCTTGGATCACTTGCAAAATATTCCATTAGTATACTTGGCACTTCTGCAAAATCGGTACTACATCTAGTTCCAGTTACATGTTGATACTTTGTTCTGCCTAACATAGAATGCAATGCATGACCCATTTCATGAAATAAATTTTCTACAGAAGCAGGGTTTAATAAACATGGTTTGTTCCACGTTGGAAGCGGTAACGACAACATCAATACTACTATCGGATTCTAAAAACCGATTTTTATAAAAATATCAATTAATTAATATTTTAAGTAGACTTTATAAAATAAATATTTCATATTTATTTAAATCATACTTGGTAAGATCCATCTGATAATTGTCTTCCGCCTCTAATAGTAAAATGACAGTCCTGATTAGGTTTTCCTTCTCTTTCAAAAAAGTCACAATATATATAACCCAATATTTCTTCATTTTCATCAATCACAGCAATTTTGTGTATGTTGCTTGCCCAAACTTCACCAGATAAAATTGGGACATATTCTAACCGAATTCCATACAATGCTAAGGTCAAATTATTAATACCATCCATGCAAGAACCAAGTGAAAAGTATGGTGCAAATTCATTAATGGATGTATTTAACCAGGTTTTCTTTGCTTTTAATGTAAAATAAGTAGTATCCCATGGCATTATACTCTAAATAGTAAGAGCAAATATGAATAAAAATTTTTAATTTATGGAATGTATTTTAGTAAAGTCAATAAACCTGTTTTGTAAGTGATTCGGAATCTTTCATCTTTTGCATCTCTTTAAAATCTTGTGTTGCTTTGAATTTTATATTGTCATTCAAAATGTTAAGAAATTCATGTACTACTTCTGGTGTTTTTACTGTACTTCCTATCATTGCTCTGTAAATTACTTATTTTTAATATATATATACAAATTATTCTTCAAAGAAACATTTTTTATACATTTTTCAAAACACACTGTTTTCATTAATTTTGATAATTTAAAATGTACCGATGGGCATATGATGAAAATCCACACAGTTCAGCCAAATTGTGCCTTAAGTTTAACAGTTCTTGTAATAAATATTCTTGTTCCTCATCTGGATATAAATATATACGATATACTGCTTCGCGAACCAAATAATTAGAAGAATCTACATAAAGTCCTTGCACTATTACTTTATTATTTTTTACTGTAAAACTATGAAATGTATTAAATAAAATACTAATAAACTACTTTTCAAATTCTGTACCTTGGTCAATTTTTCAACAAAAAGGTACTAACATGGTTATAATACTTACTATTGCCTTAGTTCTGGTGACAGAATGTTAGCATCTACAGCTCTTACTTTGCTAGTACCTGCCATGAATTTTTGACCAACCTGTATTTCAAAAATATATATAAATGACTGATTACTATATAATGCATATATACGAATTTTACATACTTGTAATATATGATAGTTCAGTTGTACAACATTTTCCCTGATAGATTCTGGCAAATGTATAGCACACTGTTCAAAATCAAGCAAGAACAATTTTGCAACATGATCATCTACAGTAGATGTTTTCTGAATATCTCCATTATCTACTACCTGCTTTAGTGCATTATATATTTCACGATGAGTATTTAGTCTACGGAATAAAAACATTAGATTAAGAGTGAAATTAATTATTAGTATTATAAATATAAGTTAAGTTTATTACTTTTTTATATTATAAAAGATATTTACTTTTCTACCATATCACTAATAGATAAACAAGTATACTCTGCAGCTCTAACAAATTCTTTATCTGGGTGAGCAATTCTAATAAACTCTGCTAAGTCTGCAACTTTACACAAAGTGTCAGACATGTCATCAAAAATTTCTACCATCTTACGTGTTCTACTTGAATTAATAGATTCTGCTATAAGCATATCTGTCTGGGATATTGCTTTATCCTTTAGAACATGAAATCCTTCAGGAGTTTTCAACTCAGCCATACCAAATAATCCCTATATATAAGAATTTTATAATTGAATAAATTACAGTTTATTAAATAACAGGGTTTTAGTTTCATACATTTAAATAATGAATGTAACTTACAGTTTCTTTCTTTAAAAGATATTTATACTTTTCTTTGGTAATAGTGTTGAATGCTGTTGCTAAAGCTGACCATGTATTAACATTTCTATATTTCTTCAAATGTGTTGAAATTTGTTTCTTTAATATTTGTATCATTTTGAATAATGTATTCGATCGCTCATAATAATATTCTAAAGATCAGTTTAAGGGAGCCATTATAATTTTTATTTTAACTTATAGGTACATTATTCAATTTCAAAATAATCTATTTATACCCAATGTAATAGAAAATGTATTTGAAATCTGATTTTTATTTGTTCTTATTATATATTGAAAATTGTAATAAGAAAGAAATATGTTAGAGGTTACGGTTCCATATGCAACCATTTATGTACATTATACATTTATAAATATAAATCTATACATATCATATGCATTGCACTGACCGATACTGACAGTCTCAAATCTCGAAGTTTGTAATTCTGCTTTTTACCGAATGATGGCATTACTGTGATTTTGACTATAATCTATGGTACAGATTGCATGTATGCTATACGTTCCAAACGTACATTGTATGATGATATGAAAATGCATGTATTCATGTATACCTATCTGTGCACTGCATGTACCCTTCTAAGGAATGGGTGGAATGGTTTAAATTTATAATTAAAAAGTGACAAATTACTTATATCTTCATAATGGGAAATCTTAATATATATGAAATTTAATTCGACTGTTAAAGTTCAAAATTTGTTAACTTATGATTATGATTTATCTATAAACGTTATTCATTATAAGGCTTGGTGGATTCATAAATTTCAAGGTTACTTAATGCAAATGGTGAGAATATAATCTTGTTAATTTGATGCATTTGTATCGTTTGTTGATTGAATAAGAGATCTGTAATGCGATTTTATCCGTGACAATATATTGAAATGGAAGGGGTATGATATCTATACAAGGATACGTTCCATACCATCACCCACATATATTACTTGTCAACGTTTTGTTTTTTCGTAATAATTATTGCAGCTAAACAGGAGGTAATAGATATCATTAATTTTAACACGTATATAAAATCGTTTATTATATTTATTAATTATTTATTCTATATATTATATTACAAAGTAGTAATTTTTAAGCCATAATTAAATGTCAATTGTTATACAGGATTTTTTTGTATAAAATTAGAGTTCTCTGCTTAATTAGTATAATGTTTATTTTGTAACAATAAATTGTTTAATTTTGTATATAATATACATATACGTATATAAAGACTAATCTTGTTTTGATTTCTTATAGTCTGATCCTGTGATAAGCAGAAATTTATTCACTGCTGCTAAACAATTAGCAGACAGTGAAATTCAATTGATAAAGGCTATAGAAAGTTCTAAGAAGATAAACAATAAAAATATTACAAGTAATATGTCTATGACACATAAAAGAGATACCAAAAAATCTGTAAAAGCTTCAAATGTAAATGCAATTTTATAGTAAATTGTTAATGTATTAATATTATTATAAGTTTTGTATATTATATTTTTGATTAGGTTCGTGCATCTGCTGCTTTGATAGCAGCTAAGCGTGAAGCAGCACAGCGGAATTCGTCGCAAGGGAAAAAATCTACTAATGTTTTTGTACATGATATATATCAAAAAGCAATAGATGCATATAATATTGAACAAAAAGATACTGGTCTTGTATTTGATCAGTCTATGACAGAACATGAATGTCTTTGGGATCCAAATTATCCAGAATGTCCTGCTAGATTAACAAGAGTTTTGCAGAGGTGTGAACAATTGGGTTTAATTAGTAGATGTAAATTAATTGAAGCAAGGCTAGCTACTGAGAAAGAAATACTTCTAAAGCATAGCCAGAAACAAATTGACATTTTGAAATCCACTGATGGTTGCACAGATGCAGATAAGTTAGAATTGCTGTCATCCAAATACGATGCAGTTTATATACATCCTGTATGTGAATATTTATTTTCAAATGTGAAATCAATTATATGATAATAGTATAATTATTTTAAGTTATTCAATTTTAATATTAAATTATTTAAAATTACTTTAGTCTACCTACAAATTGTCCCAGCTAGCTGTGGGTTCAACAATAAACTTAATAGAAAATATTTGTAAAGGATATATTCAAAATGGAATGGCTATTATAAGGTAATTTAATTAGCTTGGTACATCATTTAATGTAATTATTATGAGTTGTTTTATTTTATTTCTTTTTAATTTATTTCAGACCACCTGGACATCATGCAATGAAATCAGAATATTGTGGATATTGTTTCTTTAATAATGTTGCAATTGCTGCTGAAAGTGCTTTAAGGAATAATTTAGCTAAAAAAATTTTAATTGTTGATTGGGATGTACATCATGGACAAGCAACTCAACAAATGTTTTATAATGATCCCCGGTAAATTATCGTTTGTATAACTCGTTTAGAATAATTATAAAAATGATTTTTTTTTTCATATGTACGTTTTATGCAGAGTAATATATTTTTCCATTCATCGCTTCGAGAATGGTGAATTTTGGCCAAATCTCAGAGAGTCTAATTTTCATTTTGTTGGAGATGGTTTAGGAGAAGGATATAACTTTAATATACCGCTTAATAAAACTGGTATGACCAATGCTGATTACTTAGCTATATTTCAGCAAGTTTTATTGCCAGTGGCCTATGAGGTATATAGTATACTATAATTATTAAATATAATGAATTAATATTTGTTTCACGAATTAAAAAATAATTACATAAATCGTAAATTAAAAAATAGTACTTTTAATTATTATAGTTTCAACCAGATCTCGTATTAGTATCAGCTGGTTATGATGCAGCCCTGGGCTGTCCAGAGGTAAAATAATAAGTAATATATATTTATATTTCTTTTTACTTTAGTTTAACCCAGATCTTATCATTGTTTCGGCCGGATTTGATTCCGCAATTGGAGACGAAAAGGTTGATATCTTTTTGTTGTAAATTAATTTAAAAAATTTTTCAGTTTTTAGAATATTACTATTTATTATTCCTATTTTTATATAATCTGTATGGTAACTTTAACTATTATGTTTTTTTTTTCGTATCATTAAGGGTGAAATGTTGGTGACTCCTGCATGTTATGCTCATCTTTTGTCATCTTTGTTGTGTTTGGCCTCTGGAAAAGTTGCTGTTGTATTAGAGGTACGAAAAATATTTAAAATATTTTGTTGTTAAATATATTATTTGATGTTAGTTACACATTTTTAATCTTCCAAGCATATTATTTTTCTTATAGGGTGGTTATTGTTTAAAATCATTGGCTGAAAGTGCTGCATTAACGTTACGTACTTTACTAGGTGATCCATGTCCGATATTACAAAATCTTGAGCTCCCTTCAAGAAGGTAAGATTAAAAATATGTTATATCAAATATATCAGATCTAACTTATATCAATGTAAATTTAATATTTCAGTATACGTGATACAATTTTAAATACAATTTATGCACATAAACCATATTGGAAGTGTTACCAATATCAAGATACATACAGTATTAACAGTACAGTAAATAATAAAGTAGAAAATATTAATCAGCATTTACCTACAGTTATATTCAAGTAAGAAATGATTGCATTTTTTACGGAAATTCTATTATTATATAATGTAATTTTATTAATTACATGATTTATTTATTACAGAGGAACTAATATTAAACCAGAAATATATGAAACTCGAAATTGTTATCCAGTTCAAAATAAAGAAACTGTTGAAGCGATAGAGAAACAATTAAACGTATTAATACAATGTGAGTTTCAAATTTTTTATTTTATCTCCTGTAAAAAATATTGTATAAATATAATATTCTTTTTAGCTACTAATTTATTTAAAGCACCGAATAAAGTATGTGTTGTTTATGATGAGAGAATGTTAAAACATTATGATATATCTGATGATAGTCATCCAGAAAAACCAAATCGTATTAGTGCAATATATAAAAAATATCAAACATATAATTTACTTGAACGATGTTACGTACAACAGGTATATCAATCTATTATAAATATAATGTGTTTTTTTAATTTCCATATGAAATGTTATATTTTATTTAATAATTGCTTTTAAGGGACGAAGTGCAACAATGAAAGAATTATTACTGGTTCATTCACAAGAGTATATAGATAAAATAAAGAGTGTAGAAAATTTAAAGCCAAAGGAATTATCTAAACAAGCAACAAGCTATAATTCGGTTTACCTGCATTCTGAAACTTGGACAAGTGCCTGTGTATCTACTGGATCATTATTACAAGTAGTGGATAGTGTATTAAATGGAGAAAGTCAATCTGGTATAGCTATTGTAAGGCCTCCAGGACATCATGCAGAACAAGATGCAGCTTGTGGTTTTTGCATTTTTAACAATATTTCTATAGCTGCTAGATATGCCATAGAATTTCACAATATAAAAAAGTACAATTTTGTTTAGTTGCTTTAACTTATATTCGTTTAAAATATAAGTGGTAAGGTATGATCATTTTTAGGGTACTAATAGTGGATTGGGATGTACACCATGGTAATGGAACTCAAGCAGTGTTTGAAAAAGATCCAAAAGTTCTTTATATATCTATTCACCGTTATGATAATGGAGCTTTCTTTCCAAATTCTAAACGAGCTAATTACACTTACGTTGGTTCTGGACCGGGAGAAGGGTTTAATATTAATATACCATGGAACAAAGTTAGTTATCAGAAGATACGTATTAATATAAATAAAATGAGTTTATGAATAGATAAATATTAATATATTTCTTTGTATAATATGTAGAAAGGAATGGGGGACACGGAGTATATAGCAGCATTTCAACAAGTAGTAATGCCCATTGCTTATCAGTTTAATCCAGAATTGATTTTAGTTTCTGCTGGTTTTGATGCTTGCATTGGCGATCCTCTTGGAGGTACGTACATTGTTTCTTATTTAACATAAAAAAATTAGCTAATATTGTTTTTTTATTGTTAAGGTTGTTATGTAACGCCAGAGATGTATGGACATTTAACTCACTGGTTATCTTCTTTGGCTAATGGTCGTATTATTCTTAGTCTCGAGGGCGGTTACAATATTAATTCAGTCTCCCATGCAATGACTATATGTACAAAAACATTGCTTGGTGATCCCTTACCAATATTAGAAAGTGGACAAATTCCATGTACAAGCGCTATTCATTCTATAAATAATGTTTTAAAATCCCTGAAACAATATTGGCCAAATTTAATGTTTAATGTATGTTTACCAAAAGAAAAAGTACTCCCTAAGGCTGAACTACCTTGTATAAAAACAAACGGCAAAGAAACTAAAAATTCAGAATCTAAGATAGCATTGGAAGAAATTGAAAGTGAAAAGTTAGAACTGAAACTTTCAATTGATAAAAATTGCTTAAATTGCGTGACAGATGAAGAAATATTAAAATTACAAAATGAAGTAGAGAATATGAAAATAAGAAACTCATTATACGACGATACTACTAAAACGACTGAAAAAACATATAATAATTCGCTAAATATGGAAGCTATTAATATGGTTGCTCGTAACGTTAAAGGTACGATAAATTGATTAAGAATATGCGTATAAAAAGATTTAGCGAAGAATTATTATTTTCTAGTTTCCGAATATACAAAGGAATGTATAAATCAGAATGGAAAGAAAGGACTTCCTTATAATAATCTTTCTAACTCTGCTTCCGGTAGTAACGATGAGCGAGGCGAAGGAGAAATTGCACAATCAAGTACCAGTACAAATTTATACGATTATCTTTCCGAAAATTTGCAAGTAAGTATTTCGTATAAGAAGATACAAATAAATTTTTGCATAATGAATTCTTTTTATTTATTATTTGTCAGGCATTAATAGCCGGAGAAATGTTTGCAGTAGTACCTTTACGAGAATGCCCACATCTAAACAGTGTTAGCGATGTTCCAGCTTCTGGAATCGATGTACATTTGCCATGTGCAGAATGTGGTAGTAACGTTGAAAACTGGATTTGTCTGCAATGTTATACCGTACATTGTGCACGCAACGTTAATCAACACGGCATATTACATGCTGAAGAAATTGATCATCCCTTGGCATTAAGCTTCAGCGATTTATCAGTTTGGTGTTATCGATGTGAGGCATATATAGATAATCCAGTAAGTTTTAATCCAATCAATTTTTTTTTTTTTTTTTTTTTTTTTAATAAAAATACATGTTCATATTTAATTCTTATTCCTTCAAATGTATTCATAATAACGTTCTCTAGCGATTATTTGCTGCACGTAATGCTGCACATCAGAGTAAATTTGATGAGGAATTACCATGGACATACAGCAACAACTGAGGTGCAAATTTATTATTGAACTTGTCAATAACCTTTTATGTATTTTATAATATTTGTAAAAGATCTATGAAACTGCATTTTCATTTCCATGTTTATTACTTCCTAAATGTTTAGGGTAAATGATTATCTATAAGTAACAATTATGTGTACAATTCTTTTAATATTCAGAATTAATCAAATTAATTGTAAATTACTTTTAAGTGTACACAATATTTCTGCTTGCTAACAGCAAATTTTATTAAATTAAAAGTAGTGAATTTCGATGATTTTACATTTTATTTTTCTACATAAAACAACAATGTACTAAGTTAATTATTGGATAGAACAAATACAACGAGGTTAAAAAACTGTAGATTATATAATTGTAATATTATTATCTGTAAAATACGTCTAGTGATCTTAGAAATTTCGTTCTTTTAAGGATAATATGTACTACTAAGAAATTTAAAATTTGTTTAATGCTTGTAAAATTTTGTATTTTATTTTCTTTTCTTATTTTGCTGATATAAAAAATTGAACAATATTTCTTTTATAATGTCTGTACAAATTTATGCTTATTAGGTATTAAATATTCAATTCGTATTAATAACAATTGAAATTGTTGAAAAGCATCGAATATATCATTTATTGTTTCTTTAAATGGTGGTATTGAATGTATGTTTATATTTGATAAACGTATAAAACTATTAATAATCTTCGAAAATGGTAATTTTTCAATGGTAACATGTGGGTAATATTTACTTATAATATGAAAGTTAAACAAATTTGTATTATTCTGGATAAAAATAAATTCTTCCAAATCTGTAGCAGGGAGAGCATAATATAATCTATATGGTACTTTTTTAATAATATAGTTATGGTCACATTCATGAAGTTTTAAAGCAATGCTGTTACAGACATTTCTTATAGATTTTGAACCTTGTTCATAAAGATAAAAATCTTTAATTAATTTATATTTATGATTTCCACTGCTTATGTATGTCCTTTTAGTATTTCTCAAATGTAAAAGTGCTGTTGGTATGGGATAAGTATGCGATGTAAATAAATGTATATGGGTAAGTTCTGGTTTTGCTTTTAATTCAGTAGCTATATGAGATGTTAAAGGTAAAACACCACCTTGATGGGCAAATCCGTAGAAAAACGTTAATAATATGTTGCATGTAAACCAAAAGATTTGCAGTTTATTAAGCTTATTCTTTGCTGCAACAGTAGTTTGATACCCGTTATTTTCTGTAATTCGAGAAATGGTGTCAACTCCGGATACTTGACTAATAGTTGGTGCATATAAGAAAGCTAATGGTAATAATGTTGGTATTATAAATCGTGGTTCTTGATGAGGAAAAATTGATAACAATATGATAGGTATGATAAAAGATGTTGTCATCAAACCAACAACACTTTGTATACGTGGTAAATCCAACCATTTGGCTTTTAAACCACTGTAAATAGTAATTACATTTTTCTAATTATCTTTTTTAATTTTTCAAAAATAACATAAACAATATCAATAAAATATTTACCTGTGTATCATTTTTCCAAATGTAAGAAGACCAACAATTCCTAGTATATTATATAAAAGAGGTACATTTACAATCAAGTGTATATAACGAGGATGTAAACCATGATTTTGCAAATTTTTAGTATTTGAATTGTATTTGAGAAAATTAAGTGGAGTTACTACAAAGTTACTCATACCGATGTCTAGATTACCTATTTCTGCCATTGTTAAGTAGCCAAAATAAAAACTATCAATTATAATGAAAAAAACAGTAGTAGGTATTCCACAAGCAATGAAAGTAAATATTCGAATATGAAAATCTACAAAACCTACACTTTTTGAACCTAAACCTCTTTGTAACCAAAAAAAAATTGGAGGAAATGCAAATGCAATAAATGTTGGTCTATTAAATATACCAATTACAGTAACTGTTGCAATTTTTAAACAATTGTTTAAAGAGTATGGAGGCAACGAAGCCTTAAGTTTATAATATTTTACTCTTTCTACTCCACTTTTTGCTTTAATATATTTATCTGACAGGTAGTCACTTTGTATAACTACCTGAAATAATAAAATGATATTCTATTATAAATTGATTTATATTATATAAATATCATAATTGCATACCTTTTCTGAATATGCCATAGAATGTGACGTATAATATAATAATAACGCTGTAAGAACTAATTCAGTGCTATTTGATAATGTACGTGTCGAATAAACAAACATAACATAGGAACTGGCATATGTAATCAGTCTTATTTTGTAATTTTGTCCATACATGTAACATATTTTGTATAGACAATAGTCTGATATAAAAGACAAACCACAGATTAATAAACGTGGAAATAATATAAGAAAATATGGGGATTTCAATGAAATACCCATGTAAAAAAATGTATATCGTGAAAGTATATTTAAAATCGAATATGGTATACCAACAATAATTTGTGGTATTAAAATAGTTCTTATGGGAAATGTAGAATTAAATTCCCAAGGCTTATTAACATCTATATCAAAATTGTCTCCTATAAGGTTAAAATATATAAACGAAATTGAATTATATTGATTATAATTATTGCTAACATGTAACTTACCAGATATTACTTCAACAGATTGAAAATACTCATCAGGATGAATATATCCTGTTTGTGGAATAAGTGTCAAAATAATTCTCAAAGCAGCCAAGACCCAATACATACCAATTTTTCTTTTAACTGGTACAGCAGGTCTGTATTCATCTATTGATCTACGATATTCATTTTTTGAATGCATTTTTATGTTCAAGTTGTTTCTGATGACTGCTGTATATGTTTTTTATACAATGTCAGATTAGATAAGTTAGGAGTATTGACAAGATCCGTATAATCATTCATTTCTTTACATTTTTACAAATAAATCTGATATTTATATTCATTTACATTTACATTTGCAAAATTCTTCACGAGTAAAAAGCCAATAGATATAAATTTCATTCAATACGATAATTAATTAACAATTATATATAATTAAAATTATAAAAGAATTTACATAACCCATATGCCACATTGATTATTTGTATACAATCATATATCTGTGGTTACAGATATAATTCTTTAGATGGCTAAATTCCATTCCTTGAGCATCTCCATTCTCTGTTCAATGGTGATGACATTACCGTTTTCATGGAAATGATCGGAACACTGTTCACATTTTTGATAGGCCACTGATAAACTGATCATAACCAGAAGATACACAGATTATTTGATTAAAGGACGAAGACAGTAGTGATCCGAGATAATATCAAAATTCAAATTGATTTCAATTAAGCGGATTTTTATAATGAAAAAAATTAATACACCACACTGAACTAAATGTATTTGTATTAGACTTGAAATTCGATGCCAATATCATGAAAGATTTTTCGATCACTTTCAAATAAATTGGAAAGTACTTCAGTTCCCAAAATCTACTGCAGCGTCCACGATGAAAAACACATTTTTATTACAACATAATAAATTGTTTATTACTTATTGTTTGTAATTTTCATATTTAAATTTTAAATGTGAAAATAATAAACTTGCATAGTACAAGGTATATCAAATATAGTTATGTAAAATGTATGTTTTATTTCGTAATTTACATTTGAAGTGTCTAACCTCGTGTCTACCAATTTCAACAGTTTACCAAGGTTTTTATAAAAATTATTCACAAATAATGGTGCAGTTAAATGTTAATGAAGCTGTTTTAATGTACGAAGAAGGACATACAAAATTTGATATGTTACTTCGTTATATTAATCCTGCCTTAAACGTAGACAGACGTTTTAATTTCCATAGATCCGTGGATGAACCAATAAAGAATTTAGTACGTAGAATGGATAATAATATAAAAACTTATATAATTAAAAAATCTAAACGAAAGAAAAAAAAAGCAAATAAGTTAGAGGAAAAAATTGAACCCAATAATATTGGAGAGGACGGCATCAAATTTGTAAGAAATAATTGTGTTCTTGATGGTGATCTTACGTGCAAGACTATTTTAGAACATTCATCAGAAATAAAATTGATCATTTTTGATCAAGAATATGTACTAAAGCAAAATATACCTTATATTGCGAAAATGGAATTGCCATTAAACATTTTAATTGATTTTCCAATTTATCTTTCAAAATTTGAAACAACGTATGTAAATAGAGAAATGTCAACTTTCAATTGGTATAAATTTGAAAATAAGGAATGGATTCATGTTGGAGAAGGATATATATATATACCTAGGATATCTGACTTAGGATGCAGATTAAAAGTATCATGTGTACCAAGAAACGATACACAAACTGGACCTGTAGTAGAAGTTACATCTAATGGTATAGTACAACCTGGTCCAGGTTTATGTCCTTTTGATATTAGACATGCTTTTACTAGAAGCAAATTGTCTGGTAAAAGGTAAATATTTTTTAAATCTTCTTTAATATTCAAATTTCAATTAATTACATATTTTCTATTATTTAAATTTCTGAATATTAGTTTCAGAATAACATCATATAATATATTGGCAAATGTATATTCGGAAACTTCATTATCTAAGGATACTTTGTATCCTTATTGTCCACAATATGCATTATCTATGGATTATCGAAAATTACTAATTCTCAAAGAACTTATAGGTATTTTATATTCATATTTTAAATGATATTTTAAGCCTTGTATAAATAAATATATTTAAAAAATTAACAAATTTATGTAGGATATAATGCAGATATAATATGCCTTCAAGAAGTTGATAGCAGAGTTTATAAAAATGATTTATTGTTATCTTTATGTACACTGAACTATGGTAGTATATTTAATCTTAAAAATGACATGCAAGAAGGTGTTGTAACATTTTATAATGAAGAAAGATTTGACAAGCTAGACTCAGATTATAGTATTATTTCTCAAGGCATCAATTTAGATGGATTTAATACTATTTGGTCACAAATTCAAAATGAAGATTTAAAACAAACATTTCTGAACAGAAATACAATTATTCAGGTACCACTATCGCATAATTTGTTATACCCATATTACCAACTGATGAATTTTTAATTTCATATATGTATATATATATACACGCGCATATATACCTATTACAGATAGTAGCACTAAAATCCAAAGAAAACTCCGAAATTTTAGTCATTGGCAACACACACTTGTACTCTCGGCCGGAAGCAGATGATATACGTCTATTACAAGCATATTACGGCCTAGTGTATTTAAATTCATTTGCTGAAAAAATAAAAGCAGAGGTATCTGAAGCATCTTACTCGACTTAAGTCCTATTTGTGTTTATGTACAATATTATATTATTATTATCATAATCTTGTGATATAATCTCTAATATAAATATTAACTTCGTCTTATTTCTAAAATTTATTTCCATTAATAACAAATTTTCAGAATGCGGAATGTAATGTTAGCATTATATATTGTGGAGATTTTAACAGTGTACCAGAAAGCGCAGTCTATCAATTAATAATTAAAAAACATATATTAAATTATCATGACGATTCGCAATCCGGTATGTATGTTTTACGTAAATACAACATTCTATTTATATTTTTAAGTTATAGTTGTACAAAAAATGATTTACTTCAAATATATTTTTTTATCATAGATCCCGATCCACGTATAAGATCTGTCAAACATGACGTAAACTTACATAGTGCTTGTGGCACTCCAAAATATACTAATTATACTACTACTTTTTCTGGTTGCTTAGATTATATATTTTATCAAACAGATCATTTAGAAATTGAACAAGTTATACCTATGCCTAGCGAAGAAGAACTTAATTCACATATGGCTCTTCCATCCGTAGTGTTTCCAAGTGATCACATTTCTTTATGTGTTGATTTAAAGTGGTCAAAATAAAATGTGTATTATTTAATTGATACGTAACTGTACCACACATGAAAAATATATTTTATATTTTTAATCGTTATAATTCTTTTAGGGGAATGAAAGTTTATGTGCATACAGTTTAAAATACAAAAGTCATTTCGATTATTATTAGTTTATTAAATAACAATTTGACCTTTGTTGAATTCTTATAAACTTACATAATAAGATTACTGTTCAAGATTTTTAAAGCCCAAATTTAATGACTATATAATTAGTTTTTAAATCGGAGCATTTTTTATTTTTTAAAAAATTTGCTGGGCAGAATCCTGGATCGTCCCATGAAACCGCTGGTGCCCAAAAAGTTCGGTGAGCGCTCGAAAATGTAGCTGGAACTTTAACGGCCAATTTTCAACTTTAACCCCATGCGCAGTCCTAACCGGTTAGAGTTAGGCCTGCGCAGTAAGTTTCCGAAAAAGAGGATTAGCCCAGAAAAGCTAAAAAAGCCCGAATTTAATGAATATATAATTAGTTTTTAAATCGGAGCATTTTTTATTTTTTAAAAAATTTGCTGGGCAGGATCCTGGATCGTCCCATGAAACCGCTGGTGCCCAAAAAGTTCGGTGAGCGCTCGAAAATGTAGCTGGAACTTTAACGGCCAATTTTCAACTTTAACCCCATGCGCAGTCCTAACCGGTTAGAGTTAGGCCTGCGCAGTAAGTTTCCGAAAAAGAGGATTAGCCCAGAAAAGCTAAAAAAGCCCGAATTTAATGAATATATAATTAGTTTTTAAATCGGAGCATTTTTTATTTTTTAAAAAATTTGCTGGGCAGGATCCTGGATCGTCCCATGAAACCGCTGGTGCCCAAAAAGTTCGGTGAGCGCTCGAAAATGTAGCTGGAACTTTAACGGCCAATTTTCAACTTTAACCCCATGCGCAGTCCTAACCGGTTAGAGTTAGGCCTGCGCAGTAAGTTTCCGAAAAAGAGGATTAACCCAGAAAAGCTAAAAAAGCCCGAATTAACTGAATATATAATTAGATTTTAAATCGGAGCATTTTTTATTTTTTAAAAAATTTGCTGGGCAGGATCCTGGATCGTCCCATGAAACCGCTGGTGCCCAAAAAGTTCGGTGAGCGCTCGAAAATGTAGCTGGAACTTTAACGGCCAATTTTCAACTTTAACCCCATGCGCAGTCCTAACCGGTTAGAGTTAGGCCTGCGCAGTAAGTTTCCGAAAAAGAGGATTAACCCAGAAAAGCTAAAAAAGCCCGAATTAACTGAATATATAATTAGATTTTAAATCGGAGCATTTTTTATTTTTTAAAAAATTTGCTGGGCAAAATCCTGGGTCGTCCCATGAAACCGCTGGTGCCCAAAAAGTTCGGTGAGCGCTCGAAAATGTAGCTGGAACTTTAACGGCCAATTTTCAACTTTAACCCCATGCGCAGTCCTAACCGGTTAGAGTTAGGCCTGCGCAGTAAGTTTCCGAAAAAGAGGATTAACCCAGAAAAGCTAAAAAAGCCCGAATTAACTGAATATATAATTAGATTTTAAATCGGAGCATTTTTTATTTTTTAAAAAATTTGCTGGGCAGGATCCTGGATCGTCCCATGAAACCGCTGGTGCCCAAAAAGTTCGGTGAGCGCTCGAAAATGTAGCTGGAACTTTAACGGCCAATTTTCAACTTTAACCCCATGCGCAGTCCTAACCGGTTAGAGTTAGGCCTGCGCAGTAAGTTTCCGAAAAAGAGGATTAACCCAGAAAAGCTAAAAAAGCCCGAATTAACTGAATATATAATTAGATTTTAAATCGGAGCATTTTTTATTTTTTAAAAAATTTGCTGGGCAGGATCCTGGATCGTCCCATGAAACCGCTGGTGCCCAAAAAGTTCGGTGAGCGCTCGAAAATGTAGCTGGAACTTTAACGGCCAATTTTCAACTTTAACCCCATGCGCAGTCCTAACCGGTTAGAGTTAGGCCTGCGCAGTAAGTTTCCGAAAAAGAGGATTAACCCAGAAAAGCTAAAAAAGCCCGAATTAACTGAATATATAATTAGATTTTAAATCGGAGCATTTTTTATTTTTTAAAAAATTTGCTGGGCAGGATCCTGGATCGTCCCATGAAACCGCTGGTGCCCAAAAAGTTCGGTGAGCGCTCGAAAATGTAGCTGGAACTTTAACGGCCAATTTTCAACTTTAACCCCATGCGCAGTCCTAACCGGTTAGAGTTAGGCCTGCGCAGTAAGTTTCCGAAAAAGAGGATTAACCCAGAAAAGCTAAAAAAGCCCGAATTAACTGAATATATAATTAGATTTTAAATCGGAGCATTTTTTATTTTTTAAAAAATTTGCTGGGCAGGATCCTGGATCGTCCCATGAAACCGCTGGTGCCCAAAAAGTTCGGTGAGCGCTCGAAAATGTAGCTGGAACTTTAACGGCCAATTTTCAACTTTAACCCCATGCGCAGTCCTAACCGGTTAGAGTTAGGCCTGCGCAGTAAGTTTCCGAAAAAGAGGATTAACCCAGAAAAGCTAAAAAAGC